TACTTCCATTGATATTTTGGTGACGCCGTGATTTTGTGCTTAAAACAGGAAAGAGTTGCTCTCGTCGTGACCGTATGCGTCACAGGCGAGGCTTGGCGCGTGATCCTGTACCTGTGTGCTCCCCATGCCCCTTTCACTTGTATTTTGAAATGAAAAGATTTATATTCGCTTGAATAATACGTGTTAAATAGTGTCCGGTACTTGGTGCCGGCCGGCGGTACGGGACTTTCCGCTATAAACATCCATCACCTCGATTCTTACAACGTTGCTATCGAGAAATAAACGGCAATATTTAAAAATCCATAACAAAAGTATTTTCTTTCGTTGTCCGTTTTTGAGGTTATGAGCACTGTTGTTTAGTTTAGTTACGAGACCTTAATATGATTTTTAAGTATACGTTATTTAATTGTGACATGTTTTTAATTATAAGTTAGAGTCAACAGTTTGTTTTACATAGCTTCTATATAATCTTACATTGAAGTAAAAAGGACCAGCTGAATCTTTATCTTGGCAAAGTTGTAAACAATAAAGAATAGTAAATAAAAAAGCAATTTTACAAGAAATAATTAAATAAAAAGTTATTCTAACTTTGCTGATAAATATTTCTGGCGAAATACCAGATCAAGGTTATATACAGTGTTATCTCAGTAAAAATATACTCATTAAATTTATATTTTGTATTGGTTGAATAATAAAGCTATTATTTTGCAAAATACCTTTAAAATTAAAAACAAGACTTTAGACCTCTTTGCCTTCTGGCCGTTCCATTTTACCCCGCCTATGGAGTTAAAAGGACCAGGTGACAAATTACTGAAAATAGCAAAAAACACATTTTTAGAATGATGAATTAGCTGAGAGTTTTGATATAATTGGTTTGGTTTTTTGCAATATAATTGCTCAAAGTAAAGTTGAAGCTTTGTGCTCCGCCCTACCCTATAAGTCAATCACACCGAATGAATGGCCACAAAATAAATATAAATATATTTAGTTCAATGAATAGAGACTCTATTTTAATGCTGTTAAAGATTATATGCCTTCAAACATTAATATATTACTAATGTATTAGTGGAGTTTATGTGCAAGGTATGTGTAAAATTAATGGAGTGATTTTGCTATATATTACATCACAAAAATGTTTTTATTTAAAAAAAAAAATGATGCGGTTTGTAATTGTGGATACCACTAACGAATGTTAGAAGTGTTGTCCTCGAACGTATAAACACATACACTAATTATAAATACAATTAAAAATTACGTTATTAAATTGAAATACGTTGAAAATTAAAGATTTGTTTAAGTGAAATTATATGAAACACAAAATCACGTTTCTATTGGATTTGCGAAAGCAACTCATATCGGTAAATTAGTTGATAGTAAACAATATTTGGAGTTAGATACATGTTTTATTAATATTAATATATTCTAATTCTCATAGTTATACTTGTATGCCCACATGCGTGGTTTCTAAAATAAACCATTGATGGTAATTAGTTCAAAACAAGCGATATTTCAAGGTTGTGTAACAGGAACAAAACTAACGATATCGTCATTAGATTGCTGAAATGAAATGAATATAAATTTTGCTAAATTGATCATTTTGTACACGTGATGTGGGAACAAGAGCTACAAGGACGGATTTAATCATTAGGTGATTAGAATGAAAAAGTGCAAAAAGTACTGCACATGTAGAATCACACTACATCGTATTATACTAAATGCGATACTATATGAGTATAGAGATTTGAGTGGACTGATTTCATAATTCTGTAAATATTTTTATTATTATTGTTATAATAGCATAACACATGAATAATATTGGTTGAAATATGTTTTGCAGCTAAAACTATTAACTGTTATCACTGCTTAAACCATCTTTAAACATTTTTTTTTTTTTGAAATTGCATAACTGTTATCGAAACTGATTAGAAACTAGTGGTGTATGACATCGTACCTTAAGACAAATTGCTGGTACTTCTCGTACCATAAGCAGGAATATTAAACGTTTTCAAATAGATTATTATAAATGCTGTAACTTTCATTATTCTTATTTCAGAGACAAAATATAAGAACTTATGAATTTGGCGCCGACGTTTATATATGTATTACAGAAAAGTAATTAAACAAAACTTAATTAATCGGATTTAAAATGAAGGACATTATCTGATATTTAAAAGAAATACATAAACTGAATTGCAAATTTAAAATTGATTATTTAAAGTATATAAGTGATCTTTAGAACTTTAGCCAGAATTAAAATTATTAATAAATCCGACCTGCCTTTGCCAAAAACCAATCACCACTTCTTCTCATCATTACGAATTGAATGTTTTTTTGATCAATCAAATCGGTTGATCCGTGCGCCCGAAAACGTGGACGAAAAGTTTCGGATACACAAAACACACATTAACACATGCCAAAATTTTCAGAAACCTTCAAAACGTGAAAATATGCAAAAAATTCAATTTCGATTTTGGGACGATTACAATAACTTACCCTACGGGAAGTCAAAAAATAATGTTCATAATTTTTATATTGAATATTACATACATAGAAAGACAGAGAGATAGCCGTTATGCTAAATTTTCTTTTAATTTTTACCAAATGTAAATGTAATAAAGCCGTGCAAAACTTGCTCGGCAAATCAAATTCCAATCAACAAAAAAAAGGAAAATGTGTTTATACGGTATTTATTTATTAGCTGATTATAACTTTTCATACTTCAAACTTTGATTTTGATAAAAACTATGAAAAGCATTAAATATGAGAGCAATTTATTAATTCTTCTAGATATCAATTAGTACCAGAAATGTGCTGCGCGCGTGTGATGTTATTAACTTATTACGTCTTATTGTAAAAAAGTTGTTTAGTTATACATATAATATACATACAAACATATATATGTGTGTGTATATATATATATATATATATATATATATATATATATATGATTTTGAATTTAATGTTGACATATCTAATAACAAGGTCTAGAAAATCATAAATTACTTTAAAAATACTTTATCATAAAAACCATATTTCGTCTAGTATAGATATAGTCCTAGCCTTCGTTCCATAGAATTAAAAAACGTGCAAAAATGGTGTTTGATGATTAAAAGTGCATAAGTAGAAAGTACTTAAAATTGGCTTATACTAGTATTACAAATAGAAGTATAACACTACACTATATATTAAGAACATCTATACTATTTTCTTTTTTACTATTGAACTAATGAAACAACTTTTTACAAAATAAGTGTGAGATCTGTAGATTAACTGGGGATATAATGAGAGGAATTTTATAAACCATATTTTACAAATGTGAAATTGTGATATTTTTTCGATATTTTTATTACTTAAAAGGCATTCTCGTGTAGAGGCATGAATTTTAGGTCATTATTAAATATTAAATATCGTAAAAAAGGCAATCAAATTACTATTTTCTTTATAGTTTATTTATCAACGTTTATAGGAGTACAGAAAAAAATTGAAACAAAAAATGTTAATATTTTTAAAAATTATCAGAGTCTCAAAAAGTAGACTCGTGATCGTGTAGTGTACACAATTGCAACACTCCTAATAATCCGAAATGAAAAAAAAGACAAGATTATTCATCTAGTAGAATGATCATATATACTAGGATTAAATAAAAAAATAAATATTTTGACAAAATGGCGACTGTTAAGACCATTTGCTTGCCACTTTTTTGAGTTTCTCGATTTTTTTTAAATAGTAAAAGTACAAATTTGGGGACGTGGTTAGTATAAAATAGAGAGAAAATCTATAATGAAGATTTTCTGAAAATTTTAAATGAATCGGCTCAGTAGAAGAAAAAAGACAGTTTTGAGAAAAACGCGTTTAAAGTTCCGCAAAAGGAAGGAAACAGAAGAAAATTATCATGGTCAAATAGCTGCATCTCAGAAAATAATTTAAATTTTAACTAGTGGGGCGCATGGCATTGTGCCTTAAGGCAAATTGCTAAAACTTTCCGTACCAAAAATTATTTTTTTTAAAAAAGATTAACATTTTTGAAAAAAAAATAACTCTGAAAAAATTAGATTTTTGAGAAACTATAAATTTTTGACAAAAATTTACTTTAAAAAAAAAAAAGACTTTCTGAAGAAAAATTTATTTTGAAATATTTTGGAAATTCTGAACTTTTTTTCAAAGCAATCGTACTGCTTTAACTGCATAGAGACGAAATATCGAAGCGCGTAAGCGCCGCGTCGCCGTCTAACGGATAAACATTGGTACGGAACCCATAGGAATGTAAACAAAATTTATACCTATTGTTAAAATCTCTATAAAATATCTGATAATTTTATGTGCATATATCTAATGATCATTTTTGACCGCCAAATGGCATATTTTTTTACTAAATCTCCGAAACCGCTAGACCTGCCTTCATGAAAATTTGAACAGTTCTTCATTTAATCAATACAAATAAAATGTTTTTTAGATTATTTAAATCGGATTATTTAAATCCGTTCTCTTAAAAACTGAGTTACCGTTTTCGGCACTTTTTACCCCGTATCTTCGGAACGGCTAAACCTGCCTTCGCCAAAAACTAATCAGCACGTCTCCTTATCAATACGAATCGAATGTTTTTGAATTATTCAAATTGGTGTTCCCGAAATCGTCGACGAAAATTTGTATCCGCACACATATGCATACACACACACACACACATACATCCATTTTTTCTAAGATATGCCAAAATATTCAGAAACCTCTGAAACGTAAAGATATATAAGAATTTTCAATTTCGATTTTTTTGCGATTACTATAACTTGCCCTACGGGAAGTTAAAAAGTATCGTTAAAAAATCGGTATTGTTTAAATGTCTTAATGTGTTTAGTAATGTGTTTAGCAATGTGTTTAGCATAGTTTCAAGTTTATTATTTGTATATAACGTTATTTAAATTTATACATGTAGGTGCTAGCTATCTTAACAGATATATAATTATATTATGGTATAATTACATTTGGAATTGTTTCAATTTCAGGTGACAATGTTGTTCAACAACGCCGGTGTTGTTTCCGGACGAAGTTTACTGGACACTCCGGATCATCTCATCGAGCGCACTTTCAATGTTAATGTCATTGCACACTTTTGGGTAAGTTCACTTCGATCGCTTTTTATAACACTTTCGAATATAACATGACACATACCAGCATGGTCTGTCTTCCGGTTTACCTTTTTTTACCACTTCTCCTTAATCACCATGCGATTCATTACTTACATTGTACTGAATCGAAAACTGGATTGTACATGTGAATTTCATTTAATGGTTATTATTAAATCTCTAACTTTAACTCCAATTTGGGGCATAAGTAGCTATTATTATTATTACTTTTTTAACCTGAATTGATAGATTTAAGGTTAAAGTAGGCACAGATAACAGTAACACATAACTGTTATAGATATTAGCTTTAAGTCAAAAGTTCCCGGACAACCTGATGTCTGGCAGTTAACGTAGGATTTCATTTGAAAATATAGATAGAAAATAGCCCTTACCCGCTATAGTATCCCAATTAGAAAGCCAACGTTGGGGTTGCCTTCTAATAGTGTTCAGAATTTGATAAAAACTATATCAGTACAAAAAAGGACGTATTGTGTTCTAACAGCGTCATTACTAGAAATAAGAAGCGTTTAGAATCCATAGAACAGTTCTGATTGCTGTAAAATAGTGAAATTTTAATTATTATCTATTTAAGCATTATTACTAATAATGCATGAAATTTTGGAATACGTTTTTTTATTATATCTCTCTTACTTTTCAAGTTTATTATTTTTCAATCACAAATATTTTTTGCCTAATTAATATAGTTAATAATCGTTAAGCCTTATTGTTAAGAATCGTATTTAATAAATTACCGATGTTTTTTTATGATAACATAATTGTAATTGAATTACATTAGTATATAAAGTTTCTAAATATCGAAGAAATTTGAAAAAAAAAGTATGAAGTAAAATTTTCAGCTGAATTAGAAGTATTAGTAGAAAAAAGAAGATGGATTTAGAAGAAAAAGGAATTAGTAAAATTAAGATAAAAGTAAATAACTTAGAATTTGAATTGTTGAGTTGAAATTAATTAGAATTTGTATTGTTAATTTGGAATTGCATGAAAAGAAGTTGAATTTACAAAAAATAGTATACAATATAAAAATGAAAAACGTTGTAGGAGGTTAAACGCAAGTAAGTCTAATAATATATATATATATATATATATATATATATATATATATAATATATATATTGTAAAGTTATAAATAAAGTGAATAATCATTTTGCTGATATCCTCCATATTCAGCAGAAAAATTCATAGCGAGATCACGTAATCAATTGAAAATGAATATTGCTTATAAAATTTTGTCATTTTTTAATCACTGATCATGATTACTTTATTGGATTAGATTTGACAGTAACTTAACTGTATTAGCACATACAAATATTTGTTTGTGATTTTTATACTTTTTGAGATTTAATATTCTATAAACATCTTTGTTCGGATGTTTTCGAATGAAATATGTGTAAAATTTCATATTCAAATTAAATTTAACAAATAATTAACTAAATAAATATATACTTATTGATTATAGTTTTATGCATACTTACAATCACCTGTATCAAATGTTCTTATGCGCATAATAGTGAACGTTAATCTAGCCCCTATTTTTGTAAATGGCTTATTTCTTGTCGTACATTTAACTCTAAGGATATTTTCAGTCACTAAACAGGTTTAGTAAGTGAATGTCAATATTAACCTTACGAAATATTTACAACTTTTTGTTAATATTTTGTATTAACATTCAAACTAGTTTCTGATCTGTACTCAGTTAAGTCTAATCCAATTTAATTACACTAATATCAGAAAAGGTTGGATGCAAACAATTTTTTAATAAGAGATTTTTTTACTTTATATAGTACAAGTACACATTCTAAAATTAGTCTAATGCGATCGCTCTATATACTTCTTCTACTTAATTGTTAATACTTTATATTATAGCAAACATTAATTAACCCTAGGAGTTGGAATTTTTTTTTATTAATGATTTAAAGTATAGTTACTTATTTCTTAACGAAATAATTAACATTATATTGGTCGAATTATTTAACATTTATTAACGATATACAAAATTATGATAATATAATGAAAATTTAAATTTAAGATTATAAATTATAAATATTATTTTGTATAAATATTCTTTAAGATATAAAAGATAAAGATAAGTTATATAAGATAAAGATAAAATGATAAAAAGTCATAAGGAATATAATAAGAAGCATTAGTGAAATTATGAATTCTAAATATAATTCACATATATGAATAGGACGGCTCAATTATAATAATTAAATGGATTAAGTATTTGCAAAAATTTTGAAAATTCAAAAACTGTTACAAAGATGTCATTTGAGAATCATGCTGATTAGTATTTTGTAATTCATTGTTGAAAAAAAAATCGACGATTTTAATTAAACTTTTCATGGCGATAGAGTTCATCGCACATTCTTAATATTATAGAAATACGGTCAAATTAGCAAAAAAAGGCATTATAAATGTGGTCTTATTATAAAAATTTATTCAAGTTTGGGTTAATGATCCGTGATCACCAATGACGTCTACACTTTAATAATATATATTTTTATAACACAAGGTGAAATAAACTGATGAATGTGTCAAACAAATTAAATTCATATAATACATTTACAGATATTACAAGTTTGTTTGAAAGATACAATTGGAAATGTCATTGATTAGTTTTAAGTGCAGTGAAAATTTAGTTTTGAAATAGATAGTTGAATTTTTTATCTAAACAATCTATCAAATCTCAATTCTTATAGATTCAGTCAATTTACTCATGTTGGAAAGTTTACACAACTTGCCTTAAGCTTAAATGCTACTTACGACTAATTTATACATTTTCTTGCTTATTATCAAAAGTAGTGTATTAACCTCTGTTGGAGGGTGATATTTTTACAATGCTGTATTTATTTATGGCTCATTTACTTATCAATTGCAATGTTAATGCCAAGTTCAACGATCATTTTATATCTATGTGATTTATGTGACATAGGACAATGATAATATGCATATTGTTTCAATTGTTATATGTTTTATTGTTCTTTTAGATAACGTTACTGCTAAATATAATAGTGAGAGTATGTTTTCATGATGTGCAATTTAGGTGATTTTATTGCTTATGGCGACTAGATTTACTAAGGATTTGTATAAAAACGGGCGCGATTGACCTTAACTATCCTGAAAAAAAATAGAAAAAAACATCTCACGTTGTTTGGAAATTATGAGCTAAGTGCAACCGAGAGTTTTAGTGTAATCATGACCATTTTTTGGATTATTGTGGTTAACTTTTACTAAGTTTGTTCATTTAAACTTTGGGACCGTAACCGTAAATGACATTTTTGGAAAATACTATCATCCTATTTCAGCTAGACGTCAAGGTCTGGGTCAATATCACGAATATTACCCACATGGTATCATAAAATTGTATATGAAAAATTGTTTTTATATCACAAGCATTGATTGATATGTAGTATTTTTGGAAATCTTAAAGCGTTTCATTTACCAAAAGTATATCTAACATTATTTAAAATTTATTTATATAATATCATATTTGAGTCATTCATAAATGCATGGCAATAAGTTTAAATTTTTTTATTGCAAACTACAAAAGAATGTTGAAAAAATTGTTTTTTATGTATAATATAGATGTTTTTGTCAATTCGTGATTAGAAATTTAAATATGTTTGAGGGGGGAGTCTGCTTTAGAGGTTTAAAAAATCGATTTTTTTTGCAAAAATGTCTTGCAAAACTAGCCAAGAATATATCCCTTAAGTTTCAGAAACAAATTTAAATTATTTTCGGAATTACAGAAGAAATAGTGAGCAACCGTCAAGCATGTATATAAGCGGAACGAAAACTTTGACGCGCGATTTCTGGGTTTTAGTTTTTTCGATTCTTCCTAATTGGCGGGAAAGATAGGGAAAAAACTAAGCGCCCTATCGAAACTAGACAAAATTAGTTGTATACAGGATTAAATTCTATTCTAGATGAACCTAAAAAAACTTGGAAAAAGTTATAATTAACGCACTTTTTAAACAATCTAAAGTGAAATTTTGTATCAAAAAACTAGATTTTTTTTCAAGCTGCAATTTTTCTGGATTTTTTAGGTTCAACTAGAATCTATACTATTGAAAATATATATTTGCTTTGATTTTTTTGTTTCGGATGGAAATTGTGACCGCCAAATAACACCTGCACCCTCGTGGCGCATAGACCAAACCATTGTACCCGGCATATTATGACATATATTTTAATGAAAAAATTTGAGAAGATTGTTGAAATATATAGCAACAAAACCTGGAAGTTTCGTTTCAACTAAATATTTATTACCTTCCTTTAAAAAAATCCCCCAAAAATGCGATTTTTTGAAGCCTCTAAAGCAGGTTACCCCCTTAATATTAGCATATTTTATAAATTGCAAAATATTGGTGATTTTTGTCTAATTTTATTTGCGCCGTGTTTCTTGATTAGTGTATTTACGTTTCCTGCCAAAAAGTGCAACCAGGTCTTTCGTATCATGTTTATTTTCATCTGTTATTTTCATTTTTTAAACTAATTTCCTAAATATTAATATCCTAAAGATTAATTATATATATATATATATATATATATATATATATATTATGAAATATACGTGAAGAGCTTTAAATTCAAAAATTGTATTTAAATAGTTCGGATTATAACTGAATAATGTTGGTTTGGTGAGATTTGAAAATTTAAGGTATTTAGAAAAAAAATTATATGTAATTAATATTATAAAATTATTTATATAAAAATTTTGTAATTAAAATATATTCTTTCTTGAACTTCGTAGCGAATGTAACGAAGCAGCGAAACAAACTGGTCCTAGTAATTCAGAAAAACAAAATCTGAAATGTCTGAAACGAACTTGAAATCAGAATCAAAATTTCTAGATGTTGCCTTGGCAATAATAATAATAACATATTGTATCGAGATGTTATTAAAAACTGAAATAATATTATATTCTTTTATTTTTTAGACAACGAAAGCATTCCTCCCAACTATGATTGCACGTAACCATGGTCACATTGTAACCGTAGCATCTTTGGCTGGGCACGTGGGCATTTCGAAGTTGGTCGACTATTGTTCGAGCAAATACGCAGCCGTAGGCTTCGACGAAGCGCTACGAATGGAATTGGAAGGCAGAGGATCTTTTGGTGTTAAAACCACTGTTATATGCCCATATTTCATTAGATCTACAGGAATGTTTGATGACGTCAACAGCCGGTAATGCACAAGTCTTCATTATTTTTAATTCGAAAATGTATTATTTATTATTCCTACAATTTATTTAAAGTACTTGTACTGTATAGAATAATATATACAATTTGTATATTGTATATGATTATTTAGACACTTGTATAAATATATCCCATCGTTCTTTAATTTGTAAAGAAACTCTTTTATCCGGCCCTCAGTTATGCGGATTCGCGATTATCCGAACTACTAATCGCCAATTTATATGTATAACATTCTTACAATAATTTTTTTTTCTTGGCTCTGTAGTTTTTGCGAAATAGTACTGTCATTTTGTCCATTGGGCTCGCCAGTAGGTAAGCGGTTAAAAGCGACGGGACTTGATTCAGAGGTCCCGGGTTCGATACCCACTTCGAGCAGCCTGTCGTCAAGCAGCAGTGACAACCACTTTCTCTTGGAAATATAGATTGCAATATGTTTCCAAGTGAAAATAGCTCTTAATCCGACATTGCTTCAATATTTAATTAGAACGACCATCAGAGGGGTTGTTTTCTAATAGCGTTCAGTATAAAAATTAAAAAAAAAACTATATCTCAGATAGAGTAAGGACAATCAATGGATTGCTTATTAACAACAATATCGTCTTAAGTAATAAGCAGTGTTCAGTACAGCTTATAGAACATATAATGTTCTGATTGCTGTAACAACTACGTGTATAAAAAAAGTTCATTGTATTGGTATGTCATTTTGTTTGAAAGTGAACAAAGATGAATAATTAATCAAAATAGTATAATACAGTTGATTATTGCAATAAAATTGTTTGAAATCACTAGTACTTTATTAAGTACTGATGTTCTTAAAAGAACATGAGAAAAACACCTTCAAAGTAAACTTTTCAAAGCGCAAAACACGTTTAAACTGATTCGACAAGACTACGACTATGGTGCTGAACATCTGACATGATTGTGATTATTGCTTTCTTCATGTTATACAGTAGCGGAAACGTTAACAAAACTAGTCAATTTTTAAATAAGGCCATTGTGTCATTTTGCCTATATATACCATTTTGTCCGTATTTCCCCTATAACAAATACACTTCAAGAATAGCTAGCAAAGATGACGAATATTTAACATTTAACTAAAATATTGAACTTTTTATAAATGCCACTTAATTTTTTGTTAATTAAGTTTTACAATTTTGTCGCAGGTTTGTTCCTAAGCTGAATGGAAGTGATGTAGCTGATAGTATTATCCACGCCGTAAGGACTGATGAATATTTTCTCATTATGCCTGGGTATTTCAGAATACTCATGATTATGCGATGGTAAGTCTTATTATTTATTATAGTACTTTTATGATCTATATTAACAGAGAGCATAATTACACAGCTCTACAAAATAAAAAAGTTGTCTATATTAGATGTGTGATGTATATTTTCCAATATACTTTTTAAGGCTGGATATGAATCTAAAGTCATAATTGGGGGTCAAACTGTAAAAAACAAAGAAAAATCTCCTATCTAGTAATTCTTCTGCATGATGATTAAAATCTTACAATATTATGTCGTTTCCTGGCCCTTTTCACCTTAGATAACGTGGATATTTTTGCAATGCATTTTTCATTTTCATTGTAGAAACTAGCAGCAATCTGCCAGGAGGACCAGGAAACCACAGAAATTATAAGATTTTAATTATCACGTAGAAGAATTACTACATCCGAGATTTGTAGTAGTTTATTTTTCTCCGTTTTTGCAGTTTGACCCCCCAGTTGTAACGTGTTTAGTGGATCTATGATATTGGATATAACATCAATAAATAAAATATTGATGCTATGCTCAATGATTCTCTATTGCATATGCCAACATTAAACTCAAATATATACATATATAATAATTGCATATATATATATATATATATATATATATATATATATGCACATATATATTCTTTTTTTTCTTATAGGATTTTCCCGTGGTCTTGCAGCGCAGGATTTTTACGTCGTCTGGTAGTCGATGCAGCTCCTACAGTACCTGCCTGTAATCTGAATAATAATACTCAAAAGCTAAAGGCTTGATCTTAACACATTTTCTTTAATTGTGATCTTTCTTTGCACCAAATTTTCCGGAGTCAACATGATCTGAGTTTCTCTAGTGAAGTACATATAGACCAAAATTGGCGGCTCCCAATTGATTCAACTAATAGTGTACGATTTGGTAAATTTGGAATTCTACTATTTTCTAAAACTCGGTATGGACTTTCTGAATTACATGACATTATTTAGTGATACAAGTAAGTTATTTTTTATGGTAATCAAAATGTTGTCTGGTAAATCAATTGTTGTTTAATTTACGATTTATGAAATGTCTTGTCACGATGTATCCAGACATGCCTAATGAATTACCTGATTAAACATTGGCTAGATTTTAATATATTAGCGACATATTATTGCATTCACTTTTTTTCGAAAATTTTATTTATACGCAATATTTTAATGCAACCATTACTTTATACAATTTATACAATGCAACTTTTTTTTCTTTTCAATTTAGTGTGTAAACTGAATCATATTGCAAACTGTTTGTTGTACACTTTAATTTTAATTAGGAATTAATCGGGATAATTTTACATATCATTAGACTAAGCAAACTGTGAAAATATTTTTCGTTTTTTTTAAAACACACATTGGGAAGATTCGACGATGCGCCTTGGGAAACATTAGCCTAAATAAACAAGGCAATAGTGAGTGAAATTTTTTACATAAACCGATTATATTTTAAATTTTGAAATATTTAATGTCGCTTTTACAACGATGTAATAACTTACGCTGAATAATACGGCTTCGACATCTTTCGTTTTTTTTTTGTCATTGGGAGTTGTATACAGTTTCAGACGTTATTATTGACTCGTTTCTGGAATCTCCAATTTCGTGATATTTGTAAACTTCTGTCTAAATGTAAGTCTTTACTTACAAATATTTATATCAAAATTTTAATCTTAAAGATTTAATAATAGCATAAACTTTGGGGATGTACTACTACTATAACCATTTATGCACATATGGGAAAAGTGAGTTCTATTTAGATTATTATATATATATAAGTTAGATACTTATTGAATATTTGTGCAATATATTATATGTAAACCATATTAAGTAAGAATATATGTGAATATACTTATATATATATATATATATATATATATATATATATATATATATATATATGCAGTTCTTGTCGGAGGCAAATGCAACTAGTGTTCGCATCGGTGCCCTCAATTAGCAATTAGCGAGACATTTTTCTAATTTTAAGAGCATTATCTGAACATATAAATTGATTTATGAAAAATGTATCTATAATATGTGTATTTGCACAAACCCATGTATACAAAAAAATCCTCGAAAGAGGTTCTGCTTTGTCATTTTGCACCGCAAGTGCTGCTCTATTTGTATGTAATATATAAGTACTTATTAATTTATGTACTTATATGTATACACAGGGCCGGTCCTGCCTTGCATGCGATGCATGCAAAAAATGCGGGCGCACGCCTTAGGGGGCGCCAAAACGAGTTTCGGAAATTAAATTTATAATATAATATTTATATTTTTTATATAAAATCTAGAATTATTTATATAAAATCTAGAATTATTTATATAAAATTTAGTATACATAATAAATTATAATAAACAATCTAACTTAATTAGGGATACGAAGGCACAAAAAGCATTTATTTACATTTATTTTGCAATATGTGATATCAGTAGAAACAATTAGCCGATTAATAACTCTGAAAATTAGTAAATAACAGCTCTGTTCATTGCTTAATCTACTTATTCAATTTTTTCTTTGTTTGAAGTTAACGCGGAATCGAAAAAGAAATTATCTAGTGTTCAATCCCATAAGCTCAAACCTGCAAAAAATTAAATTAACTATTGGGCATTATTGACGAAAAATTGCGAGCTGATTTAGTTAAAACGAAACTTTTTTTTTTTATTATTAACTCTTTTATTTACAACTGTCCAGTATAGGACATTCAGTAAATTTAATGGATTTACTATAGTCCGCCGAAAAGGTACATTGTATACTACTTTGACTTGTTGGAAAAAACAACTCAGTAGTTGTTTTTTCGATGTAAAATTTACAATATTTACTTATTAAATAATTTCTTATAAATAATGATTAAGTTATTTCCATTAAAAAATACTACTTGTTAAAAAATATAAACAAATTATAATCGGGAAAATAAAAACTGGGGAGTCAGTGCTTAAAAAATGGCATGTTTATTCCGAGAAATTGAATTGTAACTTTTGCTTTTATTGCAGATGTTTCGCTTCTGATGAATTTTGAATGTTGAAGACATGCGTGGTTAGGGTTATGGAAATGGAGCAAATATGAAAAATGAAAGCAAAATGTACTTATGAACAAAAATCTTTAAGCTTTTTTTGTACATAATTATTAACTATGCAGAAATAATACAGATACAAATATAATTTGTTTGTTTCAGTACAGTTAAGGGAATATGTAATTTTGTGCATGTTTTTGGACAATACTTTAAAAATACGTTAAAAGTTTAACTTTAAAACAACAATCTGATACTTTGAATCTGATGGGAAAGTAAAGCTGAATACAATTCGGATCTTATGATACCAATACGGAGGAGTTTACGATGCAATTTTGAATATTGTAAATAATGAAAAAATAAATTAAAATAAAATTTAATTTAAAACATAAAATACGAATGCTATGTTTAAAAATTAAAGACTATTCTTTTTTTGTTTTTTTTTGGCGTGATTTGCTCTATAGAATAAATAGCATAATAAATAAGTTAAATGTTTCAAAACCAAAATATTAATATTACACCTGCGTCAGAAATAATTGAGAATTTAAAAATATTTGATTATGATCAACCCGCGAATCGCCTCGATTTTCTAACTAAATTTAAAATCAATGTATTTTATACGCTTTTAGATTACATCTAAATTTATGTGTACTAAATTCAGAATGATTAAAAATTAATTTAAAAAAATAAAGTAAATGTTTATATCATTTTAATTATTGGGGGGGGGGGGCGCTAGGACAAATCTTGCATGCGGGCGCTAAGGACCCCAGGACCGGCCCTGTGTATACATATGTATACACATACATATACATATATGTATATGTATACGTATATTGAAAAGTTTAGGTTTATAAGAATGTATGTTTATATTATATTAAACTATAATTATTGAAAAATATTGTGCCAGAACTGAAAAGATTTTGGTTTCGGTTCGGATTTGTTGCTTTTCGGTCTTCGTCTACGTGTCCTATTACAATCCATGAGTTAGAAAAATTAGCATTTCAAACATTGTTTGAACTTGATTCAGTTTTTCTAGTGAAAACAGATTATATCGAGACCGAATTTAGAATGGCAATATGGTTATGTTTGTGCCTTAAGTGTAGTATTGTACTAACGTAGCTGAATAGTTAAAAATTTGAGTGGAATACTTCGATAATAAAATTATACAAATTGTACAGTTACGATTTTTTTAAAGAAACAATATTTTTGTATAGCAAAACATGAACAAGTTAACAAACCAGTTTCCAAATAGGATATATTAAATAAATAATGACACTAATTGTAAATAGCATATCAATATTTTTGTATTTCAATTTTATATAAATACATTCGAACTTCTTGCCAACCAAACTGCTTAAATTTTATTTATATTTTGTGATTAGAGGTAATTAATACATTTTGACTAGAATAGAATCTTTTGTATATTATGTAATTTAATCTTTCACCATTTATTCTAAATTAATAATTATTGTCGTGTAGTATTTAGATTTTTACTTTATGACGGAAGACAATGGCAGGAAAGTAGTAATTTATTATTAAAATTTATTTAAAATTGAAGTTATTTTTTTAATATCATAAAATCACTTTTAAAAAGCTTCAGTGAACTTCTTATAATGCAGGTTTTGTCATAGCGATAACTTATTGGATGAAACTGCTTGCTTACTATTGTAAGTAATTATAATACTATTAGTAACATCAATGTCACATATAATACAATTTTATACAATAACCACTTTGGTACGAGCGGCAAGTTTACTTGACGGCCACATAGCCAAGCGTCACTATTACGTGACGGGCATGTATGGCCGAGCGTCAATTGCTCGTGACAGTATTTTTAAGTATCGCCATAGGGTTTGTCTATGAACGAGGCAGCACACGAATGATGCATGCCGGCTGTGAGCTACGGTACGTGGACAGAAGTCGCCGTACCGAAGTGGTTAAGACTTAACGAAAAGCTATTATTTTAGGTGTACAGAAAGCACGCAGTGACTTCAATAGGATTTCATGTACTGGATTGTTAATAAACAAAAGGCGATAAAAATTATTTTCTTAATTTTTTGTTAATATTTTGTTTGAATCGAATATGACTAATGCTTTGATTACGCTGATTTTAGTTTCGAACCGATTAGTCTATTTCTAATTTGGGGAATCCTCCACAACGCAACTGCTGCAAGTGCTCCGGCGCAAGCACCGAACCAGTACACAATCACGTGTTCCCAAGCGGAATGTCCCATGCAGCCGAATTTTAAAGATGTGGCTAGAACTGGATTGAAATATCCACCCGAGTAATTAAAAGCTGTGAAAGAGAAATTTTATTAGACTTTCTTAAAATGTTATGCAGAAATTAGATGGGTATGTATCACTTTAATGTGTAATCGAGAGTTATAAAATGAACCATAATATTCGTAAAGTTAATAGATAATAATGTAACATTACATTAAAATAAATTCGTTTCTCATTTGCTAGCATTCTGTTCACAATAAAGAACAAAGGTTTTAATTAAGGTTGATAATATAAAAATGATGGAACAATCACTAAGACGTTTGAATTATGATTTTTTTAGATACAAGAAAAACAGCATTTGTGCAAATAGGGTAAGAATTATGATATATGCGAAAATAGTTTTTACTTAACCCTTTCACTACGGCAGTGTTTCCAGCGGGCTGAAAACACTGCTGTACGGAACAGCAAACCGCTCGGTAGCGCGGCCCGGGATTTTCAATCATTACTAACAAAAATATATTTAAAAAATAATAAATGCTTTAACTTGAAGATATTTAATCTAAAAATTACAATAAAACATTAGTTTTTAATAATATCACTCATTGATTTGTGGTACTCTCACACCATAGACCTGCCTTCGGGCAGATTATTATTTATTATTGTTATTATATTACTATGAATGATAAATCTTAATCAAAATCGAGTTTAAAAAGAGATCTTCAAGCAATAGTCTACACACTTTATGTCGTTTATAGGCGACATTCGTACACACAGATAGTGTGGATGTCACCTATAGGCGACGCTCGTATGGAAAGGGTTAAATATGCTATTTATTTTGTTGCAATAAGTCAGTATAAGTTATATCGCACAACGAGTGTAAAAGTGCACTTAATTTTAATATACAAACAACATTCTGTTTACACATGCATGTTAGTGGAATATACTGGTCAATTAATGTCAGCCAATGATCCCATTTTGCCCAAATTTGATTTTACTCGACCATGAATTTTTCTCATTAACAGTTTTCAAATAATTGAATCACCAATTTAAGACAACAATGATATTACCCGAATTTCTATGTCGTAAACACTACAAATAGTATGAAATATATTCATACCATTCATCGTGGTTCACCGATATTCTGGCACGATGGAATCTTGCCTTTGACTTACAGATCAAGGGCAAGTTTAGATACGTGCAGCACACTAAAATTTGGAATGTTAATTAAAAATTCCGTTAGTACCAGTTAGATTACAAACAAACATAATACTTTTTTAATAAGTAAGTTTCGTCGTTAAAGCATTGACGCGAAGCGTTGATAATTATATAAACTTGGACATTATTTAATCGAGTTAGATACAAGAAATAAATTAGCTTTAAAATATATCTGGGAAATAAAGATAACAGCAGCACGTCTATGCTATATCAACAAAACATTTCAAGAAAATAGTCAATATCCATACCAGCCACAACAAGTGCCGTTCCTACAAAGGAATCTAAGGCCGCGGCAAATCTGGGTTCGTGATGAGAGATCACTTTCGACGTCAGCCGGCATAGGCACGTGGCAATTCCTTCTATTGCCGTTCCTAGCATAGGAGATACCTGGAATAAATATTTGATTTAATTCAAATAACACCTCATACGATTAATGATAAATGATAAAATTTACTAACTTAATTAGCATAGTCATAGAGAAGTCAATCTCTAGAAATATTACAGTATGGATACTTTAGAGACCGATGCTGTCGTAAAATAGACTAATGTTATGGCTAGGTTATGTTATGTAGCAGTTTTCATATAAAGTGGTACTAAAAACTATCTAAATGCTATGTGGTTGTTCTGCAGTCAGGCGTCTTAGATAGAAAAACTAACCAAGAAATAACACAAATGTCAAAAACAATGTTATCATAACTGGATTTTTGAAATATGGCTTGATTATATATGAGCGAACTTGCATTTTATGTGTAAAACGCCTGATCCCACAGCAAGTACATGGCATGGCATGGCATGGCATTTTGACAGTATTTAATAACATTTTGTATGAAAACTGGAACGTAACATAGCCTTGCCATAACATTGGCAATGTTATCCATACTTACGAATGGATATTAAAAAATAAAGTAAATGTGTTCCTAAAATAAACCTGAGCATTTGAATAATATCAAATAATAATTAATTAATTTGTTACAGTTCTTTTAGTTAATTACATGAGTACACTTTAATTGACTGGTTCACTTACACCAACATTTATATTTTATTGTTATTTAAAATCACGAACTTGTAAAATTCACAATAATTATTATACGTTATAATTGAAGATTGAAAATATATGTCTTAAATAGTACAAATAAAACAAAATTAATTGTTCGTTCTACTTGTCAGTGTTTATATTTTTCTTTTGCACTATTTAGGGTCTCACATTGCACGATAGCAAAAACGAGATGATTCTGTAGTGCTGGTAATTAAAATGGCCATTGATATAAAATTCGCTACTGAGCAGACTACAGATGATGCAAATATTGATTAATACAAAACGAATATTTTAACTAATATTTAACATTGTTATAAAATTCGCTACTGAGCTATAGACTACAGATGATACAAATATTGATTAATACTAATATTTTAACTAATATTTAACATTGTTATAAAATTTGCTAATGAGCTACAGACTACAGATGATGCAAATATTGATTAATACAAAACAAATATTTTAACTAATATTTAACTAAATCATCAAGGAAAACATACCTGTAAATCAGCCGTGCAGTTTTCAAATGCTCTTCCTGTATGCGTTGGAGAAAGCTCCAAATACCAAAATAATTGTACATAACGAAATATCAGACAACCGCCAACTAGTTGTGCCCAAGTTTTCAGTACAGCTTCGCGCAATGTAGCTTTGTCTATAAAAATCAGTTTAATAATCAATAACACGTAAAATACACTTTTTACCTCAAAATTATAATCGTTAAAAGTGCAAGTGTAATATATTATTTTAAAATATCTTTTGATTGAGCGACTATTTATTATTGAGTTACGGTTTGTTTCTTACTGATACTGAAAAATGAAGAAGATGAAGAAAGATATTTAGAATAATTTTTTTTTCATATTTTATATTTTATTTTTATTTACATTTTATTTTTAACAGCAATCTGAACTTAAACACGGAGTGCTATGAGCTGTTGTGCTGGTATCTTAAATTACTTGGCTTCTTTTATTGATGGCAAACTAAACATTTATATTTTATTGTTATTTAAAATCATGAACTTGTAAAATTTACAATAATTATTATTCGTTATAATTGAAAATTGAAAATATATGTCTTAAATAGTACAAATAAAACAAAATTAATTGTTTGTTCTACTTGTCAATATTTATATTTTTCTTTTGCACTATTTTGGGTCTCACATTGCATGATAGCAAAAGCGAGATGTTTCTGTAGTGCTGATAATTAAAATGGCCATTATAAAATTTGTCACTACTGCTTGACATAAGTCTGTCGGAGACGGGTACCGGACATGGAGCCTTTGGTACGAAATCCATAGCCTTAATCATTACGATACGGGGTAATCTTATTACGAGGTAGATTTTTTAATATTTTAAAACAAAATTGATTATTTACATATTTGCACAAAAGCAACTGCTCTTTTTAGTAAGACCTTGTGACGATCACCCTGATAGGCTGTGGAATTCAAATGTTTAATATATGAAGATTTGAACTTGGACTATTTTAATATATTTTAGAACAAAGTATGTAGGTATTTGTATTTTTACTTAACTAAAAAAAAATGTAATAAAGATTTTAAAATCTGTTGAAAATACCACACGTATGAGATCATGGGATCAGTATTCGTGTTGGGCATATATATTTTGGAATTTATTTTGAAATTTAATATTAATAATTTTATTTAGTATAGTTTATGATGTTCACATCGGTATTCGGCATTTATGAGTTTGATCATACATATTTTTGGTTTCAATTTAGAATCTTATATTATTATGTCTTTTGGCATAGTTTCAGGTGTTCACTATGTACACGATCTAATACGCTAAAATAAAATAATATTGCAATAATGCGTAAAAAGCGGTACATGCCTTCGCTCAATATTTCGAGTTTATAAAGCTAATTTGAAACTTCGAATTATTATTAGTTCGAACACATTAAGGTTATTAATAACTATTTCAAAATTGGAATTGATGGACCGATTCCGCCGCATAACAGACAAATGTTATGGCAAGGCTATGTTATGAAGAACGTTTCATACTAATTCGTTCTAAATATTGACAAAAGCAATGTGCTTGCTGTGCAGCCAGGCGTTTTTCTCAGGTTTTCAGATAGTAAACCTTACCTAGAAACTGCACAAATGTAAAAAACGATCTTACATAACACGGTCTTTCTGACTCAGCTTCATAACATACGAGTGACGTTGCAGTTTATGCGTAAAACGCCGGAATGCACAGCAAATACATGAAATTTTGACAGTATTCAGTATAATTCAGCAGCATAATGAATGGAAGTTGGAACGTAACATGGCCTTGCCATAACATTGGTCTGTTGTGCGTCAGAATCGGCCTATGAATTTTGTTTAATAATAGTTTATGTTGAAATCATAACATCTGATTTGAAATTTAATTTTGTCTTTGCTATTTTAATAATAATTTCGATTTATTTTAATCTTACCTTCCACGACATCTTCCAGAAGCGTATACGGGCAGGCAGTGGCATCGCCCCAAACCATGGACCACCATATCGTCAGGACGAACAGGAAAATAGCGTACATAGATACACCGTAGTTGTCGGCAACTGTTCAACAAAATGTGCCAAATCTGATCAAAGAAAGTTAAATGCAGGTCATACTTTATGGACAGACTTCAAAATATAAATTTTATACACATTTGAACCGACTAATGAAAATTAATAACAGGTTTTGAATGTGAAAAGATTTTAGTTAATAATTAGGTAATTAAGTACTTAGACTTGTGAGTAACTTAATTATGGCATACAGTTTTTATAAAAGGGGATAAATTATTCTAACCACCTTGAAATTTATTACCAGCTTCTAGTCATTGTTGATCATTTTTATCTTGGCCGGGTTCCGGATGCTTTTCTTTGAGTTGACAATTTTTTTGAATCACATTATTTTCAAAGAAAAAAGTACCAGTTTACAATAATGTTTCCGATTAATTATATTACGTTAAGTTTATGGAATAGATAATCGTGCACAATTTTTAACATTCAAACACTTAACTAATAAATTGTTTTTAGTGATTTATTTCAAGGGTGTACTATTGAGCTAGCAAGGAAATAACGACGTTTGAAATGATTATGAAAAACTGATACTTTAAAATCTTGATTTGCAGATTCCATCGAATAAGCGGCACTAAAAATAAATAGATTTTGTATATAAAATATAATTATAAAACAAGAGGTTTTCTCAATTGAGATAAACAAAACTGGCGTGTAGCGATGGGAATCTAGATAAAAATTCCATGAAGTTTTTAATTTTATTGTTATTATAAGACTTCCTTTTTGAAGATATATTTTGAAGATATTTGCTAAATGTTGCTGTTTTAAATTTCTTATGTTTTGCGTTTTCTTATTTAAAAGTTCGTGATTATATTTTATGTTAAGTTCGTATATTGTTTGAAAATATTATGGACGGAATTATTCGATAACAATTAAAAGTTCAGCACATATCAACAACTACTACACAAAGGACGGTTACATACAAATGTTTAAAATAGTACAAATAAAAGAATATAAATAATCCTTTTTATTTCTCAGTATTTTTGTTTTCTCTGGCACTAGTCGTTAAGATCGTATTGCTCGTTGCAAATATACGGCCTGTTCTATAGTGCAAAAACACATACTAACTATACTTTTACTGATACTTTCTGATATTTATATCAAAATAAATCTACTAAATAACTAACTAACTACTTAATTTTTTGTTATTTTTGGTACTAACGCATTTTTGCATAATTATCTAAAACTACTGAACAATGGTCTTCTACACATATGAAATAACAGTGGCATTGTTATATGCATATTTTTTTTTTGTTATAAAAAATCATAATAGAGATCATTTAACTTTAAGAGATATATTGTTAGGTTGAACCTATGTGTGTCTATATTTGCGGCATTATCCTCCTGCACTTTTACGGTCCTATTAATTATTTAGTCAAAAATAAGTTGTCTGTTTAACCAAAAGGCCACAATGGCCCAATTTATATTTAAAAAGTGGACTTTGAAAAAAAGCTTATACTTAAATGACACTCTGTTTATTGAAAATTTACCTTCAAATCCCGAAGTTTTTGAGGAAATTTGGGAAGAGGCTTATCTAAAACCGAGAAAGAAAAGGCCGGGCAGCCATTTCTTGTGCCACAAAAAACTTTTTGGCCAAATTAAAATGGGTGCAAGATTTTATAAATGTGAGGCTAAAGAAATCAGTGATTTGTACAACGACAAGCTTACCTATCATTTTCGGTAGGCTTATCGAAGAAACTAAAATAAACAAGTATGAGTAGTTTTTTTTAAGAATTCAGGAGATAAACACGGAAAACAAGGAAACTGGACCACTCTTTTGAATATAACTTTTAATTAATTGCCTTAGTATGCGAATATTTGTTTTATTTTAAATGTATTAATTACATACATATATATATATATATATATATATATATATATATATAATTTATTTTTGATGACCATATTCTAAATTACAAAACGAGTTAGTTCTATTTCTCGCATAACAAACTTTCTTTCAGAACGATTCCACTGTATATATCCACGCCTGGCAATATGATATGCATCAATGCATTCATGTTTAAAATCTTATTTTGTATTTCAATTTTAAGCAGATAGATATGAAAACCGTTTATGTGTCCTTAAAAAATGCATTTTATTTTCGTCTAATTCGGTAAACTAAAATTTATATTTAGTGTAAAAGTAGTATGCAGATATATCAGAAGAGCTTTAATACTTTATATAGTACGTGGTGTGTGCTACTAAGTATAAGCTACTAAATTATTTATCTATTGTGTTAACAGATGTATTATTATTGATTGCTAACACTAACAATGCTTACATTGTCAATTTAGGCTGTTAGCGCTATAAATTGGTAATGACAATGCCAGTGATGCTGTAAATATATACGCGTTAAAATAATAAAATTATAATACAAATTATAATTCCACTCAAAATTATAAACATTGCTCAAATCAACTTCAAAACTTCAATAAGTAAGACAGTGCGAGTTATATTAAGAGTTTTTGCAATCCATGATAATTCTCTATGAAACCTTACTTAAGTTGAGAAATAAAAATTCCATGCATTTTTACAATAATTTGGATAAAGCCCAATAAGTTGAAAAGGTACTGAACATGGTTTAATCAAAATTGTTAGTTCAAATTCTAAAGTAGACGTGAATTGATCCGAATTAAAAAATCTATTTTAGCTCGATTGTAGAATTAAGTGTACGTAGTAAATTGAGATAGATGTTGGATAAAACAAGCAATTATCATGAGCATGACAAAGTTTAAAGTAGCGGATTTAAATTTTATTTATACAAAAAAAACTTGAAAAGGCGAATCCAGATTAAGGCCAAACTGCTAATTCAAGGGTTCTATAATGTTCCCAATCAAATTGGGAAGATTTGAAATTATTTTGAATTTAGTTTTTGGCTCGCGGAATGTTTATGTTTACAGATAGACGGCTCATTTAATTCCTATTCAACCGTTCCGTCTGTAACGTGCGATGAAAGGCCGAGGATAACGCTTAATATAAGTAATAATGAATTTTTTTCGAAATACAGTAGAACTCCAATCATCCGAACTCCAATTATCCGAACTCCGACTATCCGAATCGCCGATTATCCGAATCACTTTCAGAAAAAAAATTGTCCAAAAAAAGTCTAAGTGCGCTATTATTCTTTCACCAGCAAAGCCAGTGTAGGCACATTGTTTGTTTTGATTTGACGGAGATGTTTACAAAACAATGATTTTTATTTCTAAACTTGTACATAAGTACATTTTATTTATATTTAAAACATGTAAAAATGTCATGTTTCTTTCATTTAATTCAATCAAAAAATAGTGCAATAACAAAACATAACTTTTTTTCTCTCCAATGGCAATTTTAAAAAAAACTCCGAATATTTGATTATCCGAATCGGTCCCGGTCCCCATTAATTCGGATAATTGGAGTTCTACTGTATATCATATATATATATATATATATATATATATATATATATATATATAATATTAGATGCGATCAACTTTATGATTATGATCTATATAACTGATCTCAGAAAGTAACGTTTGCTGTTTCTTTCCAGGATGGCAAATTATTTTATTTTTTCAACAATTGTCAAATTGATGGCCAATTAATGGTCAATCATTTGACTTACATTATTTGTGAAATTTCGATCGATTTACTCGACTTCGGCATACTTCTTTGCAATATACTTTTAGTAAGTGATGACTAGGTAGAAGTTCACTGAGCAAAATCAATGTTTGCATACATCCTAATTCTGAATAGATGGCAGGTAGAACATTTATTATTTACAGTTTTACTTCATCGTTCGAATAATTGTAAGTGTATAGCAAAGCATGCACATTAGAGCGGGTCGATTTGTATTGGTCAAAAAAAGTCGCATAGGCACATATGATCTTTGGCTACCAGGGATCACAAAAACATACTTTGCTGAGGAAAACATACCCATAAAATGAATTCTGATGTCCCGTGCCATGGCCCAAAAGTAATGGTTAAAATTTGAAATTCTATTTTGACTCAGTCAGAGTGCCCCATGTATGACCGACAACCACTAACTTTTGAAGGCCGATCCACCCATGCTCGTGGTTCACCGCCTGGGACTCCACATGAGAGGTTTTTGGAAATTTAACCCTGATTTTTAATTCATTTTAGAGGTGTGGTTTCTTGAGAAAAGTATCTTATTTTGATCCCTAGAATCTAAAAATCATGTGTGCCGAAGTGAGCTTTAAATTGACCAGCCCTAATGCACATACATCAAAATCAAGTTTTTGGTAATTAACGAAATTTAGTAAGTATATAGAAGTTTATATATTTAATTTTGTTTTATCAAATATTTGGTTGGTTAGCCACAAATATATTACAGTTATATCTTAAATTATTGTTATCACATGAAATTTGTTAGCACATGTTTTATTAAACAAATATATACAACATTAAGATTAGTAATAATTTTAATAAAAATTTTGTTAATCAGGATCAACGAAGACACACGTTTCGGCGTTCTACCTATGATCAATTCGAAGCAGGAAGCACAAAGTTCAGCGGCGGCGATTCCTTCCAAAATCAAGGATCGGATCATTCCGCGCTGCGTCCTGGAGGCGGCCATGCGGCATACTTGCGCCAACAAGAGGGTAAAGGCAATGAAACCCGCGGACCATACCAACGGATGGACGCCCTCGCTCGTTTCCGACATTTTTCCCTGAAAGGTGAGTTGAAATTAATAAATATTTTAAGTAAAAATATATAATATTTTTATAAATAATTGCGAAACCTATCTTTATTTCGAGAAAAACATATCATATGACAGTTATTCGGTACTCAATTAGAGAAAGTGTTTTTTGTGGGACATATCAAAATACTTTAAAATAAATTTGCATTAGAATATTCAAATTTATCAATATTACGATACATCAATATGGGATATTTAATAGAAAAGTTATGATTTGCAATAGTGAATTTTTGGCAATGATCTTGTTCTCTTGAATTCAGAACCATGGCTCGGTGCCATGTACGCAATTAAGTTACGCAACCTCAATGACAATTCAGCTAGGTTTGTCATAATGATATGCACGTGTATATACATGTATATAAATATATACACAAATTTATAATTATTTCTCACAAGCATGACTATTTGTAACAAATATCGTAGCAACATGAAATTAAAATTAATAATAGTTATTTTAATCAAAAAATATATCGCTACATTTGATCTAGCACTTTTAATTCCCTAAGCTACTATAACACATAGCGTAGTTTAACGAAAGTGCACAAATTCGACTTGATTTAGAAAGAATTTTTTTTAGGAACTGATTGTCCAGGTGCGCGCGTGAATTCATAATTAAGCTAGCGGTATAATAAATGGTAGTAATTGCACCAGGGATTTAAACTACAGAAATAAAATTATTTATAAATATAGAAGAGTAAAATGTGCGTATTGGTAATTAATTTGGTATAATATTAAATGATATAATAATATATTAAAAAATTAATCGTACTGCAACGTACAAAATAGTAAAAAATCATCAGCGTATTAACTATACAGAAAAAACACCATCAATTGGTATCAAACACTGCAACAACATTATGAAATACACTACAAAAAAATTAATTTTTAGAACAAAAACGTAACAAAATTAATTTTTATTTTGTCATTTCTGCCAGAAACAACAATTCAACATTTTTGCATGTTACATACCTTCAAATCAATTTCACTAATTGTGATGTTATATCCTATATCGCACTAAGTTCTCTTTATTTCACACTGATGGCCCGTTTCCGACCACGAATGCCGCTATTTTGCATTTGGAGGTCGGTCTCCCTCCATTGCCTAAATCTTTTCAATTCACTTTGCGAGTAAAACGCTTGCCAAGCGGACGCCCGGGAGACGATCTCATCATGATGATGGCCACAAATTTGACGGTCAGGTCAACGTGATGTATTCATATTGATTTGTTGCAAACCATCTGAAATAATAGATTTATTAAGGAATTGGAAACCTGTGTATTACTATAGTTAAACTAGTGGTGCATTGTATCGCGCCTTAGGGCAAATTGCTGGAACTTCCCTTAGAAAAACCTATTTTGGATTTAAAATTTTAAAAAAATTTAACGTGTATTTTTACATTTTTTTTTTAATGCGTATATAATTATATATATGTACAGTGTTACCTCGTACAATGTACCCCGTGCATTTTTTTTTGTTCGCAAACGATTTGCACAATCAACTCTATTTCACACAACGAACTGCACCGTTGTCATTGGCAGTGAAAAATAAGTTGCCCTTTCAGTGACAGTTTAATTTATAGAACCTAATGGCATGAAGTTTTATTAAATTGTAAATTGGAAATTTTTGTTCGTGTTGTGGTAAACTGAAAAAATTTCGCAAACAAGGCTGAGAAAATAAAATGATATCACAAGGCTGAGAAAATAAATGATTTTGCAATCATACGCCTGCTTATAATATTTGGTATGTCTTAAAGAAGTCAAAAAAATAAACAACTAACGGCAGTTTTTTAAAAAATTCAGGAACTAAAAGGGCAAAGAAAAGTGCTGCACAACTATTTAGAATATAACCAATGTGTAACTCATAAATAAGTTTAATTACCACATAACGTACCTAGTTCCAAAACATCGACAGTAAATAAATAAAGAAATGTTTTTTAAAAAAAACTTTTGGAAAAATATTTTTGTTTCAATTCATTTTTTTTTGGAATATCGAAAATAATTCAGATTCTAATTTTAATTCTGACAAAAGTTCTAATATACTTTAAACAAATAATTTCAACTTAGCAATTCAGTTTATATAATTAAATTACAAATATTAGACAATAAAATACGGGAAGTTTCAGCAGTACGATGCTATACACCACTTGTTGGATTCTTTGTTCGAAGCTCTACAATATATATATATATATATATATATATATATATATATATACATAATTTAATTTATGTATATAAAAAGTAATTAATATTTATTATTACTCGTGTAGAATATAAATAAAAATTTCTAAGTGGTATATCACCAGTGCTGGATTACTCCATAGGCCCGTGAGGCCCGGGCCTAGGGCGGCACAATTTGGGGGGCGGCAAATTTTTCAGAATGTCAAAATTTTAAATCCAAAGAATTGTCACGGCGATTTATTTTAAGGATTGATCCTGATCTAGATAATTTTCTATGAAATATAATGCTAATCGTTTTCTATATCAAACTTATTCGAGGGCATCAAACTTATTGTGGTACCATGTTTGAAATAAAAATTATCAAATTGATAAGCTTTTTTTGGAGAAATATTGAAGCTCTGTACATTTTTTGTAACTTTGTTAAGGTGAATCTTACATACAAAACGCTTTAAAATGGCTTTAAATGGTTTCTTATTTTATTTCGGGAACTAACATAATATATTAATTGTTATTTTGTGATAATTTAATTATTTCTTGGTTCGTATATAATTTTGTTTTTCTTTAAAATAAATTCTATAAGATAAAACTAAACCTAAACTAAAATATCTGACAATTTGGTGTCCTTCATTGATCATTTTAGACCACCAATTGGCATTTCCTCCGCGGGTAAGTTATAATAATTCGAAAAACGAAACGTAAATCAATTGTTTATAAATATTTTGGCATACCATAGGAAAAATAGACGTATGCATGTGTGTTTGCGATTACATTTTTTTGTCGCCGCTTTTGAGACGAATCAACCGATTGAATGATTCAATTGGAAGATGTGCTGATTAGTTTTTGGTAATGACAGGTTTATCCATTTCGGAATAGGGGCCAAATGATAAAAAATGACTATTCAATTTTTAGAGAACCCTATTTTCTATTCGATTGAAAAATTCAAAACACGTTGTACTTGTGCAACAAAATGAAGAATTGACTAAATTTTTGTGATGGTAAAGTGAGCGTGCATTTTTGGTGATCCAAAAAAGTGCCATTTGGTGGTTAAAAATGATCAATGGACATTTGCACATCAAATTATCAGATTTTTTTACAAAAATTTTAATAATCAGTACAAATTTTGTTTTTATTTTTAACTTCTCGCGGGGTAAGTTATAGTAGTCGCAAAAAATTGAAAATATTTTTTTTGCATATCTTTACGTTTCAAAGGTTCAGAAAAAATAGATGTTTGTGTGTGCGTGCGTTTGGATGTAGGTAATATGTATGTATGTAATTAGGACAAATACTAATTTTTATCCACGGTTTCGAGAGATCAACCGATTTGCATGATTCAAGAAGCATTCGATTCTTACTGATAGTGACACGTGCCGATTAGTTTTTGGCAAAGGCAGATTTAGTCATTTTGAAGATACGGGACAAAAAGTGCATAAAAATGGAAATTCGGTTTTTGAGAGAACGGAGCGACCGATTTGAGTGATTCAAAAAACATTTTACTCACATGGACGAAATGAAGAATTAACCGAATTTTGAGAAGGCAAGTTCAGCGACTATGAAGATCCAGAAAAAAGTTATAAAAACAACACTTGGTGGTGAAAAAAGATCATTGGACATGCGCACATCAAATTACCAGATTATAAGAATATTAATAATAATTGCAAATTTAGTTAACATTGCTTTGCAAAAAAACTCTAAATTTTCAAACAAAGTGCTCCTTCGGGAAGTTAATAATAAGTCAGTAGATAATAAGTATAAGTAGATAATTTCTAATAATGAAGTAATCAAATATAAAAGGATCAACAGTCGGGCTACCATCTACAAAAATGTGACATAAGGAAAAGATTCAGGGCGCAAGGTTCTGATTTCTATTAGCGAAAAACTAATCAGAATCAATAGGAATTGAACATACATACATACATACACATATACATGACATATACACATTTTGACGTATACCAAAATGTTCAGAAGGCCTTGAAATGTGAAGATAAGAAAATATCATTTTCGATTCAATATAACTTACCCTATGCAAAGTTAAAAATTATATCTAAATAATTTAAAAAAATGTTTTATTAAAAAAGTAAAATTTTGTCTATTAAAAAAGGCGCCTGAACGGATAGGGCCTAGGGCGCCAGAGAGCTTAATCCGCCACTGTATATCACGTAGGAAATTATATTCTTTGATGAACTATCGTAGAGCTTTTGTATTGCAAGAAATACTAAAATTGATGATGTTACTTAAAAATAATATGTATTAGTGATCATCTAAATGTGAATACATGATGGAAGAGCCATTAAAGCCGTTAGCTAGTTTTTCGTATAACACTTTGTTTGTATCTATTAAATAAGGCTAGGATTATAGCCGAAACATATGGAATATAAAATAAGTTTTTTAAATATATATATATATATATATATATATATATGCACGTGTTCATTTAGCAATTACATTTGGAATATGAATTAAAAATGTTGATATTGCTTGATATTGCAAGCGCATCACAATTTAATGATAATACGATATCATTTTCAGCTACGCATGCAATTCTTAACATTAATCTTGCTGGATGTGATGAATATTTCGGTTAATGCACTGCAGTTTTGGCAGTAATTTAGTAGTTTTCCCGTAATTAGTTACAAAACAAAATTGCAGTACTCACGTCTTACTCGTTATCAATTCGTTAGAAGATAACGTACAATGTCGTAACCGATAAAATGTATTGCTCTGGAGGAAAAAAGTAATATGAAAAATAAAATCGATAAAATATTACAGATACTACAAAAATGCCTCTATGCTGCTTTAAATAATAATAACCAGCGTTGTGTTTAATTAAATTAATTAATTTATTAATATAAAGTTAAACAATTGGTATAGCATCAGGCATGAATGTCTTCATTTTAGCTAGTGATTGGTTAAATTAATTAATAATTTAAAATAAACATGATAACGTTGAAATATGTTCATGGCACGTAAGATTTTTTTAAATACATGTGGTTTATACAAAAAAGCATGTTAATGCGGTTTTAATGTATATTTACAAAACTATAGTATTTATCATCCTAAATAATAATTTATTTAATCTTCTTAATTAAAGGTTGATATTTAATATTCAACTAGTACAAAAGAGGCTACTGAACATTTTTATTAATATCTTGAAAAACGTAGTAATAATTATATTACATTTCTCAATATAATAAAAAAATACAATTTTTACTAACCGATATTTTATTTTAAACCTTTTATTATTTGTGATCTTTATATTCGAGACTAACACGAAGTCAATATTTAACTATTTTTAATAAAAAAAAAAGTTATTAGCAAAATTCGAACAGATTTTTATATTACAAAAAATAAAAATCTAAAATGATGAAAAAATTCTGACTAAACAATTTGCATCCTTAAGTGTACGGCATTTTGAAACGATAGATTTATAACAGGAATTAAAAAACTACCTGTGAGGCAGGTAACGCAAAAATGTATCATTAGGACTGGCAAGGGAGGTTCAAACGTAGAATGCAATAAACTTTGAGCTTTTCTTGAGTTTGTGAAATATAATATTAGAATATAAATGTTGTAAAATTTAGATAATTTGAAAAAAGATAATTGAAAGAAATTTGAAAGCACAATATCATATACATAATTGAATCCAAAAAATTAAAAATTTCATGAATTTTAATAAAGATAAAAAAGATATTGAATATATATATATATATATATATATATAAATAAAATAAAATTTGATAATAATATAAATCAAATCCCTTTTTGCACATCAAATCAGAAAAAATAATAGGGCGTCAAAGGAAATTCACTCCCCTGATCAATTATATTTGATCAACTTTAAATAAATAATAGATATTAAAAAGCTCGTATTCTTCGTGCAGAAGCTTCTATTATTTTCGATAGATTTTCAATAGTTCATGAATATATATTGCCTTCATTGAAAATTCGTACGAACGTATTTCATATGCATTTTACCGATTATATTTCATCGCCATCAAACAAAATATTTTTACAGATAAATAATTATCAGGCTCACCGCAATGTGCCTGGTTACTTCCACCATATGAATTCGAAAGTCGCGAAAGAATTTAAGAACCATTCGAAAAATAATTTACTTATATAGTTTAAAATAATATACTTTATAGTTTTAATATAATATAGTTTAAAAAATCTAACCTGTTTCGCCACGTGGTGCACAAATGTGATGCTGGTAAACAAGCCTTGATCTCCATTTCGACTCCAGACTCCTTTCGAGACAAACGGACATCAGACACTGCAGTCTGCACACTGGTAACGAGATTCATGATGCACAAGAGGCGCACACTCTTTTATAGCAACTGGTCTGCGGGCGTTATCATTTTGGTGGTGGAAACAGTGTTACGATGTACGGTATTGCAAGTTCGATGTAAGTAGATCACATTGAAATATACAACTAGTAGTGCACATGGCATAGTGCCTTAAGGAAAATTGCTGGAACTCTGCCCGTACCAATAATTAAATTTTTCATAAAATTGGATTTTTATATTTTTTTATTTCGAAATTATTTGAATTTGTTTTTTGAAACCAAATTGGCATTTTTTGGCACTTTTTATCCAATATCTTTGAAACGACTGGACCTGTCTTTGCCAAAAACTAATCAGCACGTCTCTTTAGCAATACGAATTGAATGTTTTTTAATTATTGAAATAGGTTGATCCGTGTTCCCGAAATCGTCGACAAAAATTCGTATCCGCACACACACAAACATACATCCATTTTTTCTAAAATATGCCAAAATGTTCAGAAGCCTTTGAAGCGTAAAGTATATAAAAATATTTTTTGAATTTTTTGAGATTTCTATAACTTAATAAGTTAATAATATGATTATGATGCTAGGCATTTTAAAGACAACGTTTATATTTATGTTTTTAACAAAAAACGACTCGACAGATTTTCACAAAAAACTAATCAATACCGTTCCCAACTGATACCTATATATAAATTTAAAGTTTTGATTTTTGCTCGTAATCTTTTGACTTTTCAAAAAGACTAAAATAAAAAAACACATACGCTAGAACTCGCTAGATTGTTTAATTTTTTATATAATTATTTGCAGTAAAAGTAACACTAGTATCTTCTACATATTGCAATTTATTTATTATATTTTCATTATAGTTACAGGGATATATGGCGCTAAGAACAGTTGTAAATTGTATAGTGAAATAAAAAATTTTAAAATCGACGTGGGGAAACATTAACGTTTGCTTATATTTTGTGAATTGCGACTGTTCTTTTGTAATAAATAATAGTAATAAACAATTTCAAACACGTTTTAGATCACATTATCTTGCTAATTCTTTTGAATTGATTGGAATAAAATGAGATTTTTTTAAAAAATAGTTTAATTCTTAATTATTTTTATATCTCTTTAATATTTGCTCACACATAAACTGTCCTGCTGATCTTTACTAAAATCAGTACGATTTCAAACTATCTTTATTCTTCAAACGGTTTTTGAATATTCAGAATAAATTCAGAAAATTTACACAATAACGATGCAGATTAAAATAAGTAAAAAGTTTATTATCTTAAAGGCACTTACAATTATTGAATATAAATTATTTATCGACTTTCATAAATCTTTTTTGAGTTTTTTCATGTAATCCGTAATTTTCCAAATCTACTTACACTAAAAAAAATCATCTCGTCTGTCAATATATGGATCATATTTATTGTAGACAAATATTAATAATTCTAATTAAGAACTTCTTATATATATATATATATATATATATATATATTATATATATACGTAGTCCATGCAGTTGTATAACTTTAAAATTAGTTCTAATTAAAATTGAGATACATCTTAGTTTCCAGACCTGTTTCAAATCCGACCACTAATTTATCTATTTGTTCGGTATAGAAATGGACAAACATTATTATAAGCGCAGGTAATATTATTCTCCAACACGCAATCCAATTTAAAATTTAGTAAAAAAGAAGGACTGAGAACCATTATCCTTAAAATTACAAAACAAATACGATTCGAATTAGACAAATTAAGTTTGAAGTTTGATTTCGAATTTGAATACTTCAAATTTATGTTCATATTCATTGTATTATTATTATCGTAATATGATACGTGTTATATTAAATAAAATGAAAACTAAAAATATATATATATATATATATATATATATATATATATATATATATATTGGCGTGGTCCTTAATATGAACATATTTGAATTTCCTGGCTCCCAAGGGCTCAAATGGTTCCAAATTGATAAAGAACAATTTTCTGAAAGTTTTAGCTTTTAATATTAACTCTTAGATAGCGCAATTCAATCAAACTTTGTATGGAAGTTGAGGGGGCAAACAGATCCAACGTCTTTCTTTTAATTTCATGCGTTATTTAAAATAGTATCATTAAAAAGTTGTACACTTTGCTTGTTTTGGAGATAGATAGAACGATGGTGGATCTTTTTACCCGCGGACGTTTAAGCTCCGATCTTCCCTATATATATATCACAATTCAAAATTTTATATTAAATATGAATTTGGGGGAGTATGGACAAAATAAGTCTGGCGAAGATTGGTGGTTATGATGTATGACTTATGTCCTTTTGAGTTTTTATTTGTGAACTGTCTTAAAAATTAGTATATAATTATGTCTTTGCCTCATATGCCATTTTGCTTGCACTATATTGACAAAATGGTTTTTGTGATTAGTTGCTTGATAAATATTTTATTAAATTAAAAAATTATTTTCATATTATATATTCTTTTTTGATACCGCTTTTAATTATTATTTTCCAGATATGAGACTTAAATAAAAATTGCATAACGGATATTTAAAGGATTTTTTTTACCATAAGAAGACTCTCAAGATCTACAAGCCTTAATTATTTAGTTATTAATTAAACTATTTGAATTTGATTACATTTTTTTCTTCAAGTTATTGTATTAGATATTACTAATGTTAGGCTTAATATTGTCTAATAGTTGTATTTTACTGTAATGAATTCAATCAAGATAATTTATTTTCTGTAATTATTAAATTTATTTCTGTATCCGTAATATAAATATAAACTAGCTGTAAGTGGAATTCTGTCTTAAGGCAATTAAGGCATCGTGCCTTAAGGCAAATTGCTGGAACTTCCCTTACCAACTTCCCGTAAAACGATTAACATTTTTGAAAAAAATTTACTTCGAAAAAATAAGATTTTTGAGAAACTATAAATTGGACAAAAAATTACTTTATTTTGAAAAGAAAAAAATTTTTTTTTTAAATTTAAAAAAAAAAATTTTTTCTTTATTTTGGCATATTTTGGAAGATCTGAACTTTTTTTCAAAGCAATCGTACTGCTTTAACTGCATAGAGACAAAATATAAACCCGCTTCGCTGTCTAACGGATAAACATTGGTACGGAACTCAGAGGAATGTGAACAAAATTTATACTTATTGTTAAAATCTCTATAAAATATCTGATAATTTGATGTGCATATGTCTAATGATCATTTTTGACCGCCAAATGGCATTTTTTTTACTTTTTTTGTTAGATCTCCGAAACCGCTAGACCTGCCCATATGAAAATTTGACCAATTCTTCATCTTGTCAATACAAGTAAAATGTTTTTTGAATTATTAAAATCGGACGCTCCGTTCTCTTAAAAACTTAGGTACCGTTTTTGGTACTTTTTGCCCCATATCTTCGGAACGGCTAGACCTGCCTCCGCCAAAAACTAATCAGCACGTCTCCTTATCAATACGAATCGAATGTTTTTTTAATTATTCAAATTGCTTCATCCGTGTTCCCGAAATCGTCGACGAAAATTTGTACCCGCGCACACATACATGCATACACACACACACACACATACACACACACACATACATCCATTTTTTCTAAGGTATGCCAAAATATTCAGAAACCTCTGAAACGTAAAGATATATAAAAATTTTCATTTTCGATTTTTTTGCGATTACTATAACTTACCCTACGGGAAGTTAATAAATATAAATATGGAACAATTTTTTGTCCACGTTTTCGGGCGCACGGAAAAATATGTTGGTCTAAAAATATTCAGAATGGCTTGAAACGTCAGGAAATATTAAAATTAGCAAATTGCATTCAAATAGACGTTTACTTTACTTTTTAATTAAAATTATACACAATTGATAATAGACATATTTATGATTAATTTTTGTGAAGATAATATTTTAAAAATTAAATATTTAGAGCAAAAACTAGAAAAGTGATACTCAAGTTCTAAAAGAAAATATTCCTTAAATTATTCCACTGTATTATTTTTTATTTCTAAAATTTGTATATTATGCCCTGTAAATAATTGTAAATATAAAGTATTTTTTTTATAAAGTATTATAGTTCCTACTTAATTAAAAGACTATTTTACTGGCAGCCAATGAACCTGAGTTGAGTAATATGACTATTGTATTGATACTTATTACAATATCGGTAAATAAACAAATATTAGTTTTATGTGCACTTCCGCAACTTCCTCTACTATAGCAGTATATATTGTATCATATTATTATACAATACTGTGTTAATAAATTGATATAATACTATTCTCGGTGCGCAGATTATTTCTTTATTTTATTTATGCTAATCGGCTACAGTTAATTTTACACAATACAACAAGATATTGTTTTAAGTTATTATACATTGTACGACACGCTGTTAATATTATTAGAAACTAGTTCACCATTTATTAAGCGATCCATAGCATTTTTCGATGCAAACATATCATGTTAACCCAGTGATTCCCAACCTGTGGGGCGCGCCCCCCTGGGGGGCGCTATACCGTTCCAAGGGGGGCGCAAAGCTGTTTCAAAAATATTATTTTTAAATGCTGAGTAAGTGTCAAAAACAAATCAGCAAAATACTTAAAGTACTTCTAAGAATGTTTGAGCTCAAAAAAGAAATTGCTATATTTCTTGCTGATAACAAAAGAGACGGAGCAATCTTGTTTTAGGACACAAAGTTCCTCGCAAAATTTGCGTATTTAGTTGATATTTTTCAAAGATTTAGCGATTTAAATAAATCAATGCAAGGATTTCAAATTCGTGCTTTTGTTCAGAAAGACAAGATTACGGCTTTTATGAAAAAATTAGAACTGTGTATAGCTAGTATCAAATAACTTTATAACTTTAAAATGTTTCCCACTTTTAAAATTACTTGTGTTACTGATGAAACAGAAGTAAGTAAAAATATTATTATTATATCAGTCATATGACTAGTCTACGAAACCAATTTTACTTTATCTAATTACGTCTAAATACAAATGGATTAGAAATCCATTTGTCATTGAGAAACATGATGATTTTGGTCATTCAACAGCAGAGCAGAAAATGATAATTGATTTATCTAGTGATAGCACATTGAAGCAGATGTTTCAGGACGAAAATATATTGTTGAGTTTTGGTTACCAGTAAAGGACGATTTTCCTACTTTGACAAATAATGCTTTAGAAATTTTATCACCATTTGTGAGATCTTACTTATGTGAAACAGAAAATTCTTATAATAAATAGTTATGTTTGTATGTATATTTTTTATAATACTGTGTATTATTTGGCATAATTTCAGTTATATTAAGTATATTTAAATTAAATTGTTAGAAAAATAAGAAGGGGGGGGGCGCAATATTTTTTTCATTCGGAAGGGGGGCGCAAGGAAGAAAAGGTTGGAAACCGCTGTGTTAACCAGTCAATTGTAACACCCTCTTTGAGTTTTGAGCACAGTTTTCGTCGTCAGAATCGAGGTGAAATGATGTTTTGGGGTAGAATGCCACTTACAACTACTCATTTTCTACCAACATAGCCTCTACATATCTACGTATCTTGAAGTTTGAAAATATGTTTTGTTTCTTATATTTTCAGAAACTGCAATCTAAAAGTCAATGGTCAAAGTTTTATATGCATGACGAGTATACCCGTCAATACACACAGTTCCGCCACTTCTTCATGGCGAGTATATTAGCCAATCACAATCAACTGGTTAATATATAATATGGTTTATTATTTTAGTTAAAAGATTATAAAATATTTTGTCAGATAGGTCGTTAATAAAAATTAAGACGTTTATTTCTAACTCAAGTTTACTACTATTTCCGATAAACTCAGGTGCGCCTAAAAAAAGTTTACAAAATTGATTTTCCTACGATCTTAGAGCTCTACGAATGATAACATTTCCGACGACATTGCAATTTTGACAAGAAATGCAAATTCTACATACATTATCCAAGTTTGTTGAATTGAATTTGTAAAAAATTATGAATACAATGAGTTCTTCGTGAAAGTGTTTTTGGAGTAACAGGATTAATTTTCCTTGTTCTTAGAAAAGCTTAAAATTTGTACAGTTTAATTGAGAATTTAGAAATATAGTTTGGTACTAGAAAGAGCATATTCAAAAATATAGTAAAAAGTTTGGGCTTTTAAAAATTTGGCGATAGTGCTCATGGTGATGACTGTAGTAGAGTAGAAAGTTTTTATACTAAGCCATTAATCCTGTTAATTTGGAAATTTTAAGATTGGTCCCTTGATAGTCCAATTTCTTGTTTTATAATAGAAATCCGATATTAAAGATAAATTGAAGCCATTAGATGAAACTCGATAAGAACTAGCGTTTTGCGAAGCGATTGGCCGTTCATTTCTCAAGAATTTGCTAATTTTACTTGCATAAAATACTCAATCGATTTTGAAAACTTATATTGCAACTAAAATAAAAGTCACGATTCAATTTCTCGGAATAAATAAGCACTGTCTAGGGACTGAATCCCCATTTTCTATTTTTCTCAGTCGTAATATGTATCCATTTTTTAACAGAACCCGTTTCAACAAACTCTCATGCTTCATTGTGCTGGGGTCTTCTAAACTTTAAAGTACTTTCTTAGTGTCGTCGGCGACTATACATTTGAATCTACCTGTATGGTTTCATGTTGTCGTATTTGCTAAGAGACTCTGCTTCGTTTTTCAGTATTGGCATTTTACGCTTGTGGTATTGAACACTTAGATCATTTCTTTTTCGATTCTATTAAATTAAAATTAAATTCAGGCGCAAAAATAAATCAGTAAACTAAGCAATAAGCAGAACAATAATTTACTTATCCCAGAATTATTAACCTTTTTTTATTTTTCCGTGCGGTAAGTTATTGTAATCGTTCAAAAATCGAAATTGAAAATTTTTGCATATCTTCACGTTTTCAAGGTTTCTGAACATTTTGGCATACTTCAGAAAAAATGGATGTGTGTGTGTAGCATGTGTTTTGTATGGATACAATTTTTCATCCAAAATTTCGGGCGCATCGATCAACCGATTTGTGTAACTCAAAAAACATTCGATCCCTACTGATGGAGAGACGTGCTGATTAGTTTGGAAAATGGAAACTCTGTTTTTGCGAGAATCATTCAAATCGGGCCGGGCACTCGACAAATACAAAAAATATTCAATTCGTAATGATAGGGAAAAGTGGTGATTAGTTTTTGGCAAAGACAGGTCCAGCCGTTTCGGAGATACGGAGCTAAATGTGTAAAAAAATGCAGTTTTTTAAGGAACGAAGCATCTGAATGATTCAAAAAACATTTTGCTTGTGTTGATGAAACGATTGTTTTTGGGGAAAGCAAAAAAAAAATTTTTATTCTAAAAATATATATTTTTTTTGAATATCGAAAATAATTCATATTTTAATTTTAATTCTAGCTAAAATTCTAAAGTTTACTTATATACTTGAAATAAATAATATTAATTTGCAGTTTAGTTTATAATTCTTAGAAATATGAGATAATTTCCTTGATTGTAACTTCCTTCCATCAAGTTCTGTTCATTTGCTTTTCATGTAAACTTATATAAACGTTATCGTCCAATTTATAAGCTTATATTTTGTCTATAAAATACGAATAATGAGAGTTTCAATGCTTATAATAATATATTTGAAAACATTCAATATTCCTCAAATATACGAGAAATATTACGGGAAGTTTCAGCAATTTACCTTAAGGCACGATGCCATACACAACTTGTTGTGTTTAATTATTTATGCGGTTAATGATGTTTATATTGATATTACATTACAAACAAAATATTTATACATAAAATAAAGGGTGGCTCATTTAAAAATTCAAATTTAATTTTGCTATAAAATGAAAACGGCTCAATATTTTTCAATGTTTGAACATTGATTTAATAGGTTAATTCATGACATTTATTTATGAAAAATAATTTCGACCCATTTTTCTTCGAAAATGAAGAAGGAACCGCCGTAACCGTCAATGGCGATCGCACCGCGCAATGTTGAACAATTGGTTCTTTGAAGAAATTGCAGCTGAAGACTTGGACGATATTTGGTTCCAACAGGACGATGCAACGAGTCATACAATCGATGTTTTACGCCGCATTTTCGGAAATCGAATAATCAGCAAAAATGCTGATGTGAATTGGCCACCAAAAAGCTGCGATTTGACGCCATTGGATTATTATCTTTGTGGAGCGGTGAAACATAAATGCTATGCAAACAATCCAGAAACAATTCAAGACCTCAAGACCGGAATTCGAGCTGCTATTGCTGAGATAATGCCCGAAACAATCGAAAATGTACTCAAAAATTGGGTGCATCGAATGGGCTACAGCCAAGTCAGCCTTTGTGGTCATTTGACAGAAATTATTTTTCATAAATAAATGTCATGAATAAACCTATTAAATAAATGTTCAACCATTGAAAAATATTGAGACGTTTTCATTTTATTTTCATTTTTATATATTTTATATTTTAAATTCCAATTTTTAAATTGTCCCCACTATATATTTTATGTTCCCGTATTTACAGGTGTTACCCCTTAAGTTAGATTATTATATATTATTTGATATAATTATATATTATTTATTAAGTATTCTATAGATTATATAAATCAGAAAATTACGGATAATATGCTATATTATATATCCGAATCTCATGACGCTTATTTATCTATGCCGAATCTCGTGACGCCCTTTTCGACGATGCTACCGCATTTTTCTCATATATTGCATGCCGACTAGATTCTAATGCCGGCCCTGAATATATGGTCTCGAGTTCATATGATACCTGGATATATCCGATTACCCGCTGACACTCACATTCGTGTAATGAGATCGTGTTGCAACTTCAAGGTGGTGGTAGTAAACATATATCGATATGTTGATTTCAGCTTGTGTTTACTGTGTTGACAGGTGCACGTGTTGTGCGTGCTGTCAAAAAGTTCAATGGTGTAGCGTGATAATAACGATGTCCTTAGCTTTTAAGTCTTCTTTCCATATATTATGATCTGTTATATATTTAATTAATTGTATTGTATTTTTAACTGTATTTCGACAATAGTAATTTATTTAATGAAAATGAACTACGAAGCAGATTTAGCTTGCAATGAAGCTCGAAGAAATTCTTTCAAAAAAAACAGAGAACGTCGAAAGTTAGATATTCAAAATTCTGCCGATTCGAAGGTTTTTAAGCAGTTTTATTTAAAATTACTTTTAAAGGTACATTCTATTGTAATATTTTATTTACTCTTTAGGGTATTGTAGAAAATGAAATTTCTTCATTTAGTCCAATAAGTGCAGATGACGATTTATGGGAAAGAACACAGATGCTACGGCAAGAGCAAGAGGAAAGTCGTCGCACTAGGTACATCTTCCTTTTAAATTTTTACTCTTGAGACTCCTTATACAGTATACTTTAATTGAACATTTAACTTCTAGGTGGATTTGTAAGCCTTCATGCCTCCCGATCTCAATAATTTTAATTTTAATAGTCCTTGTTGTTTTACTACCACTACTTGACCATTCTCCAGATAAACTTCATGTTGTTAATCGAAAAATAGTGAAAGGACCTAAGTCATGTGAAGATAACTGCCAGTAAATATTAAAGTTATATTTTTAATACAAGTAGAACAAATTTATTTTATCATTGAAAATTCAATATTTTAGAATTCATTTAACTGAAACTATACCTGAGGGCTTAATTTATCCAGTTAACAGTATCATGCCTCCTTCGACCTATGAAAGTTGGATGAATTTGATCAATGCAGCAAGTGAAACAATTGATATAGCATCATTTTATTGGACACTTCGTTTAAATGAGGTACATCAACATGCTTCTTCCCAAAAGGTATGGTAGTATTATGATTACTTTTTATAAACATTTCAGTACTGCATGTGTCTCGTATGATTTTAGGGGGAAGATATATTTCAAGCATTAAAAGCTGCAGGGTCAGAGCGAAATATAACTTTACGTATTGCTCAAAATATTCCAAATGATAACACTGGACCAAATTCTGATACTGAAACATTGGCATTAGAGAATGCAGCTACTGTATAAGTTAATATAACTATTTATTTTTAATTTCTTGTACCATCTTGAACTAATTATTTTAGGTGAAGAGCTTAAATTTTACAAATATGGTTGGAGGTGGAGTTTTACATACAAAATTATGGATTATTGATAAAAAACACATCTATTTAGGAAGTGCTAATATGGATTGGCGATCATTAACACAAGTATGTTTATTCACATGATTGATAAGATATTTGATTTGTGATAAGTCACTGTTATAATCTATAAAGAAGATTGATTTTTATTTTGCTATGAATGTCGTTTGCAAGTATAGTCCAAAGTACAGAAACAAAATATTGAAAAATATAACAATATATATATATGGTGATAAAAAATTTCGTTTCTTTTTTTTAGGTCAAAGAAATGGGTATAGTGGCTTATGATTGTCCATGTTTAGCAAATGATATAGCAAAGATTTTTGATGTATGTATTAATATAATGTAATATAAATAACATAATACTTTTTTATACAATGATGATTGTTTTATATAAATATCAGGTTTATTGGCTTGCTGCCGAAGCTAACTCCACTATACCAAAAATTTGGCCAGAAAATCTTGCTACCGAGTTTAATATTGCCAATCCTATGCATACCGTAGTCAATAATATTTCTTATGGAACATATATTTCTGTATGTTACAATTTCAAGTAATCATAGTGTTTGATGTATGAAATTTAACATTACTTTAAATTATTTATAGAGTTCTCCACCTCCTATGAGTACTATGGGTCGTACAGATGATATTGATTCAATATTAAATGTTATTGCAAATGCAAAGGAGTTTATTTATATAGCAGTAATGGATTATTTTCCTTTAACAATTTACACACCCACACAAAAGTATGATTAAATATGTAATCTGATTTATTATCTTAACTTAATTATTTATTACATTAATATTTATTTTAGATTTTGGCCCATTATTGATAACGCTTTGCGGAAAGCCGCTATTGAAAATAATGTGAGAGTTTTTATGTTGATTAGCTGGTGGAAACATTCTCGTCCCACAGAAGATAATTTTTTAAGATCCCTTGTTAATCTTTCGGGTGTTGGTCAAGGAAACAAAACAGTTGATATTCAAGTGGTATGTATTAAATGAATTAATGATAGTTAAATAACAATAGACAATCATAGTTTAAAATATCTTAATATTTAACAATAATTTATTGAATGAAACGGATTAATAAATGATCCTCTGTTGTTTTATAGTATTCTTATTAAGCATTGCTGGAGCATAATTATTAGTATAAATGCCTATAACCATGGCCTATAATTTAAATAGCATTATTTTTATAAAATAAAAGTGTTTTTTTAGTTTTAATGAAATTAATTATTTTTGTGTTATATATGGATTTTTGAACAAATAGTTTTCTTGCATGTTTAAGAAACGATTTGTTGTGCCTGCTTCTCCTGAACAAAATGAGATACCTTTCGCTCGTGTAAACCATAATAAATACATGGTTACTGACAATACAGCTTATATTGGTACTTCAAACTGGAGTGGTGATTATTTCATCAATACAGCTGGTATTGGTTTTATACTAGAAGATATTGAGAATAAAATTAATGAAACAGAAAACATTAAAGTAGCTGAGTCACTGCGAAAACAATTGCTAGAAGTGTTTGAAAGAGATTGGTATTCAGTATATGCCAAAAATTTATTTAGACAAATTTAATGACTGTGTTTTATTGCTTGTACTTGTACTTAACTTCTTCAGGGCAATAGATATTATTGACGATCTTAATTAAATATTAATGCAAATTTTATATGTGGACTGTACAAATTGCTGCCTCTTTAGAATATTATATAGAAGTATTTTCATACACATTTTTTCTTTCATATTTTTTAAAAAAAATTAAATATAAATTTTTTTGTTAATAAAAACAAAATGCACAAGTTCAGACTCACAACTAGTAAAATAATTTTAAAAAAATGCGTAAGAATATAAAACTGATCAGTCTTCTTTAGTGCCTTCATTATATCATGTATGAAGTAATTACTCTAGTTTTTATGGTAAAATATTGTTTAACAGTTTGATTTGTGATGTATCTAAGATTACAAGTATAATAATTTTTTATAATTTTATTGTGTTCATTATTCCTATATTTTTTAAATAGTATAGCTATATGCATAGATTATATATATATATATATATATATATATATATATATATATATATTGATATTGATGAGTTATTTAGAATCGGGCAATAACACCAAGCAAAAAAACTAAAGTAGTTTTGAAATACTTTATTTATCCATACGTTTCGGTCTTCATCGAGACCATCATTCAGTGGAAAAATGAAAATTAATTATACAAAAATACACTACACTATTACACTGTGATAAATCAAGCTATTAATAACTGGAACATTTAATCTAATTATTTTTGTTAATTTTTGGTTACATTCTAGTGTGTACAGATTAACTAACGTCTAAATACTGAAAGTCGAAATACTGTATTCAGTATTTAGACCTTAGTTAATCTGTACACACTGGAATGTAACCAAAAATTATCAAAAATAATTAGTTTAAATGTTTCAGTTATTAATAGCTTGGTTTATCACATCACAATAATAATAATTATTTAATAATATTAATTTTACAAACGTTTTGAAACTGAAACGAACCTAGTCTCGAAACATTTGTAAAATTAATATTATTTAATAAATCAATGCAAAAAAAAGAGTGCTGTTTTGTTCATATTTCTAAATTTATATATATATATATTTCAAAGTAACTGGCAGCCCATTCGTCGAAATAAAAAAGGTATAAAGTATAAAAACTTTTATTTATACGTTTCGACACAAGATGCGTGTCATCATTCAGCAACACAGGACAAAAACACTCAACAAAAATTTATTTTACAAAATTAAACTTGATAACATAATAGAAAAAACATTTTTTAGAAAAAAATTATGTATAACTAAAAGTTTTTAAAAACTAATTTTACTAAAAGTTATGAAATACATCATTGTGAAGCTAGAAGCACGCCCATACCGAGCATCTAGACTCGACTCAATAAAAAAGGTATAAAGTATAAAAACTTTTATTTATACGTTTCGACACAAGATGCGTGTCATCATTCAGCAACACAGGACAAAAACACTCAACAAAAATTTATTTTACAAAATTGAACTTGATAACATAATAGAAAAAACATTTTTTAGAAAAAAATTATGTATAACTAAAAGTTTTTAAAAACTAATTTTACTAAAAGTTATGAAATACATCATTGTGAAGCTAGAAGCACGCCCATACCGAGCATCTAGACTCGACTCTATATATATATATATATATATCTATATATATATATATAAAAGTGTCTCTGAAACGGTTGGACCTGCTTTTTTGAATGATTCAAATCGTTTATCCATAATCACGAACATCGTATTCTTATATTGTTTAGGATCACAAAATCGTCGACGAAAAATTGTATCCGCGCATACATACATACACACACAATTTTTTTTCTAACATATGCCAAAATGCTCAGAAACTTTTTTTTCCAGAAATCCAAAGATATGAAAAAATTTCATTATCAAATTTTTGTGATTACTATATAAATAATAATAAATAAATAATAAATAATGATTACTATAACTTACCTTACGTAAAGTTAATAATAGTTGAATAAAATAATTTCTGATACAAAGATAGAATATGGATATGAATGCATGGTTTGAAGAAAAGATATGAGAAATTTGTAAAATTTTCAGTTTGCAACGTTCCTGATATCATAAATAAATGTACATGGTTCCTTCCTGCATGGTTCCTGCCATGTTCCTGCTGCAGTACTGTCAAAATATGGCGTCTTTCATCTAGGGTCGAAACCATGTCGAAACCTTGTTGTCATCACCGGATGGTCACCGGCTTTAAGAAAATACATAATTTGTCATGTGGTAACACCGTGCGACGTATAAACAGCAATGAGAATTGAGAAGTGACAATCAAATCAATGACAATATAAGACAATGTTTGTCATGTATATTGGGTGTTACGTGTGATTGTACTGAATTAATTCCCGTGTTGCTTTATATATTTTTTATCTAAGATTTTGACTGGAAAATTTGCACGTAATATATACTTTGTTGACCAGTGGAAACTAAAGATGTGCGAATAATTTAAGTGTTCGGTTTTACCACTAGCGGAGATTGGTGAGAACATTTTTTGCATTTGTTTATAATTTTGACGGATCATTATTTACAAACACATTTTCTTGAGTAATAAGAAGCTATGCGATATATTTTTGCAATATTTTGTGGCCGCGTATATAGAACACGGTAGTGGTTTTTATATGGCTATGTTGAACAGATGGAACCATAGTAAAGAGAAAAACTTTTACTTTATTTATTATATGTTGAACATTAGAACTTATTAATGTTTGTACAGATATAATCTTATTGCTATATTGATAATATTCAGATTGTTCCATATTTATCTAAACAAATTTATATTATATTTGATTGTTTTGAGTTATTTTATTCAAGGTCGTGTTGTTGACATTTCTAAATCATGCTCATTATAATTTTAAACTCTTTGGCGTATTTGTAAAGAATTATTACAGCAAAAATAAAGAAACTGGTTTATTTAACATGTTGCTAATTGGCTAAATCAGATGGTAATGTCATTTTTTGGTGCAAACATTTATTGCACTGAATTTTGAATCATATGTAAATGTGTGTGCATACATATATATAATTTTTCAAACAATTGATAATAAATATGTTTTTATGAAATCTATTATAAACTATGATACGTTAAGAAATTGTAATTGTAAACAAATGGACACTATAATGATTATACGTATGCGGGGTATTGCTCATATTACAATTGCGTTTAGGTATAATTTTTTATTGTGCGGGGTAAATTGCCTCTGAAACAAAACTAAGCAGCTTTATTATATTTTTCAATACATTTTATGTAAATAAAAAAACGTTTTTTAAACTTCAAAAATGTGAAAGTACTACTTTTGTTGTCTACTTTTTGAAAACCCTTCAAAATTAATGTTATTTTTTACATTTGTTCAAAATAAAATATGTTTACTATCAATATATTCGAATGTCAAGTACGCTAATTTCTAAAATTGCGCAATCAAAAATTTGCAAAAAATTAAATGTCAATCTTATTCATTTGAGAAATAATTGATATGAAGTTTATACATAAAAATATGTTACATTTCTCAAGAGGTGATTATTGTTGGCTATGCAATGTTATAGATTTCAAAAGAACCTTTGTTTAGCAAGCAGGCAGTTGTAAATTATTTTTCTTACACATGATTTTTAAATGTATTTAATAATTTATATATTTATAAAATGCAACAATTTCTTTTTATGAATGATGATTATAATAAAATTATTTTTCAATAGAATCCACACAATTGAAGACATGGAAGGAGAACATCCTTCTTTGTGTGTGGTAAGCGCAAAGGAGTTATTCCCCATTGGTGCCGTCTCTCTGGAAGAACCAGAGTTACAAGTACCATTTACACCATGTAAGTTTATTTATAAACTCGGGATTATTATACATAAAATAAAAAATAAACCATTCAACAAGTAGTATTTTATGAACTATTATTTGAAATTGTATATAATTTTAACAAATTGATTTTTAATTTAATTAATTAATTTATCACTGTAGTATCGAATAAATATTTTGTAGACTGTGAAATATTCTTGCAAATCATTTGAATCAAATTCTTCAATACTGAATCATTCATATTTCCTATCTGTATTAACTGGTTTCAAACTTCTACTTTTCAGAATTATCTTGTTTATGTGCTATGTATATATTAAATATGCACTGCTGAACTTTATATAATAATAATTATTTGTTTTTAATACTATACTATCAATAATTTTTCTATATATCTTTTTAACAATTGCAGTATATGGTGAATCTGTTAGAAATGTGGGTCGTACACAAGATGGGTTAATTACCTTATCTAATTATCGTGTACATATATCTGAGAAGACATATGCAGGCTCAGAAGAACGTAGCCTACCTCTTGGACTTATTGATTTAGTAGAAGTGCGGGATATGTTCCAAATGATAGTTTACTGTAAAGATGCTCGTGTTGTAAAGTAAGTAACATATGTAAACACGTTATTTTCAAAACTATCGAAAAAATTCAAACATTTGAATTTATATATATATATATATATATATATATATACATATACATATACACACACACACAGTAGAACCTCGTTTATCTGCACCTCAGTTTTACGAATTCGCGATTATTCGGACTACCAACCGCGACCGATTTATATGTAGGTATGTATATACATATATATACATACCTAAAATTCAAATTTTTGCATGATTAATGCTGCAGTTTAGTATATGTATGTAATGTTGTAATCTAAGAAAATATATATGTATATATACATAAGAAAGTTTCAAATTTCTAATAAACATTATTTTTGCTGATTTCTATGTATGTATTAGTAATTTTTCATAAATACACAACATTATTGTTTATACATTCGATTATCCAGATGTTAGATTATCCGATTATCAGAATAAATATACACACATATATATATATATATATATATATATATATATATATACAGAAATAATTAAAATCATTTATTTTTCAAATAGGTGTTCATTTGATTCAAATGAACAATGTGCTGATTGGCACAGACGTATTACGTCAGCCATCAATCCACCATCAAATCTAGAAGGTTATTTTGCCTTCCCATTTCATGCATGGGTGGCGCATGTAATACGACAACAAAAACAAGGCGATCTTTCACATACAGAAGTTCCTGCTACACAGTATAATGAAACTTTAAACGAATGGCTGCCTATGCTAAAGCGTGCGAGTCGGTTTTCAAATGATGATTTTCAGGATGAGGCAAGTAGTCATATAATATTATGTATATTTTTAAAACTAATAGAATTCAGGCCTTGAGGGCATTTTCTTTTTTGTCATGTCATTCTGGTCAAAAGAGATTTTTTTATGATTTTATCAATATATATATATATATATATATATATATATATATATATATATATATATATATATATATAGGGGCGTATCAGCAGTATCAAAAATACGGCGCCCCCGAGAAAAGAGGGCTCCCAACGAGCGCACTAATTCAGATTATACATTCTTCATCGAAAATTTGAATTTGGATTTTTTGTATTTATATTTATATCGTTTTTTGTTTGTTGTTGATACTACTTGTATTGTGTGCATGATGTGTAAGTTTAATAGTTAGATTTTGATAAATATGATCAACTAAATCATTTTCATGAAAATCTGCAGATTTCTTTCTTTCATTGTTTAAAAATGTAAGTTTCTGTTCTGAAACTTTACAACACGCCAGTAATGACTTACAAAAAAACTAGCAAAAGTAATCTTTCGAAGAGACTGCGAATTAACAATAATAGTTTGTTGAAGAAGTAGAAATAATTTGCAAAAAAGATGGATTGCAATAACTATTTTAAAGAACAAAATACAAAAGATAATGAAGCATTATTATCACAAGATGAGAGAATTTTCAAAAATTTTTGCTCCTAATATTGCCTTAGATAGTGCGCAATTCAATCAAAGTTTTGTATGTAAATAGCATGGGAAAATTTTCAAAATTTTTTAGATATAACTTAGCGAACAAATGAATAAGTTTTATTCAAAATTCGACGCTCTCAAAACAAATTATAAAAATCTGTTTTGCAGAGCGTCGATTTTTAAATAAAACATGACACGAATTGTCGAAGATGCGACTCGTTTGCTTTTTTATACGAGCAAAATTTATGATACGAGCCGCTAAAAGAGCGATGCCGATAGTCACCAAGCAACGAGCCGCCTCTAGCGCATTCGAGAACGTGCAAGTGAGAGGCGTAACGTAAACTTATGGCGGTGCGAATGAAACATATTCATCTAATATTTCTAGTAAGAAAGATTATCGTATGTTAAGTCACATTTAACTATCATACAAGTTTTAAAGTAAATTATTTTAGAGTTAAAAATTTCAATTCGTTAATATTAATTGTGGATAAAAATCAGAGTTGTTAGATGAAACATGTCTAACTAATTTTTGAAATATAATAAGTGTAAGAAAAATAAAACGATGTTCATTGGATAGTTTTTTCAAACACAAAAACTAATATAATATAATATAATATAACCATAATTAGTTATTTTTTATTCAGTAAATTGCTCTATTTTTGCAGAATATGTATGTTATCTGAGCAATAAATGTTTTATTTCATTTCATTAATGATAAAAACACTGTGCAGTAACGAATTAATGGCATTTCACGGTATTAATACAGTTTATTTGTTTGGAGATATGTGAGATTCGACATGAGTTTGGTTTCTGAACGAATTAAGCTCGTAAGGCGGGGTACCATTGTATATATGTTGTTATTTTGTAATGTGTAACGAATATTAAATGTTAAATATGAACACACTGCGCTCAGTTTCTTTGCACACACCTTAATTTATAAATTATAGTCGTTTCTAGATCATGGTATGCCTAATCTTTAGTGCAATTTCGAACACATTATTAAATTTTTATTATAAATGGTATTTATTTTTTTAAACAAAACACCAACTTTATCTTTCAATGCTTGACACTGTACTAAATGAGTGTAGTGTATTTTATGTTTACCATTCGAAAAAAAAGTGCATAATTCACGGTATATGAAATAGAAAATAGTTGCAAAGCAGTACACATACAATTAAACATATATATGTAGTTTATATACAACCATGCATATGTTAGCCTTACTTATAATGTAATGTAATATTTCAACTCTAGTTTTGTCTTTGTAATATTTTTGTTGCTGATTTTGTGATAAATTTACATATTTCTTTTTATAATTTTTGGTAGCTTTGTTCTGCTGAGGAAGAGACAATTTTTTTTTGCTTATTTGGATAATAAAAATGTTAAGTTTAATTCACATATTTATCACCATCTGAAAAATAATTATATATATATATATATATATATATATATATATATATATATATAATAAATGTATTCTGAGTGTATAGATAGTTATTAATTTGGAAATATGAACAAACAATACTCTTTTTTGTACGAATATATTAAATAATAATTATACAAACGTTTCGAGACTAGGTTTGTCTCATCATCAGTGTGTTATAATTTAAAATCTAAAATATGCAAACCTAAATTAGCATTATGTGTTATCTGTTCTCGAAACGTTTGTAAAATTATTATTTAATAAATTAGTGCAAAAAAGAATGTTGTGTGTTCATATTCCTAAATAAATATATATATATATATATATATATGTAATATTATTTATAATGATTTCTAATATTATTTATAATTTTTTTTTTTCTAATCCTTTTTCAACCTTTTTTTTTATAATATTTTGTATTTTAACTTTACCCGGCGCGGTTCAGCCGGAAGGGAGAACGGTCGGCAACGTTTACCACGTACCACACCTTTGTTCAAAATATTTCAACAAGTTTCATTAAAGTCATGTTTAACCATATTTCATTAAGACTAATTTTATTTTTTAACTTTATTGTTTATTTTTTGACTTTAATACTGTTGATCACACAGATCATTCAATCAATGCACAGACAATTCAAATTCTAGTGCCGACCCTCGTCAAACAAAAAGTTCACTGTCGGTTTCTATGGACCAACCCCCAGCTCAACGTTGTTGACTACATAAATTAATGTTGTCGATTTTTTGAACAATGAAATACATTCATATTTGATTACATGAATTAATCTTTTAGGTGGACAGACTTCAATTTGATTTACGCGGTGCATGGCGCATATCGAAAGCTAATTCTGATCATTTACTTTGCCAATCCTACCCAAGACAACTTCTGGTTCCTGCATGCATATCAGATGATACATTGGAAACTGTCGCCAAATTCAGAAGTTCACGTCGAATTCCTGCTGTGGTTTGGAGGTACTGCTTCAATTTATCTACAAATAGATTTATGTGCTATATGTCTATATAATTGATAGTTCAATTACATTTTCATAGTTTTTTTTATTGTTTACGGTTAACATGAAAATCAAATGAAACTAGTACAGCGACACAAATAGTTTGATATAGATACATATGATGAAGATTGTGTGCTGTTAGTAGTAATAGCAGATGAAATTTGGTCCGGTTTAAAATAAATTTTTGTTTTTCATGTTTTTGGCGAAGTTTGTTTGTTTCATTATTTCTACTTGCAAAATGCAGAGCCAGCCTATGATATTAATCTATTGTTGAACATTTGTCAGATATGAAGGAAGACTTTGAAGTATATTAAATTTTTTGCAATTTTAGGCACCGAGGCAATGGTGCAGTGATTGCAAGATGCAGTCAACCGGAAGTTGGTTGGCTGGGGTGGCGTTCTTCAGAAGATGAAGAACTTATGAAAGCTGTGGCTGATGCTTGTGCATTTGACCATGGACATTGGGTTAACAATAGTAACCAAGGTAACAACTAATTTTACAAATATAATTTAAAGTGGTATTTTAGACAAACTTAAAAATATGTGAAGACAGAAACCATAAAACCAGAATGGTAATTTATATGTAATATTTCCAGGGTACAAAATAAAAAAATCAAACATGCAAAAAAAAGTTTTAAAATGTTTTGATTAAATATTTTAAGGCTTAGAGAGGCAAATGTTTGATGAACTTTCGCTCTTAAAAATTATAATTTGTTTGTAATTCTTAAAAATTTGTAATTCTTAAATCTTGGCTAAGATATTTCCATCAATGTGATATGTTTCCAGTGTTTGTTGATGCTTTTTTTTAACTCTCAAAATTCACAAAATTCTATCTATATATATATATACAGTGGTGTTGTCAAGTCGGAACGTGCTGGCAAAAAAAAACATTTTTAAAAACCTGTACTTACAGAAAATGATTTGATATGAGAAAAAATGATTTTGAAGTGATAATTTATAATTTAACTATTTTTTATTAAGCATTTCTATTATTATGATAAACATACATATATATGCACAAAATAGGTTTTGTAATGATTTTTCTTTCCTTTTCGAACGGAACCTGAACAAACATGAGAACCGATTTCTTAATTTTAGCGTTCCCGTAAAGAAAATTATTAGTGCAACACCACTTTATATATGTATATATATATATATATATATATATATATATTATGTTTATATTGAGGATTTTTTTTTTTAGATGTTGAAACATATTGAATTGTTTAAAACAGCCAATGCGTCGAATAGAAGTTTATTTTAAAAATTTTGTATACGTTTTGAGACTAGATGTATCTCATCATTCAGCTAAAAGAAACTTACAATATAAGGAAAAGTTTAAGAATTAAAAATATTACATTAGAAAAATTAATTAAAAGAACCAAATTATACACACCAGATCAGGAAAAAACACATGTTATTATCACCACTAACACAACAATCACATGTTACTACTGTAGGAAAACAATAATAATTTTAAAAATGTCAAATATATATATATATATATATATATATATATATTTGTAATATTTTTGCAGCCCAACTGTCGAATTAAAAAAAGATTAAAAATTAAAATTACAAAAATTTGTATCAACGTCGACAAAACTATCATATATATATATATATATATATATATATATATATATATATTTATATATATAATAATTTATTATTATTATATTATTCCAATTGAAAATATCTGTTTGAATTTAACTATTGAAAAACAATAGTTCGTGAAAATGCTGCCAATTCAACAGTAACAAACCGTGTAAATGGGGATGTTAGTCATTATACGAATGGTGTTGGTTATGATGAAAGCAATTCGAAAAGTGGGACACCACCTCCTTCCAGTCCTGATGCAACTCATGTTGAAGGCCTTCAACAAGTATCCCTTCAACAAGTTAAGGTAAAAATGTTTAATCACAGAAATATTAGGTTATTTTGGCGCAATGTATATTTTAAGGGCAATTTTTATTTACATTTTGTTGTACTGTAATACAATTATTATAATATTTGATTGTAATTGCTTTAGTATTCAGTGTTAGGTGAACTGATCATCTACATTCCAAACATAAATACAACATTTATAAAACTATTTAATATTGAAACCATAATTGAAATTTATTTACTCTCTTATGAAACATTAACCTGTCAATTATATTACTGTAATTAAGTAAATTGTTTTTTTATAAGCTATTATTTATTATATTCATTGATCCATTGTAGAAAGTGTTAATTGTGGATGCTCGTTCTTATACATCGGCTGTAACCAATAGAGCACGAGGTGGTGGTTGTGAATGCCCTGAATATTATAACGCTGAGATCCAGTTTATGTCATTGGGGAACATACATGTCATACGAAAGAGTTTTATGTCTCTTAGGAATTTATGTGCAATGCCTGCAGATTGCGCTAAGTAAGTAGAAAATATATTAATATCAGAATGAATTGAAATATATTCTTTATTAATTAATTTATATTAGCCAAACATACAATGTTTGTATGTTACTTACAAAATTTGTAACATTTGGAAAGTGTATCCATTTTTTTTTATGAAATTCTGAAGTATTGGAGTGGTTTTCGTATACAGACTCGACTAAAAATATCCTTCTATTGCTCTGGATAACCTGATATCATGCAGTAGCGATATCAATTTTTACTTGAAAATGTAGATTAAAAATATGTTTCCAATTTGAATTTGAATGAAAATAGCTCATTTTAGCACTGCGATGTGAAATGGCAACGGCAAGTTGATGTTTAACTCAGGTTATGGAATTATATATATATATATATATATATATATATATATATATATATATATATATATATATATATATATATATATATATATATATATATATATATATATATATATATATATATATATATATACGAGGTGTGTTCAAAAAGTACCCGGAATTACTAATAATTAAATTTCGCGGGTCTGGAGTGTCTGATTGTCAAAAATTTTTTTTTATTGTGTTGGTATACATGCCCCTAAAGTATGATGAAATTTTCAGCTATATTCACTGTTTACTTTGTCTGTGGTAGTCGCTAAGGTTCGACGTGTTTTTCTGAGCTCGGCGATTTTTACAATGGAAGAATTAAAAAAGTCAAAGAATTTGTATTAAATTTTGCGTAAAAAATGAAATAAAGTGTTGCAAAGTGCAAAAATTCACCAGATATGGCTCCGTGTGACTTTTTCCTATTCCCAAAGTTGAAGAGACCCATGAAAGGACGGCGGTTTTCCTCGATTGAAGAAAATCGCTGAGTGCTCAAGGACATATCAAAAAGTGAATATCAAGGGTGCTTCGAAAATTGGAAAAAACGCTGGCATAAGTGTATTATATCTGGGGGGGACTACTTTGAAGGGGACCACATTAATGTAGACGAATAAATAAATATTTTTACGAAAAAACGAAAATTCCGGGTACTTTTTGAACAGACCTCGTATATATATATATATATATATATATATATATTAGAGATGGGTAACTCACTCCGGAGTTATCACTCCGATACAACTCTTTCCTCGGAGTGAATCCGAGTGGAGTTGTTTCACAGGATTTGTCATATCCGACTTTCTTAAACTGGTATTAAATCTGTTAACTCGTACAGGCATTTAGTGTTTTTGTCGTTTTTGCTTTGGGAAGGAAACGGTCACTTTGTTGTCTCGCAGGCAGTTTTACGGCCTTTTTTAGGTATAAAAGTCAAATTAAATACCATTGTGTATTTTCCAGAAAATACAAAAATGTTACTTTAAAGATACAGAACAATGAAATTGTATTCGTGAATAACTCAAATGTATAATTTATTGAATAGTAAGAGGTCATATTTCTAACTACGACAATCGTTGTCCGTAAATATACCGAAAAATATACGAAACGAAATACATTTATTAAATCTTGTTTTTCCATAGCCTGAAATAACAACACTTTAGAGTACAAAATTTATCAGTGATATCATTAGTATTTAAGCAGTAAAAAATATTCAGTATTATATTATTACTTTTACACAATTATATAATTATGTAAAAGTAATAATATGCTAATCGAACTACGCGATATAATATTAATTCTCAAATGGAAATAGCAGAAGAAAAATTTTGAAAGCAGAAGTATTATGTTTTGCTTTTATTACGAAGTTTGCTACATAATTTTTATATAAAATTAATCCAAAAAATCAATTATTTTCTCATCAAACGGAAATCATTAAATTGAATTTGATTCTCAATTTTTGCGTTTTTACTTTGGTCAACACTGCTAAAAATGATAAACACTGAGTCCATCATCTGGTCGACCAAAAAATTTTACAATTCGTCATTTATTCGTGAATTTTTTAGAAAAATTATTTTATTGATAATTATTCATAAATTTTTATTTAAAATAATTAATGAGATTTGACAAATTCTTAGATACATAAACAGCATACTATAGAACACATTTGTTTCGAGTATTTCGGTTTCAAAATTGTCGGAGTCGTGGAGTTGTTTAGCGGATATAACTCCCCCATGAAGCGGAGTCAAATCCGAGTCGATCCGGCTTCGGATATAATAAGCCCATCTCTATATATATATATATATATATATATATATATATATATATATATATATATATACTGGTACTAGGGACTTCAGCGCTCGCATGCCATTTTTTTCTAGCACCCCTTCCTCTATTTTTTTCTGTCATCATTCAAATTATGTAAAGTACGTTAATTTTTTTAATTACCTTTTATTATGTATTTAGTTGGTTAACATTACTGGAACGCACACACTGGCTTCAACATCTTTCTGGATTGATGCGTGCCAGTTTAACAGTTGTTAAAGCTGTTCATAATGCCGGTAGGCCAGTGTTGGTCCATTGTTCTGATGGATGGGATCGTACGCCACAGATAGTTGCCACTGCGCAACTTTGTTTAGACCCATATTACCGAACCAGAGAAGTGAGCAAAATTTAATATAAATTTTACTTATTACTTATAATAGTCATAATAATAAATGTATGTGAAATAAATTTTAAATTAGAATTGTGATTACTATTCAGTGATTGATGGTCCACATAGTTTTGAATGCATGTGCATTTGAAAAAATTCAAACGTCACATTTTTTATAACTTTAAGTATTTTTTTCATTGGAAGAATGTGCTATATAGCTTAAATTATGGTTGTATTAACTGTAATTAGTTAATGCTTTAAAGTGACCCATCAGTATAATGAAATTCATTTACAGGGTTTTCGCACATTGGTGGAAAGAGAATGGCTAAGTTTTGGTCACAAGTTTGCTGATAGAGGAGGTCACCAGCCTGGTTCAATCCCAGATTTAAATGAACGTTGTCCAGTATTTTTACAGTGGCTAGATGTTGTTCATCAGCTAGTTAGACAATTTCCTTGTAGTTTTGAATTTTCAATGCCTTATCTTGTAAGTAATTACTTGTTTTTATTACAGAAAATTCAAAGATAGGTAACATTATATAATTTTTTTACAGATTAAACTGGCCCAACATTCTCATAGTTGCTTATTTGGCACCTTCTTGTGTAATAGTGATAGAGAGAGATCAAAGTATAGTATATATGAGAGAACATTTTCAGTGTGGGCATTTCTAGCAAATCCTGCATTTCGCAATCATTTGTATACTGGACAACGTGAATCTGTACTTTGGCCACAGCATAATGTCAGAGATTTAGTTCTCTGGGCTGAAGTTTATTTAAGTGGACAAGATGGGTGCAGGAGTGATTCCTCTGCAAATCAAGGTTTAGATTTAGATGTTGAAACGGGTATGTCATATGAAAATTGTCTTTTAGTGGCAAATTTTATTTTTATTAAAAATAGTCTGAAATAACTATATACAGTAAGTAAAGAACTTTCTCAAAGTAAATAATTTTTTGTTAATGTTTAGGTCTCATGACAAAAACAAGATCATATGGGGATCTTCTGACTGCTGGTGCAGCAACAATTTTACAAACGCCTTCAGTTAGACGCTCAAGTGATCCTAGTGTTTCTCTGGACACTATGTTAGAATCAAATAATTGAAAATAATAACAATATGTTGTATTACATAAAATTTATACAAGTATTTTAATTCTAGAAAAATGAGTGAAATCACACTAAATGATGAATCAATTGATGGTTCTGAAAAATGTGAATCAGAATCAGATTCATATGTATTGAGCTCGAAAGAGACTTCAAATTTTATAGACATCCAGTCACAGTATAATTACACAGATCATTATAAAATTGATGATGAATCAAATCCTAAGTTAGTAGACCTTAATAAAAGTAATAATTTGGAAAATGAAGCTGTGACAAATTCAGATAATTTTAATAATTTAGAGTACAACAGTTGCATTAACGACTTAAATAAAATACCAAATGGGCAGACAGTAAATATAGATTTAAGTATTGATAAATGTGATACAGATATTAAAGACAATATCTGCAATTCTTCAACTTGTGATAAATATGATATTTCAAATACTATAGAGAATTCTAATTCAGATCAAGGAGATCTTAATTTTAATGAAGGAGAATGTAAGTAATTTAAGTGTAAAAATTAAATTATACTCTTTTACATTTGAGGTAAAACAAAAACTTTCATGATTTAGGTGAAAAATCTAATGAAAGTGACGTATGTTCGAGCATTGTAAATTCAAAAATGTGTTTTCCATCAATAGAATCAAGCACAGATACATTAGTCCCTTCCCAACAATTCACATGTGACACTGGTCAAAGCACAGCACAAAATTGTATATTTCATAATAATGCAAATTCAAAAGAAGATGATGAAATTGCTTCACAAAAACCGATTTACTGCAGAAATTCAAAAAAAATGTATGTATATTACAAATAGTGCTATATATGGTTATTATGGTTTACGAATTGAAAAAATTGGGTTGATTATACAGAATATTAAATATACAAATAAATTATGGCATAATTTAATTAAACTGAATCTTAATTTTAGTGACTATTCAGGCGCACCTAGGGCTGCACAACTTCAAAATATAACGCCACTATCTATATCCCCAACAGTAGAGAATACACCACTTTGTTCTGCCGGAGCACTCGAAAAAGTTGATGGCTTGTGTCATGGTATTAGTGAAGAAGGATTAAGGCTTCAACAGCTTGTGTATGAACATAAGGTGGGGTTTTAAAAATTAGATTTAATTTTTCTGATCTATCTAATAATATTACTATACAATTAAAATTTAAGAATATTAAGTCACCATATGATTCAATGATCAGTATATGAATATTTTAAAATAAAGCATTCATAAAAATGCATTTTAAGCATATCAAATATTTTTCTAGTTACGAGAAGAAGCTTTGAAAAGAGAATTGAATGGAACTCGACAGGCATTAGTTAAACAAGAATGTCAACGATGTCATGGGTTACGTTTAGCGGATCTTAATGTATTACAATTTGGCGAAGAAAACCGACCAGAAGAAACGGTAATTTTTAACCAACTTTCAAAATGTATTAGAGAGAGAATTGAATCTGATTGGCATATTTACTTGAACATAATTTTGAAAGTTTATTTTGAAACTAAGATTGAAAAGAGAAAAAGTAATTTGGTGATTGTAAAAACGAAATTATCTTTAATATCAAATAGTTATATAAAATAATTAAATATTGCATACCTGCAATTTGGAAACTTCATATATTTTTTATATGAAATATTCTTTGATAGAAATGTAAATTCTTTTGACTCTACTTCTACCCTATGTAGGACATAAGATATTTTTTTAGAACTTGAACTATATATTACAATTTCAAAATATTAAATCAGTTATTTTATGCTTGCAAAATCAATATGCTTGTTTTTATTTAATTCAATGAGGATTTAAAATTTTAGAGTAAAGGTACTGATGAATGTGTAACACAGTGGGATATGAGCTGTCACTTTAGGATCGCATTTTCTCCTGAACCTTCACCCGAGAGGGGCAGGGTTAGTTAATGTTGTAATAACAATGTTATTACTAATAAGTGTGCTATTACGAAAGAAAATGTTTACCTAACTAACATGATAACGTGGTTAATATGATATTCCTTAGAAATTCATGAAGAATTGGTTCAATTCTGGCATGATTTTGTTAACTTAAATATGGGTTATTTTAATCAGTCATAATACAATATACATTTCTGGCAAAAGGCTATAATAATAAATATTTTCAGCACTTGGGATTCTTCGTATTCTTATGTTACCATCTCAATGGTTTTATGAATAAGAATGACGGCCATATTTTATGTGAAATTGGTTCAAGAATAAATACACACGCGCACACATACACAGACACATATATATATATATATATATATATATATATTTATATTAGCAGGGTGTTATGATGGCATTCTAAATACTATTTTCCTTTCTATATGCCACTTTAGCGGTACCTGCACTTTGAAACATATTTTCAAAGGTTTCTTATCACTTAATACAATTAATATAAGGAACATGAAACAGTGTTAGCAAGAAGGAATCAAGAAAGTGTTGAAATTACGAACACTGTCATCGATGTATTAAATTTCTTGTCCTCTTGATATTTTTAATGCAATTAATCATATAAAGTTATTACAACACACAGTACAATCTTTACATGAATTGTAGCCATTTTTTTTTATTTGGAACTTATTACGCATTTTAAAAGTAATTTTATATGGTCACTTTACTCATAATTTTTATAAAATTTATGAGTGCACTCTTCATTTATAAATTTTTTTTTTCTATATACAGTATAGCCTCGATTATCCGGACTTCAGTTATACGGATTCGCGATTATCCGGACTCCCAACCGCGACCAATTTATATGTATGTACATACCTACAATTCGAATTTTAGCATGATTAATGCTGCAATTTAGTACATGTATGTAATGTAATCGAAGAAAAAATATATGTACATGCATAAGGAAGTGTTAATTTTTTAATAAACATTGTTTTTCGTTGATATCTATGTATGTAATTGTTATTTTTAATAAATACACAACATTATTCATCATACATTGATTATCCGGATTTTCGATTATCCGAATGTCCATCGACAACAATTAGTCTGGTTAATTGAGGTTCTACTGTATACACATATGCTTATATAATTATATATTTCAGATGGAAAAAAACTGATAAAGTATTATTATGATTATTACTATTTATTATTTTTTAACATTATTTATATTATGTGTTTGACATGTTTAAATTGTTTTTGTATGAAATTAATAGTAGCTAGACGTTTTCTTGAATATAATATTTTATATTTGGCAGCTTTATTAATTCTAAGCTATTCATCAATAGGTTAATATATTTTGATATAATTAATTATTTGAAGAATACTTCTAATGTGTATTATGGAGTAACAAAATTTTCTAAAAATATATTCATATGTTTTAGAGCTCACTGACAGACAGTGTGTGTGCTTCAGCTGCTTCTGATTGTTCCTGGGAAGCAGTTGAAGAGCGAGTGGCTACAATTCATGGCATGTCAAATTCTGCAAGTGTGTTATGGGTTCCTGATCATGCGGTCTCACGTTGCACTGGATGTGATGGCCAATTCTGGATAGGCCGGCGGAAGCATCATTGCAGGTTATCCTATTATATTTTTTTTAGATGGCATAATTTATATTACCCATATATATATCCAATGCCAATGTGCCAATTGATTTAAGAAAATGTGCAGTAATTTCTCAAATTAGTGTATTTTAATTTTTGATTGAAATTTATTTATTTACTTATTTTTAAATCTAAATATTTCTAAATCCTTGTACTTATTTTTGATCTTGCTGACATTACATATTCTGTATGCAGAAGCTGTGGATGCATTTTCTGTGCTGACTGTGCTGAAAACTTTGCACCTTTACCGACTGAAAATTTATATAACCCTGTACGGCTTTGTAATCCTTGTTATCGTAAACAAGCTAAGGTAATAATAATTTTTTATATTTTGCGACATTTAAAAAAAAACTATATGTTTACCTCCTGTAGATACCTGAAGCCTGTAAACACGAAGCTAGTGACAATAGAACGACGTATTGTAGTAGGCAACTGGGAGCACCTATGAATTAAATATACTTTGTTTTGTATATATTGTACACAAATGATATTGCTATATTGAATAACAATATAAAATTAAATATATATATATATTTTTTAAATTAATTTCAATATTTAGATTTTAAAACATTAATATGCTTCATGTGTGTGAATTGACGTGAGCAATATATTTAAATTTGTGTTAAAATTTGGTTTCTATTAGTAATGGAGAATTTGTTTATTGAAAGGTTAAAATCACTATATCCAAATCCATTGTAATTGTAATTATTGTTAATTGCAATATTTTCACATTTGCATTCATTAGAGCGTTGATTCTAAAAATATCCAAATTATTAAAACCTGATCATTAAAACTTAGCTTACATATACATATATGTAACATATCATTAAAATCAATATGCACCTATATATATGGATATACATATATATATATATATATATATTAGGGTGGTCCTTAAAATGGTCATTTTCGAATTTCCTTGCTCCCAGGGGCTCAAATGGTTCCAAATAGATAAAAAACAATTTTCTGAAAGTTTTAGCTCTTAATATTATCGTTTAGATAGAGCGCAATTCAATCAAAGTTTTGTATGGAAATAGCATGGAAAAATTTTCAAAAATTTAAAAAATGTTTTTTAGATGTAATTTAGCGAACAAATGAATGAATAAAACTCATTCATTTGTCGCTAAGTTATACCTAAAACATTTTTTTTAAATTTTCAAAAATTTTTCCATGCTCTTCCCATACAAACTTTGATTGAATTGCGCTCTATCTAAACGTTAATATTAAGAGCTAAAACTTTCAGAGAATTGTTTTTTATCTATTTGAAACCATTTGAGCCCCTGGGAGCAAGGAAATTCGAAAATGACCATTTTAAGGACCACCCTAATATATATATATATATATATATATATATATATATATATATATTTATATATATTGTAGTTTATTCAATCTCTTGCAAAAATTGTCAAAAACAATACATTGGCCAAACATCACAATACATCCATAACAGAATGAGACAACATGAATTAAGCGTCATTCATCATAAAAGCCGAAGTTTCCAAAGCACTCTTGTCCAACATTCCATTGAAAATTCACATGTTCTTATCTTTGAACCCAATATTTTATATAGAGAGGATTGTACTTTTGAAAGACTTTTTTCTGAAAGCAGTTTAATCTTATTGAATTTGTCAAATTGTGTTAATAAAAGATCAGATCATAATATCATTCATGATTCGTATCTAAATTTTTTAAACCTAATTAAAAAGGATTAATCCTTTAATAATTTTGTGTGTATATATACATGTATATACATATATACATAATATAATGCACATTCATATATGTGCTTGCTTATATGTATGTTTTTGTATATACTCTATATACATGTACTTGCGTATATGTTCGTGTATATAATTGTATGTACATGAATATATGGATATATGCATATGTATTTGTGTATATGCATTTATGTGTATGTAAGTGTGCATATGTATGTGCATGTATATATAGATAATAATATTTCTCAACATTTGCTGAAGCAATACATTCTCATTTTTCGTAAATTACCAATACAAGAGCCATAAAAAATTATTTTTGCCTAAATTCCGTACATATCCCTTACATCTGGCCGACAGAACTCCATAACAGTGTGTTAAAGTCTTGTGAAGTCAGAACATTTACAAATATCCTCGGGAAAAAATCGAGTGTTTTTAACAAAAAATATTAGTGATATGGATATATAAATTATTACAGGTAAATAATTTTTGCTTCTCAATTTTGTATAAAACCTTTTTTAGTTAATTTTTATTACTCTTTACACTGGTACATAATTCATTCCTTTATAATTTTTCTAAATAATCTGTAATAACCATCATTAATTAATGTTAATCAATAGATTTAAAAACATTGTCTTTGACAGAATAAACCTGATGATGAAACGTATCTAGTTCCGAAAAGTCGTTATTAAACATCTTCAAAAAACAAATTGTTTTTTATTATTGGATTTACTGTTCGGAAAAGAAACAATCAATATATTGAAAAAATCCAGGACTTATCTATTGAATTCATATATATATAAATACTTATATATATATATATATATATATATATATATAAATACTTATATATATATATATATATATAAATATATATATATATATATGTATATGTATATATATATGTATATATATATATACACACAGTAGAACTTTGATTAAGCAGACTAATTGTTGTCGATAAGCATTTGGATAATCGAATGTATGTAATATTAGGTCGAAGGTAAAATCGTCTCGATTTTAAATGGAGTAGGAAGAAGAAGAATGCATATGGTTGATAATTTACGAGAGAAGAGAAATGCATAAAAGTGTATAAAAAGGTCATTAATGGTAATAGGAATAATAAACAAGGGAGGGAGGGAGAATTATTTATTTGTGGCGCTCTTACCATGGACCTGTTTTTGGGCAGACTATTGTTTATTATTATTATGTAATATTAGGTCTGTAATTTACCAACGATTATATTTCAATTAAAGTTAAGGTGATAATGGAAGTTTTTGCAGTGATTAGTGCTTTACTCAATATTTTCATAGCGTTTTTTTTTTTGTAAATATTTGATAAAATATGATTTTATTAAGTAGGATAAGTTAATGTAATCGTACAAAAATCGAAAATGATCTCAGAAGAATGGGTGTGTATGTGTGGAGACGATTTCGGGCGTATGGATAAACTAATTTGAAAAATTCAAAAAACAATCGATTCCTATTGATAGGAAGATGTGCTGATTAGTTTTTGGTAAAGTCAGTTCCAGCCGTTCCGACGAGGCAAAAAGTGTCAAATAGCAATTTTTGAGAGAACTAAGCATCCGATTTGAATGATTTAAATGAAAAACTTTCTGCTTGTGTTGACGAAACGATTGCTTTCGGGGAATGATTTTTTTTATTATGATTTTCAAAGATTTTTTTTTTTTAATATCGAAAATAATGCGGATTTTAATTCTGATTCTAGCTAAAGTTCCAAACATCACTTATATATTTCAAATAAATAATTTTAACTTTGCAAATCAGTTTATATTATTCCTATAAATATTAGACAATGTCCTTTTTTAAATACGATTGATCGAACGTATATTAAACGTCGTCGTTCAATTCATAAGCTCTTATATTTTGACTATAAAATACGAATAATGAAAATTACAGTATACTGATGTATATATATATTTGTATTTTATAATAATAATTAATATATTATATTATTATGTTATATTATATATATATATATATATATATATATATATATATAATATTTTTGAAAACATTTAATATTCTTCGAATATTTTTGGAACGAGAACTTTCAGCAACTTGCCTTAAGGCGCGATGCCATACACCACCAGTTTACATATTTTTTCATTATTACTATTATTACTATTATTACATTTTTTTAAATTGCTATATTATTATTATTACTATTATTTTGTTATTTTATCATTTTTGATATTGATTTTTGTTATATTTATTATTGTCGTTTATTTTTTTATTGTATTTTATTGTTTTCTAATATTATTTCACACATTTTATTTATTAATTTTGTTATCATTATTAACGTATGGTAGCTATAGTGATGGGCCGAAATGTTATTTAGCAGTTGTAATTGATATTGAAATTAAAAAAAAAAGAGTTAAGAGGGACAGTAAGAATAACTGATGTGCTGTACATATTCATAGGTTTATTCTATCCACTTCTTTTTCCATACGCTTCTTTTATCTATGATTCTATCCGTTATTATTATACATAGTCCTGGTGCGCACGTTAGCCAACTTTTCTACAAAAATATTTGATAGTACTTCCAACATGTCTACCGACAACTGAGCGAACTAAAGTTCATCTATACCAAAGCATTTAATATGCAATCAAATAATTTTAATATTGAAGTTACTTTGTATGAAGTTCTGTGATACTTTTTCCAATAGCAATAATGTTTTCGAGAATACAGCAAATCAAGTGAACGTGCATAATACTCAATTTAAAATTTAAAATAAAGCCACAATTATCAGGTAGTGTTTAGTGAACTCTTGAATGTTATCGGACTATTGCTATGTCAATGGAGTTGTTGTGAAAATACTGTTCATAGCATAATCTATGTCAAAGCTACTCGGAAAATTGCCGATGTTCAGTGGTGGGTGGATATTTTAACTCAACGATGTATTGTGCAACATTTATATTGATAACAAACTAATAATCAAAAGTGCCGTATTTAGGGAGCGCCAATGTATTTATGTTTTCAATGAGAACGAAAATGTTCATTTAGGTCTGTTTTTTTAATTGAAAATAATTTATATTAAAAATTACTTTCTATAAATTGTCATATTGAATATTATCGAACCGCGCCTCTATAATTCCCCGCCTATGCTAAGTGTCAGAAACCCTAAACGTCATAACTCAACATAACCTCCAATTTCATAATTTTATTTCAGATATGTTACGATACATAAATAATTGCAGTGATTTACCATATGAAATAATTTTGTATTAAATTAATATTAGATTCTCATTAATTGAATACTTTCTAGGGTAATATTTGTCTTTGCTAACTACGTGGAAGATTTTTATAACGCTCTAAAAAATACTTGTTCTCAGTTTCTCTTTGAACCAGATCTTGTGTATATATTTTTAACATTGGATAAAGTCTAGGAAAGTATATTTCTCCTAAATGTTTATTAATTTATGCTTTAGTGGAAGCAAAGCGACATATTTCGCAAAGTTCTTACTTGCTAGTTTTGAAGAGCATTAATTCCAGAATGGACATGATTGTATTTTGTTTTAGTATGAGTTAAATGTTAAACAAATGATTGTTTATTTTGGGTCAGAATTTATGTGATTTGCATGTTTTTGATTAGATGTCAGTGAGGATTTAAGTAACCATAACCATGAAAAAAGTTCTATTTGGTAATTTGCATTAGCCTATTCAGCCTAGCCTTTCAAAAGACAAAATTAATGAGTTTGGAACACATTACATGGATAATTAAAGAAATTATTTGAAATCATTGGATACCAGATATTGTTTTGTGGATACCAGTTTCATTTATGGTCCATTTTTGTTTCTAAAGTGGTATTTCAACTTATTCAGTTAATGTAGAGATCAGTTAAATTTGTCTCCCTTTAAAAGCATTGTGGTCGTTATAGAATAACAGGTACATATAAATCTATAAATAAACAATTTTAATTTATACAATTAAAATTAATTAAGTATTAATTAATTAAGTATTAATTCATTTCTGATCACTGCATGGCACCAAATATTTTTATACACTTCTTTTGAAAAATGTTTGGAGCGAATATAAATGGGATATGCATATTTGTAGTGCATTTATATGAGGTTTTGAAAGCAGTTAGATACGTTTGTTTCCACTTTTACTTTGTTATTTATTAATTTACTATTTATTAATAGTAAAAGTAATTATAGGTTTTGTCTTAAAATATTGATATGCACTTAGTCATTAATTTATCCACAATTACTGACAGTTTTCATGTTACGTTTTCATAATACATACTGGCTCCAATTATATACATTATTATTTATTAATGTGTTTTATATTGTTTACTCTCAGATTTGTTTAAATCCACTGTTATGACATACAATTATATTTTGAAACTTATTGAATTAAAATTTGAATTTTCTAAATATATCTATTTTTTATTTCATTCAAAATTCACTATCTTGGAGAAAAATTGATAACACTTAAATCTATATGAATGTGTGTTGATGTTATACAGTAGAACCTCGATTAACCTGACTAATTGTTGTCGAGGCATCCGGATAATCCAATGCATGAGGAATAATGACATATATTTATCAAAAATAACAAATACATACATAGATATCAACAAAAATTAATATTTAATAAGAAATTAACATTTCCTTATGTATGTACATATACATTTTCTTAATTATATTACATACATATACTAAACTGCAGCATAAACTGTGCAAAAATTTGAATATATATATATATATATATATATATATATATATATATATATTAACAAAGTCTAATAATCGGGCCTAACATCAATAAAAAACATGAATTTCTTTCAAAAATTTATTTTAAATCCATACTTTTCGGCTATAATCCTAGCCTTCATTCAGTGGAAAAATTAGTTATCTTAGTGTTAAATTGGAAAATTTTAATAATTTATAGTATCAGGATATGGTAATGCACTACACTATGTATTATAAACATTAAACTTGAAATTACACAATATTTTCATAAAATACTAATTTTAAAAAATCACAAATGGTTAGTGTGTTATTCGTAGACTGGTTGAAGATATAATCATTATATATATAATTATTATTAGTATTTTGTGAAAATATTGTGTAATTTCAAGTTTAATGTTTATAATGCATAGTGTAGTGCATACATATGTCAACATCAAATTCAGAATCATACAATATATATATATATATATATATATATATATATATATATATATATATATGCTTATTTTAGCAGCAATTCTTGTGACACAAATTTAGTTTCAATAAAAGTATTTGCATATACATATACATACAATAAACGTCTGATATATACATATATATGTATATAAACACACACACACACACACAAATATATATATATATATATATATATATATATATATATATATATATATATATATATTTGTGTGTGTGTGTGTGTGTGTGTGTTTATATACATATATATGTATATATCAGACGTTTATTGTATGTATATGTATATGCAAATACTTTTATTGAAACTAAATTTGTGTCACAAGAATTGCTGCTAAAATAAGCATATATTTGTTATTCTCAGGTTTCTATGTAGTACATACGCATTGGGTAACCCATCAAGGTACTAACGAGACACGATGGGCAAGTTACTATCCAAGATTTTTGGCAATAAGGAGATGCGAATACTCATGCTTGGATTAGATGCAGCAGGGAAAACAAGTATCCTTATAATAACTTTCAAATATTTTTTATTTGAACCCATTATTTTGATAGTAATTTTATTGTATGTGTAATTAAATTTAGTGTAACATATTTTTGTCATTAAATTAAAATACAGTAAACCATTAGAACATTCAATAATCTATTGCTTTAGCGCTCTACATATGTGATTATATATTTATAACAAAGTATTAACTAAATATCCAATGTATATATTATTTCTTAATTGCACTTTTAGCTATACTTTATAAATTAAAATTAGGCCAATCAGTAACTACGATACCAACAGTTGGATTTAATGTAGAAACAGTAACATACAAAAATGTTAAATTCAATGTTTGGGATGTTGGTGGTCAGGTTAGTCATTTATTATAATTTATAGAATATATGATTGTAATAATTTTTTTAATGAAATATTAGTCTATAGTCAATCACTTTATATTTTGTTTAGACTTATTACTAGTAAATACCTTACTAATAGGATATAAAAAGAAAAAATATGAAATATATTTTGTTTGTATAGCTGATTCTTGTTGATCTAAATTGTGATAATTCATCTTGAAACATTATATATTATACATTTTCTTTAGGATAAAATACGACCTTTGTGGAGGCATTATTATACTGGAACACAAGGTTTGATATTTGTGGTAGACTGTGCTGATCGGGATAGAATAGATGAAGCAAGGCAAGAATTGCATCGAATTATTAATGATCGAGAAATGAGAGATGCTATTATTCTCATATTTGCTAATAAACAAGATTTGCCAGATGGTAAGATAATTTTGTTTTTTGATGTTTTTAATTTTTTTAAAGTGAGTAATCATCTGATTTATAGTTGCTAACAATTTTTTTTCTTAACACTTGACACTTAGAATAGTGTTAATAAATGTTTTATGTAAAAGTGCTATTATTGATTCAATTTGATATGACTTAACTAGATTAAGTATATTATAATAATTCATAGAATAAATAGAAATTACAAATAAATAATATTGTAATTGGTTAATTATTATTGTTGCCCTGTCTGAAGTCAGATCTATAATGTGCAAGTTCAATATTTAATTTACCGATCTTCTATCTTATGTTTGTAGAATACTTTTTATTATTATTTATTACTGTTGAAATTTGTTTAACACTTACATGTTGACTTTCATTTAGCTATATTATTTTTCTTCTCTTGCCTAAATCAGCCATAACTTGAATTTTTTCTTGTTTTCCACTCAATCCTTTTATTTTCCTTCAATGACAATGTGCAGAGGGCTCTTTCATTACAATAAGTGCCTGATCAAGTTTTCTTCTATACATATCCAAATGATGAATTGAAAAAAGAATTTCAAAAAAAGTAGAAATAATACTAGTTTGATGATAGTCTGAAATGTGAATAATTCAACAGCTATGAAACCATATGAGATTCAAGAGAAACTTGGCCTCACCAGGATTCGAGACAGGAATTGGCATGTCCAACCTTCTTGTGCTACTACAGGTGATGGATTGTATGAAGGTTTAACTTGGCTAACAAGCAATCACAAGTTATGAAACGAACTAAACCATGACTAAGTTCTTTTATAAATACCAGATCACAAAAACATTAAGCCAATCATAAATGTTCATTAAAGATGTATTATATAAAGAATAAGTGACGTCAATAAAAGAAGAATAACTAGATTTATTTAACTGGTACAATGAAAACTTGCTAAATTTTTGCAATTTAGAAAATTAAGTCAATTCCTAGACATCCTAAAAAAACGTATTTATATGGATGTTAATATGTACTAGGTTTTTTAAAATGGTTCGAATTGAAGGTACATGAAAGATAAAGCGTAAAACAATTCACAAATTGCATTTCAAAATGTCCTAAATGTTCATTACCAATTAAAATGTTCAAATTTTATCCTCAAAAGAATTTCCATTTTACTATTACAAGTTGTTATTGAATTAGATATTGAAGATAGCTTTGCATTATTTTCAGAATTTCTCTTCGGCTAAAGTTGAATTATTCTTTATTATATAATCATCTTACTAATTAACAGATATTAGGGAATGTTATAACTTAGATTGTTAAATTATATTATATTAAAATCATAATTAATTTATGAAATAGATTATTATAAAGATCAACACTAACCAATTTGGATAATTTTAGATCAACATTTTAATACACCTTTAATGTCATTTATTCCATACAGATGAATCTTAATAGTATATCTACTAAATAGATTACCATAAATTTAATTATCTACTAACAAATAAAGTAAGGCAGAAATTCTTCTTGTGAAAATGTAATTTACTTACAAGTGACAGTGACAAATGTGTATTTATATTTATAAATACATACATATAAGAATTTGAATGAAAACGTGAATGAATATTTGAAGTTTTAATATCTTGATACCGTCAATTAAATTGTAAATAATATGAAATGTTCTGTATGGTTTTTAATAGACTGGAGCATAGTTAAATAAACTATTCTGTTTATTTTTTCTTTTTAACTTCATCATTATTTAATACTATAGTAGATGAACATAGTGATATTCTTAATAATTGCAATTCCACTTGTTTTTTTTTACATTATCAGTAGTTGGACTAATAATTCTAGATATTTTAATATTAAGTGAATTAGTACATGCATTTCCAATCCAGTATAGCCTTAATGAATTTGCACATATGTCATCATCAAACTGCTAAGTTATCCTTTAACTATTGTATGTACGTAACATACATATCTATGCAATAAATACACACACACACTACATTTGTTTACATTTATAAACATACATATATTTATCCAATGTTCTGAAAATAATTTTCTTGCCCTGGTTAGTATTCACTCAGGGTAAATTAATCTCTTTTAAACAAAGTATTGCAAAGTTATTACATACACTTATGTTTAATAGAGTAAAAATGCAATTTATGGAGATTAAATACAATAAAAAAGTAATGCTATTTATATACAAGTACTGCATACGTTGACATAAATATGTATATACATACACATGTATGTTACATGTATATGCATATTAATCTTGATTTATTAGATCATGTATATTATATATAAAAACATAAGTAAATTAAAATTTATAAAATAGAAAATTATTATAGTCGGCATTATGTTAGGGTTGTCTAACATAAGATTAATTTTTTACGCTTTCTTTATTATATTAGGCGGCGGGTATTGTTTGAACAGCTCATATTGTTAGAATTTTCTTCATGAATAAGACGAGAGTAATTATCATTGCAATTTATTGTCAATTTGATGATTAACTTACATTTTTTTTGTATTATTGTATTATTGTTCAGAATATTTAGACTAATTGAGTAATATTACTTATTATGCTAGTGAATTAAATTCTGTTTATTGAACAGAAGATAAAATGTAACAATTACATATTTTAAAAATTATTTCTAAATTCATTAGTGAACTCACAAATTAAGAACATAATGCAAAAGATGCATTTAAATGCATCATATAATTCTCAATATAAAATATATAATACTGCAATAGATATTTTTGAAGACAGAGATCATACAATTTAAAATCTGATGTTTTGTTTAGTTAGCCTTATCGAGGTCAAATTAATTTGTATATATTCTGTTGCTTACATTATAAATTTAAATATAGCAAATAAGTCTATAAAAAACATTATTTAAAAAAGTTTAATGTAAAGATCTATTGTTCTTAGTTCAATATGATATAAGTTGTTTTACAGAAAGTATTTAAAGAGAAAATTATCTATATACCTCTAATAATGAATTTTATTATAAATGTAATTAAAAGTTAATTTTCATATAAGTTATATTGAAAGTAATACTGAGTTCCAGTGTTATCATAAATTTTGTAAGTTTTGATAATCTGATATTTCTTATTATTTCTTCTTATCTCATATGATTGTAATGTTAATGCACTGTGAAATTATTTTTAATTATATTCAGTCAATTTATATTATGACTCTAAATGTATAATTAACTTTATGATGATTAGTTTATCGCTTTTTTGTTTATCTGCATTTTTAACTGCTAAAGTTTGCAAACTCTAATGTTTATTTTATGTCCACAAATTATATTCAGTTGTTTGAGCTAATATAAAATAGTGATGAAATTATCAAAGTGGTACCTGGTGACTGCCGTTTTGCAGATTCAACTTGACTCGGATTAATGCCTAATTTAGCAATAATAAAATCAATACAGAAGTAATGGAGATACACTTAAAGGCGAATAAATCCATCATATTAGGTACTGATTTTGTATGAAACACTAGAGGTCACGCTGTATAGATAGAAATAAATATTAATGATAATGTGTTATTTAAACATATGAACAAGAAAGTAATAAATATTGATTTTAATAAAGTAGATGTTTTTATACATAAAACATTTTTGATTTTTTTTGATAAAATTTTTTATGAAAAAAAGTTATGTTCTACAATTCATATTTTATAATGGTTCAATTTGAAATTATATTTCACAATGCATCTTTTGCTTTTGAGCATAATCACTAATTACATAATTGAGCAAAACCCAGTGCTTTGACCCTGATCTCATTTTCTTAACAGCAAAATATATAGATTACGTTACATGTACGTGTTTGTGTCAAAGCAATATACAATTTTTAAAATTTTATCTATACTTGGAAGAAATGCGGACGAAATGACATGTATAGACAAAGCGACATGGTCGTCACCTTAAGGAAACTGTCGAGTTTTAGTAACGTATCCGGGACTGCATAGCGTGACGAAAGCCATAATAACAATAATCCTGTCAGACGTTGAGCGTCATTGTCGTGTCGCAGTAAACAGTTCGATCGTGGGCTTATTTATTGTTATTATTTCTATTGAAATCAGTGAACTTCTTAGTGACAGTAGCAATTATTAAGTGCATTGCAATTATCAAGTGTTTGATGGAATTTAACTTGTGTATTCATTTTGGCACAATGTTATGTATGTGGGACAACATACTTACACAATTGAGTACTATTTCGCTAGCACTGCAGGGTAGTACACAATAGAAGCCTGTCAATTTGGCTTGGCTTTTAACTTCTACTCTATAGCTACTTCTGAAAAAAGCCCTACAAAATATGTTATTATAGTTTATCACCCAAAAATCTAACACGATGTCAAATTATGTCGGATCGATTATATCATCGGATCCGAAATGAGTCGGATTAATTATTTTTCTATTCTAGAAAACAATACTTAACACGTTCACGACGGGGCCGATTTTGGTTTGTTGTGAGGCGGCGCGTGATTATTGCCTTCGAAATGCGTATCACCAGTGGTCCCGGTGGCCCACGCCGGCGTGAACGTGTTAAGAACCGATATGAAAATCCAGATATTACAATTCTATCTGTTCAAATGTATAATGTGAGATGTTGATTTTTTGAGAAAACCTTTTTGATTCATCAACGCATTTCAACATAAACTTGACTTGAATTACATTTTTTTTTAAATTGTTAAAATAATTAAAGAAAAAATGAAAAAAATTAAATATTGGCTTCTCATTTAATTAGAAAGCGTATAAAACTTGTATGAAAAATTAAAATGTACCGATTGGTAGATAGTTTGCCGACTGGAGCCGATTGTAGAAGCACTTGCGATTATGAAAATCTTGCGTCCTTCCTCATATGAAATGGGTTTCTCAGCATTATCGTAAAATAAGTGATATTAGCTTTTGATCTCCTGAATTATCTATTTTTCAAATTAATAATGGTATTGGGAATTTTGATTGCGGTTTTTCATATACGCTTTTTGCTCATTTTTTATAGCTACTTCGATAATAAATTGTTCTAATGAACTATTTTTTTTAACTGAACCCTTAAGAGGAACATATTAAAATCATCTTAAATTTAATCACATTAAATACATCTTTCTTCTTCACATCTTTCAAGTCCTTTGTAGTCAATCCATATTCAGAATTGCGAACTATCTTTTACTTTAACGGTCAATTTGGTTTATATTGATAAATGTGTAAACAAATATTACATAATTGAAATATTTATTTGAACTTAAATTGGGCTTGATATTTTTTTGTCATGTAAACAATCGATTTGTCATAATAGTTTGACAGTTTTCGGTATTTTAACTGAAATTTTTGTGCATGGATTTGGTTTAATTTAAAATATTTGTGCCAAATTCGAAATGTCGAAGAAAAAACTATTTTTTTATTAGACAAAATTTTTAAATAATTTTGAATATGTCGTTCTGTGCATATTTTCATAATATATAAAAAGAGAATGTGCATTTCTGGTAGAACTGTAGCACATACAATTTGAATATCAACGCTCTACAAACCGCTTCAAAATTTTTGTAAATTTTGCTCGTCGCTAAGGGGATCTGAATGGTGGAAAACTAGGCACTAAGTATCCTGTGAAGGATTTTTTTTTCATAATAGAAATATGGGCTGCTGTAAAACAACGCTTAAGAAATAGCAATAGAAGGTCTGAAAGATATGTCCAAGTGAAAAATCGGACGTAAAATCACCACTGTTATGGTACAAATTTTTTGATGTGTTTTTTTAACTTATTGCGTATTGGGAGCAAACAATAATACATGCTTTTTTTCTGTAAACAGTTTTCTATACATTTTTCCATATTTTTTTATAATCATATACTTCATTTAACTTTTTTTTATTAAGTTTTTGTTGCAATTATTTTTCATTTTATTTGACCTTTTAAATTTCATATGATAAGGGAATTCAATTGTAATAATACGGAAAACTTGAGGTTAACAATGCACGGTTGTTCTGTGTATTTTAGTAATTTGTTATTAATCTGCATCATAATCAATTAAGATTATGGGGCGTTTGTATATATTAAAAATACAACATGACAATAACTACAGCGTGGTGTGTTTTAATGCATTCTTAGATTTATTTTATTTCTAGATGGCAGATGATCCAGATCGCGACCTGACCCCTGTAAGGGACAGCGCGAGCTCTGCGGGTGCATGTCCCAGTACTATTTACTCAGATATAATACAATTGCCTCCAGCCTGCTTCGGCAACGCGACTCATCTCGGTAACCTCACACTCGCGACATGCGCTCAAATCAAATGAATAATATTATATTTTAAACATAATATTAATTGTTAGTAGTAGATATTGATAGGTCAGCCGTCGTGTTGCTTTCTGTCAGCCGTCGTGTTAGTAAGGAGATGAATGATTTATTACACCCTTTTGCTCCCCGAGCGCCTTTTTGCTCATGATCGAGAGTGGTTACTCCGCGCCATTTTTACGTTCAAGTCATGATTTTATTAATGCTTATTATTATAATATGAATACAAATTTTATTATATTTTGTTTAAGCAACAGGCGCAATAGTGGCGCATTCAGATCTGAAGGCGCCACTATTGCGCCTGTTGCTTAAACAAAATAGCTCGAGCTAGCTAGTGCTATAAATGCATTATGCGCAACAGCGGCGCCCTATGAGTGCAAAGGGTTAAGTTCTGGTATTAATCGCTTCTTCTTTAATTTTAATGGCAGGTGCAAACAAGCAAGAAGGAATTTATAGGAGGAGCGCCAACACTTTGTTTATGCATCGACAACTGGCGTCAAAAATGAGCAAGAGTGAATTGGAGGTTATTATATAATTAGTTAAATTTTTTTTCTTATATATATATATATATATATATATATATATCGAATTTTGTAATATGAGTTGAACGAATATTAAATGTTAAATATGAACAACACAACACTCAGATTTTCACACACACTTTATTTAATAATTACAGACGTTTCGAGACCATGGTATGCCTCATCCTCAAGGTAATTTCAAAACAGTAAATTCTGAGTGTTGTGTTGTTCATATTTAACATTTAATATTCGTTCAACTCATATTACAAAATTCTAAAATAAATAAATAAATATATATATATATATATATATATATATATAAATTGAAAGGTTTTTTCAGATGGCGAAATATTATATTAAAGTTGTTCTTGGTCGTCCATCTATTAATTGCAACTATTTTATTGAAGTAAAATGTTCTATTGTCATTTTATATATATACCAGAGTAAGATACTTTACAGCGCGTTGATTTGTGTGGGCCAAAAAGCCACATAGGCATATATGATTTGCGGATACTAGGGATCAAAGTAAGATACTTTGCTGAAGAAACCATACCTCTTAAAAGAATTTTGATGTCCCGTGCATTGACCCAAAAATTGTACTGGGGTGAAAATTTTGAAAAATTCGGTTTTGACCCATTTAAAGTGCCCCAATCGATGACCGACCCTCACTAACTTTGGAAGTTAGTTTCTTCAGCAAAGTATCTTACTTTGATCCCTAGAATCCGAAAATTATATGTGTCTAAGTGAATTTTAAATCGACCCGCCCTATTATATACATATAACACAAAAAGCAAATGATATATATATAGGATAAGGTTGCACAGCCCTGGCGCACTACGTCAGGTTGCGCGTCCCTGCCATGCACCGTTATCCTCTATGGTATAAAACCACAGCGCAGCAATACTCGGCCCTTCACTTGCCTACCGGAGCTCGCAGTGGACACAAGGAAGAGAAGAAGATAGTACCTCGCTACATTGGTGACCCCTGACGTGAGAATAGTCGAGCATGTCAAAACCGGAGAAGCCAGAGCAAATATCTTTCCCGCCATCGCAGGTCGAAAGAGTCGGTGTCAAAGTTCCGCCATTTTGGCCTGAAAAGGCTCAGCTATGGTTTGCTCAACTCGAGGGACAATTTGCGCTTTCGAATATATCAGCTGACACTACAAAGTTTTATGTAGTAATCGCATACTTAGAGACGCAATACGCAGCCGAGGTTGAAGACATTATTTTGAAACCACCAACAGAGAATAAGTATGAAACACTGAAATGTACTCTCATCAAGAGAGTATCGATGTCAGAAGATCGCAAGTTAGAACAGTTACTGGACAGAGAAGAAATCGGCGACAGACGACCATCGCAGTTTTTGCGTCATTTGCGCGCACTAGGCGGGTCAAAAGTCGACGATAGTATTCTCAAGATATTGTGGATCAGGCGGCTACCAGAAAATATTCAAGCCATAATTTCGGCACACGACCATCTCGAGTTGGATAAAATAGCAGACATGGCAGATAAAATCGCCGATATAGTGTTGCAGCATCAAATCCAAGGAGTTAGTAAACAAATGCCATCCACGTCCAAAGAAATGAATCATACCATTTCAGAACAAATTTTGGAGCTTCAAAACCAAGAACGGCTTTGTGCTCATACACTATTTTATTCATTTACTAGAAGGAAATGGCACAGAATAGTTCTTAGAATTTGATTGAAAATGAAGATGCAGATAAAGACTATTTTGTGCTTCTCTGGAGCAACTGCATAGTTCACTTATTGGTAGATCTGCGCAACAAACGGCTTCTAGAGGGAGATACAAAAGCACAAATGATGGGAAAAGTAACAGATGCAGTCGTCCCAACTGTTAAAACCTTGCGAAAGGAGCACCACAGCCTATTGCAAGAATTTCCGGATATTACCAGACCTCAAGGAGCACCTCACAAAGTGAAGCATTCAACAACACACCACATCAATACAACACCAGGGCCTCCGATTTATTTTAAACCAAGACGGCTCAACGCGGAACGCCTTCAAATAGCTAAAACAGAATTTGAAGAAATGGTGAAGCTCGGAATCGCTCGACGATCAAACAGCCCCTGGGCCGCGCCGCTTCACATGGTACCTAAACGAAACCTCGGATGGCGCCTGTGCGGAGATTACAGGGCACTCAACGCTCGAACTATTCCAGACAGATACCCGGTAAAGCACATTTACGATTTTACGCAGCATCTTCAAGGAATGAAAGTTTTTTCCAAAATCGACTTGGTGAAGGCTTACAACCAAATTCCGGTCAACGAGGAGGACATACCAAAAACAGCAATTACGACTCCTTTCGGACTCTTCGAATTTCCTTATATGACCTTCGGACTTCGTAATGCAGGCCAAACCTTTCAAAGGTTTATCGACGAAGTCACACAAGGTATGGATTTTTGCTATGCTTATATCGACGATTTGCTAATTGCATCAAGAAACCAGGAAGAGCATGCAAGACATCTACGAAGCATTTTCGAAAGACTGCAGCGGTATGGTATCATAATCAACTGTGAGAAATGCATATTTAGTGTCCCGGAAATTGATTTTTTGGGATACACAGTCTCTAAAGATGGTATACGCCCAATTAAGGACGAGTGGAAGCTCTTGTAAGAATCAAACCTCCTACTAACATACAAGAATTGCGCAGATTTCTAGGAATGATTAATTATTTTCGCCGATGCATTCCCCGTGCGGCTGAATTGCAAGCTCCATTTCAAAAACTGCTAGAAGGACCAAACGTTAAAAATAACACTATCATAGAATGGAACGAGCAACTTCAGCAGGCTTTTATTAATTGCAAAGAAAGCCTATCAAATGCTACTCTTTTACATCATCCAGTGGTCAACGGCAAGTTAGCTTTATTTACAGACGCTAGTACAATTTCAATAGGAGCATCGCTGCAACAACAAATAGGGAAAACATGGCAACCACTAGCTTTCTTCTCGAAGAAAATTTCTAAACGCCAATGCGAATGGCCAACATACTACCGAGAACTTCTAGCAATCTTTGAAGCTATCCGACATTTTAGGCACTTTCTTGATGGACAACATTTCGTAGTATACACAGACCATAAACCGCTAACATTTGTCTTCCAACAGAAACAGGACAAATTGCCGCCAGTTCAACTGAATCAACTAACTTTCATAGCACAATTTACAACGGAAATAAAGCACATTGAAGGAAAAGAAAACGTCGTAGCTGATGCTTTATCCCGGATCGAAGAATTACTCGTCGAATGCAGATTATAACATAATCGCAAAGGAACAACAAGATGACGCGGAACTGCAAAGCTGCCTAAAGAACAGTTCTTCGTTGGTCCTAAAGTCAGTACGTCTTCCGGGTACTACCATCAACGTATATTGCGATGTATCCACTAATATTCCAAGACCTTTCGTTCCGAAGACGTTAAGAAAACAAGTTTTTAACGCACTTCACAACCTAAGCCATCCTGGAAGAAATGCCACAGTGAAAATGGTATCCCAACGATTTGTTTGGCCGTCAGTGAACAAGGACTGTCGAGCGTGGACGAGGGAGTGCATTCCTTGTCAACGCAGCAAAATTCATCGCCACACGCGAGCACCGCTTGGTAAATTTTTGCTTCCTACCCGACGATTTTCTCACATACATTTAGATCTGATCGGACCCTTTCCAAGCGCACGAGGATTCAAGTATTGCTTATCAGTAATATGTAGATTCACAAGGTGGCCAGAAGTCATCCCACTTCGAGATATAACAGCCGAGTCAGTGGCGCAAGCATTTATAGAGGGATGGATATCTCGCTTTGGCTGCCCCACTGAAGTAACGTGCGATCGCGGAGTCCAATTTAAATCCCGCCTATTTGACGCCATTGGTAAGTTTACAGGGTCGAAAATAACTTACACCACAGCTTATCACCCCAGTGCAAACGGCATGGTCGAGCGTTTTCACAGATCCTTTAAATCAGCTATTATGTGCCACAACAATAAGAGCTGGCTGGATGCGTTGCCGCTAGTACTACTCGGATTGCGGTCTGTATGGAAGCAAGACTTGCAAGCTTCTCCAGCTGAAATGGTGTATGGCGAACCTCTTCGGCTTCCAGGAGAATTTTTCGAAGACCATCAGAACACACAAGACACACACCAGGTTCTCCAAAAACTTCGACAAACGGTCAAAACGCTCAAGGCAACGCCCGCTTCGAATCACGGAAATAATTACAGCTTTGTCCACCCGGATTTATCAACGGCTCGACAAATTTTTATCCGGGAAGACACCATAAGGACAGGATTACAACCGCCGTACACAGGACCATACGAAGTAGTGGGCCGTTCGGATAAAACTATGACAGTGATTAGAAACGGCAAGGAAACTAAGATATCGATCGATAGAGCAAAACCAGCCTATATATTCGAGCCAAACACACTCAGCGGGGGGGTGATATAGGATAAGGTTGCACAGCCCTGGCGCACTACGTCAGGTTGCGCGTCCCTGCCATGCACCGTTATCCTCTATGGTATAAAACCACAGCGCAGCAATACTCGGCCCTTCACTTGCCTACCGGAGCTCGCAGTGGACACAAGGAAGAGAAGAAGATAGTACCTCGCTACATATATATATATATATATATATATATATATATATATATATATATATATAATCTCGATATAATGCATCACTATTACATAAATTGTATGGTTGCCACCGACAATAGTTATAAGTCAAATTATCGCAATAGCTTATTGGGCCTTTAAGTTCTGATCTTATTTAATTCCACTACTAATAATTGACTAATGTTGTTTTTGAATAAGGATCGATATTTGAGGCTTTGCGATGAAAACTCAGTTGTGAAACGTGTTTGCAATGAACAAGAAAACAAAATTAAACGCCTGGCAACGAAACTTCTTCGTATGGCATCTTCATCGTCGGCGAACGGTGCGGACAGTAGTACTGCAGAGAGCCTATGCGACGGGGAAACCAACGCCAAAAGGGCCGATAGACTTGAATTTCTGGTCGGACGTATAGATGAACTTACTGCAAAGTAAGTTTTAAAGATGAAAATCGTTACAATATTATATATAAATAGATTATTTTCTTTATTTTATCTCTTTAATGTGCAGATGAAGATTTGAGTTTATCAGTGTCGAGGTCATTTATTTCATAATTCATAGTCGATTTACGGAAAAAGGAACTGAATTAACTAAAATCTGGTTACACTAAATGTTCATCAATACTATTATTTTAGCATGAAAAACAAATATTTAATGAAATATTTTCTGTTCTTTGGACATTTTCCCTTATCAATTATTGTGTGAAAATGATGATTAAAGCATGTAACCTTAATTAGTTCCATGATTGGTTTATAAATAGATAATATGCTATGTTTTTAATATTCCAATTAAATTTATAACGATGCAAAATTGATATGTTATTATACAATGTTATCATATAACGCACAATGTCGACTCGCGTGAAAGAGGTATTGAGATCGAATCCTGACGCAACGTAGTCATACTCATACATTTATCGGCAAAACAAGGCACATTCTCATGTTTCATACAAAATGATTAAATCAAACGCATGGCACACTATTATAATATATATTAATTAATATTATATTGTACTAAAATAATATAATTATAATAATAATATTAATAATAATATACACCCTATAATAATTATTTCGCTAACTTCTAAATTTCTCTCCATAAAATTCATCGTTATTGTAATTAAATAAAATGAAGCAAATATGTTAAAAAGTTCATATTACTATAATTATTAAATTCACTACATTTTGTTCAACAATGCTTTAAACAATAATTAGATTTTTAAAATAAAATTCACCCATGTTTTAGTCAGCCATTAAATTAAATATGAAGTCGAAAATCTTGTGGGCTAAAGTGTATTGCGGAGGAATTTTAATTTCATTGATTACTGATTGATTAAAATTACTAAACTACCAATATGTATGCTCAATAATCACGTAAATAATTTATCACTTATGAATAAGTAAATAATGTAATAATATCATTTTTTTCTATGAATACTGAGCATTTTGAACTATATATATATATATATATATATATATATATATATAAATGATATAAAAAATAATGTATGTTAAAAGCAAAATGACGACTTCTCAAAAACGTAGAATGTTTAATAGCATAAGATATGAAATTAAATAAAATTTTGATAACTCTTATTTTGAATAAGCACACTACAAAGTCTCGTATTATATTATGTAATTGAGGTGAATATTCATAGATTAAATGTTATTGGCAGTTCGAATCCTACCTTCATGAAGGCAATATCGGTCTATCTAATGGCGGTCTTTTTTCAGTATTCTATAGATATATCATTACAGTTAGTGCGGAATCGTTCGTTTAAATGCATACAAAACACACTTAGTTTAATATTATACACAGGTGTTATGACCTCCAGGAAAATGAAGCACATACCGCCTATATCAAAAATATCTTTAACATAGTTAATGGATAAATGAACATAACACACAGTGAATTACAGCCAGCCTAAATGTTTAGAAATCATGATGCCAATACTCAACGTCGTTCAGTAAGAAACAATTTGTTTTGTGTGCCTTTTTACTTTAATGAAGGCCCATCATAAGGCTGAACCATCAATCAGTACCAAAGTAATTACAAATAATAATTTTTTGAACAAAGAAATTATTCTCGCAACACCACCTCTTCAGATTTTTAATGGAGGAGAATATTATGTTTACGTTTTTTCGACTTTTCATTTCAAATGAGCTAAAATTTTAGCTTTCGTCGAAGTTTTCTAAAAAAATAACTGCTGCGACGATTTAAAAAAATATGATTTTTAATGAATTATGATCCTTTCGATAAGCATACACAAACTGTTTCTATACAATTAGGAGATAAATGCAAAATTTTTATTATACGTTTTATTCAAGAGTTCTGAATCGTGTGCCGTGTTGTATTTTGTGACGATTTTTTTTTTTAAACTTTTTATGATTATCTTATGTTCATGATTTTTATTAATTTAAATAAATTTATTATCTGATGATATCTTTTTATTGCATATCAAGATTAGTATGAAGTTTATGTTCTTGGTAACTATTATTATAATAAATAATTGTTTAGGACTTTTAAATTGCTGAACCAATAGCTTCCTTTTTTATCAAAAAATTGTTTATTCAATTTCTCAGTTATTTTATTAAACGTTTCGGGAATATGGAATGTTCCTGAAGAAGAAGACACCTCATATCCCCGGAACTAAGATAAAATAATTGATAAATTGAACAATTTGTTTTTTCATATTATATATATATATATATATATATATATATATATATATTAGGGTGGTCCTTAAAATGGTCATTTTTGAATTTCCTTGCTCCCAGGGGCTCAAATGGTTCCAAATTGATAAAAAACAATTCTCTGAAAGTTTTAGCTCTTAATATTAACGTTTAGATAGAGCGCAATTCAATCAAAGTTTTGTATGGAAATAGCATGGAAAATTTTTCAAAAATTTTAAAAATGTTTTTTAAATGTAATTTAGCGAACAAATGAATGAATAAAACTCATTCATTTGTCGCTAAGTTATACCTAAAACATTTTTTTTTAATTTTCAAAAAAATTTCCATGCTCTTTCCATACAAACTTTGATTGAATTGCGCTCTATCTAAACGTTAATATTAAGAGCTAAAACTTTCAGAGAATTGTTTTTTATCAATTTGGAACCATTTGAGCCCCTGGGAGCAAGGAAATTCGAAAATGACCATTTTAAGGACCACCCTAATATATATATATATATATATATATAGACATCCATCCAAATAATATCAATAGATGAAAAACCAAAATGCTTCAAAAAATATTTTCAAACTATTTACATACGTACCGGGTCCCAATTTGACTCTTTTTCAGTGGATAAATCTACAAAAAATGATATTTGTATATTATTTCTATATCATTTTTGCAATTTTATTCACTGAAGAAGAGTCAAATTGGGATTGATAAGTATGTAAATAGATATTAAATATTTTTTAGAAACATAATTTTGTTTTCTTTATGGTTTGATTATATGGATGTCTCTTTAGTAAGTATTTTGTTTTTATCAACATATATCTATCAATATCTGAAAAAAAATCCAATATGTATTTTATTTGAAATTTCAGGATAAATGATCTAGAAGGTGGTAATCGCCAGTTACGCGAGCGCGTGGTGAAAATGCGGGAGCAACAACAAATCAATCCGTTAGCAAATAAATCCAAATTTAGACTCCGGCGAAAACGACATACTAAAATGTGAGATATTTACCATATGTTATATTTATTTTTCATTCTTAACCCCTTAACTTAAAATGACGAGCAGAGCCCGCGTGCAATTGCTAGGCCAAAAGTGAATACTACGAGCCCGCGTACGATATTCGGGCCAGAAGCAAATATTACGCATTTCGGGCATGGGCCTGTATGGTGTACGCAAGTATTATAAAATACTTATTCATACGTAACTATAAAGCACAAAATTGTTTTTATTTTTGTGATAAACCTACACAATGAGGAAAAATAGTCACAAACGACGCGCCAGCTTGAACAACTTTGGCCCATTTTCGAATCTAAATCGTAAGTTAAGGGGTTAAGTAGTCGAAAAACTTCTATTATTTTCGATTACTTTTTAGTATGATACAATAACCAATTTGATTTTGTTCTTCAAAACACGATCTTCATTTCACATGATAAATCACGAAAGCTATTGTAAATTTCATAATTTTTGCTAATATAAACAGAATGAATAAAATATTATTATAGAGTAAACAAATGCAAATATTACCAGTTGATATTCGAATCGACTTAAGCCGTTGCATTTTCATTTAGATATAGAACAGAAATTGTGGATGAAAACTTAGGGCAAAAAAATTATATATTGATTATATATATGAAAAAAAAACGAGCCTGATCCAAACATTCATTATATAAATTTATATAACAACTTTTTTATTATTTTAGTTTATTATTTTATTTTTATTAAAATTTTCAAAAATAATATTGATAGTCTCATATAAAACGGTTTTGAATTTTAACTTTTTTAACATAGGTCAGAGAACTGCAGAGGTTTGCCTGGATCGTGTGATTCCACATCATCATCTAGTTGTTCAGGAATCAAGAAAACTAATCGCAAAAAATATAGCTTGCACATTAGTAAAGAGATAAAAAAGATAAATAAAGAAATTAATAAAATAAATGATGAAATAAATGAAGCAGTGAAAAATGATAGCAATAATGAGCTTTCGGCGCCAGAAAACGAAAAATATATAAAAAAATGCAATTGCGAAAAGGATTCAGACAAAGATCGCTTGAGAGCCGGAGCTAATTTCGACGATAGGTAACAATTATTACTATTAGTGTTAACATCATTTTTACAAGAATGTTCAAAGTAGAATTACCGATGCTAATACTCGTAATCTATACACACACATATATATATATATATATATATATATATATATATATATACAGTGGAATCCGCTTAGTATGACATCGAAGGGACGCAGAAATCAATGTAAATATGTTACATGTTTCAGTAATTAAAAGAAAAGCCTATACATATATGTATAGGCTTTTCTTTTAAATTAAAATGTATACATTTTAATTAAAAATAATAATGACACATATTATAATTTAATATAAAGTAAAATTGACATAGGGTAGGGCGGGGCACAAAGGTCCAATTTGACTTTCAGTAATTATACTGTCTAAACCCAATGAACAACCTTGCAACACATAACACACATCAAACAAGTATAAATCGAACTATGTTCAGGAAAAATTTCACATAATTCCTAATTATATAAATATTATTTTTATACTATTTTTTTAAAATTTGGTATCTTACCCTTTCTACCCTATATACGGGGTAAAGTGAGACAACCGGGGGGCAAACGGATGCAATTCTACTAATAAATTTTAAAGGGACTTTACGCTACATTATTGAACCAATGCAAAATATTAATTTTATGGGTACATTTGTTTCAAAGATAACACAGTATATTACATTGATCTGTTATTGATCAGAAATATTCATCAGGAGAGCCGCAATAACAATTTATTTAATTAATCTCTTGTAAAATTGCTTTTTTTTAAAACTTTATTATTTTATTGCTTACACCTTTGCCAAAGTAATTCCTTCCTTTTTATTCCACTCATGTGCTGCTTATCTTCTGATAGCAAAGTCATAAGAATAAAGGTGATGGTTGGTTATACATTTTTTGCCCTCTACTATCAAATATTATTGTTAAGAAAATCTAATTTTGTTTATGAGATATCCGTGGTGGACCATTAATAAATGGTCTACCCTACCCATAAACATACAAATGTGTTTTTTTTTAATGTTAACATAATTTTATTGTAATAACAGTTCCTGGTGCTACTGTGCACAAAAGACATAGCAATTGCTTTCGTAGCCTTGGCCACATCATGTAAAATCATATCGGTCATTATAACTGGACATATTTTTTTTCAAAAATGGGTCGTTATAAGCGACATGTCGATGTAAGCGATGTCAATATATCCGACTGTTTTTTAAGGAATTTGCCAAACAGCCTAGCCCGCGTCCTAGTGTTCAAGCCCCCAGCTCTGGCAACCGCGATATCTTTTTTCATTTGAAAATATTGATCAAAAACGTGTTTCCAATTGAAAATAAGCCCATTTTGGCCACTGCGATGTCAAATAGCAATGGGAAATCTCTCACACTATTCTTCCCTGAATCAAGTTGGGGTTGTAACTCAGCTCACGGAATTGCTCTACGGCATTTCCACCCATTATATATATATATATATATATATATATATATATATTATTAATTCCATCTTATAGATTTAAGATTTTTTTCCAGCTCAGGACCTGACGCGTGTTCTAGCGAAGATAGAAAACCTAGAAAAAGGTTTGTTGTTTAATGTGCTAAGATTATTTAACCATAAATGATGTTATTTAATGAATTTCGGTTGAATGAAATGTATTTTATTATATTATCAATAATTAGAATTGCCATTTGTTTTAGTCAGACTAGCAAACAATAAATCAGATAATTCGAATCATACTTCATGTAAATATGTGCTGGCTTACCTTATGACATAATTATTATTAAAGTTAATGTTTTGTATATCTACACGTTAACAATTTTTTTTCGTCAATGATTTATTAATACTAAAATTTTATGCTGTGATATATTATCATATACGGGTTTTTATTACTGAAATCATACATCAAAATACATTGAGCTATTTTTATTTGCAGAAAAAGTAAAATGCCATGTACCTGCGCAGATTGTCCAACAAAAAAAATTAATAGAAAACGTCTGGCTTTATCGGGCGGTGGAAATATGTAATTATTAAAAAATATTTTATAATAAAATATTAACACATTAAGCCTGGTGTCGGGTCCTAGGAACCGGACAGTCAACTTTCCGTTTGGCCGGCGTCGGTCCCAAGGTGCTGCCCTAGAATTTCTGCTTGAATGGTGTGTGTGATCCACAAAGTTAAAAAATAAAATTAATCTTAATCAAATGCAGTTAAAAAAATTTTCAATGAAATTTAGTGAAACATTCTAATCAAAAATGTGGTACGTGTAAACATTGGCGGTCGACCGACGACCGTCCGTCACTGCCGGCTGAATGGAAAGGACAGCAAATAGGGCGCCGAGCTCAACGTGTTAATAATGATATTTTAACATATATTTTATATTATATACTATTATGAATGTATATGAAGATTTTAAGGCGATAACTTTAAATTTCACTTAAATATTAGATGTTATTTTTAATCGGTTAATATTATAATGTTTTTGGACATAATTTGGTAAAAAGTTTAAAAGATCTATTAATATAATTTGGGTATTGTTGTTTTTTAATCTTTTTGAGGTAGGTCGATATCCACAAAACTCAAGTCTATAGAGTCTATAACATGCCTATAAACCTGTGTGCACGTGTCGTTCATGGACGACATCCAGTGTGTCGACGATAGCTTGAAGATTTATCACTCTGAGTCAAATTATTTAGAATTCTGATTTGTTATTGTGTTTTTTGCTCTTCAGAAGTATAATTTTAAATACATTTTTATTGATAATGATTGTTTTTTTTTATAATTAGCACTCGCGCAGCAGTGTCAATCCTGCGGAATACATTGCCGTAGCGAAACGGCTAATATATACTATTGTTCTTACTTATTGTTGTACAATTAAAGTGGATAAGTCTTCGGGTCATTTTTCTTAAAATAATGTTCGGAACTTCAATGATTCTATTCTTAGTCCTTGTTATTGTTTGAAAAAAGTGATTAATTTGCAATATTTGTATATAACAGCAGATGGCTTCATTGCTTGATTGTTATTTTACATTGTGTTGTTTAATTATAATATATATAACAAACACAATGCCGATACATGTAAGAACAAATATTAAGCATTTTATAGATTTTGGAAGATCCTTGATTTAATTAACTTCCCGTAGGGTAAGTTATAGTAATCGCAAAAAAATCGAAAATGAAAATTTTTATATATCTTTACGTTTCATAGGTTTCTGAATATTTTGGCATACCTTAGAAAAAATGGATGTATGTGTGTGTGTGTGTGTGTGTGCGTAGTATGTATGTGTGTGCGGATACAAATTTTCGTCGACGATTTCGGGAATACGGATAAAGCAATTTGAATAATTTAAAAAACATTCGATCCGTATTGATAAGGAGACGTGCTGATTAGTTTTTGGCGGAGGTAGGTCTAGCCGTTCCGAAGATATGGGGCAAAAAGTGCCAAAAACGGTACCTCAGTTTTTAATAGAACGGAGCGTCCGATTTTAATAATTCAAAAAACATTTTACTTGTATTGACAAGATGAAGATTTGATCAAATTTTTATAAGGGCAGGTTTAGCGGTTTCGGAGATATAACGAAAAAAGTAAAAAAAAAATGCTTTTTGGCGGTCAAAAATGATCATTAGATATATGTACATCAAATTATCAGATATTTTATAGAGATTTTAACAATAAGTATAAATTTTGTTTACATTCCTATGGGTTCCGTACCAATGTTTACCCGTTAGACAGCGACGCGGCGCTTACGCGCTTTATATTCTGTCTCTATGCATTTAAAGCAGTACGATTGCTTTGAAAAAAAGTTCAGATCTTCCAACATATGTCAAAATAAAGAAAACATTTTTTTTTTCAAAAAAAAAGATTTAAAAAAAAAAAATTTTAAATTATTTTTTTTTCAATTTTTTTTTCAAAAAAAAGTAATTTTTTGTCAAATTTATAGTTTCTCAAAAATCTTATTTTTTCGAAATAATTTTTTTTCAAAAATGTTAATCGTTTTTAAAAAAAAAAAATAATTTTTGGTACGGGAAGTTCCAGCAATTTGCCTTAAGGCACGATGCCCTAATTGCCTTAAGACAGAATTCCACTTACAGCTAGTTTACCCTTGTTATTCTAGCAAAAAGAAACCGTGGTTAGGTGATGAAGATCCATACCCGGTACACCAATGCGACAACTTGGGACGTTCAAGACCAGCTAGTGGCGCATCCGGAAAATCTCGTGCATCGAGTATCGTCGGTGCTGGTTCCGTGAAGAACAAGCGCCGTGTCGCATCCAAAAAGCAATTGACCACCACGGGAGCCGGCAATGGCACCGAATCCTCTAAGAAAGGTTACATTTTTATATACTACTAAATCTAATATGTAGATTCATTATAAAATCCAGTAAAATTTAGCTAACGAGCACTTGATTTAAAATATGTATAACATTCTACACATTGCCATAAAATAAATACATTCAAACTATAATTGCTTATATTTGTAGTATTGTGTAGTGTCAAACGATTCAGAATGACCTGAACTTCGTGTGTTACATTTGCTACATATGTAAAAATTGACTGATAGTGCTAGGGTATCTTTTTACCAATTTTTACATTACATTTTAAATATGATTGTCGGTCGTAAAATTAGGTGTAAGTGGCATTTTGCCTTAAAGTAAGTTGCAAAAACCTTTCCGGCAAGTGTAAATAATTGTGCCCATAATTATGAAAGTGGTCTAAGTCAAAAACCAAATCGTCAAGAATGAAGAAGATAGTGGTTGTAATTTCGACATTATATGGAATTCATTTAGTGTTAATTATGACAGTGGTCTAAGTCAAAAAATGAAGGAAATTATATAAACATCTTGAAAATGGCACGTGGCCTTCTTTGACACGTTTTTGAACATCGATAAACAAGTATAAATAGATAGCAAACTGGACCGCTTTTCGATTATTTTAATTTTAATTTTCCGCTCCTGCTACAGAGGCGCGACGAGTGTAGCATGAAAATTCACCCCTAGGTTCAATTCTAGATAAATCCAAATCCTTAGGTTTAATTCTAAAATATATTTATATATAATATTGTTACTATAAATCTGAAATTTTATTATGTGAAATGATAACAAAACATACTCATAAAAAATATATTTTCATTTATATTAAAAACATTTTCAAAAATATTATAATTAATTTACTTAAATTATAATAATATTATTATTATAATTTAAGACCAAAAATATACGTAAATATTAAATTACTTCCATTATACACCAGCATTAGACCAGTATCGGAAGAAAAACATAAAGATATTATGAGTTTACTACCAGAATCCCTCCAGTTTTTCAGGAACATTTTAAGAATCTTAAATACTCGAAATAATGATAAAAATCAATTACCGTTTAAAAATAATTAATAAATGCTCACGAATTATTTCAATAAAATTATTGTTTCAAATAAAACTCAAAGTTCTTTATTGCTTTAAGTCATTTATAGGACATTCAGTTAATTTTGAAAATGGTCTAAGTCAATTCAAACTTTAAAAACAATATTATCGTATGAAATTCACACAAAATTTCATATTCATAATAAATTTCCATTAATTAAGACTAATAAAATAAAAATTAAAATGTCGCATAATGTAAAAATATTTTTTAATTTATTTAAATGCAATTCATTAAATATATTGAAACAAGAAATATATGACTAAGACCACTTTCATAATTATGGGCACAATTGACTTAAGTCGATTGATTAACTTGTTGATTGAATAATTTCTTATGTTTGTAGTATTGTGTAGTGTCAAATGATTTAGAATGACTTGAAACACTGTGTGTTACATTTGCTACATATGTAAAAATTGACTGATAGGGCTAGGACATCTTTCTTTCCAAAGTTGTCATTAAATGTTAAATATGATTGTCGGTCGTAAGATACAAAAGCTTACGGACAAGTGTAATCGACTTAGTAAGTAGATTGATTAACTTGCTGGTTAAATAAGTAATTTCTTACGTTTGTACTATTGTATTGCATTTGCTACATATGTAAAATTTACTGATAGTGCTAGGGTATCTTTTTTACCAAATTTGACATTGAATGTTAAATATTCATATATATATATATATATATATATATATATATATATATATATATATATATAATATAATAAAGTAATTACGAAGAAACAGTTCTAACAAATTCTTTGCCAAAAACTAATCAGCACGATTTCTAAATGCGGTTTTTGAATTTTCAAAATCGCTTCGGAAAGCTAACTGACGCGAATGGTTATCGAGTTTCATCAATTGGCTTATAAATTTTTGATATCGATTTAACTGTTTTGAGAAAAAGTCGATAAAAGGTCTGATTTTGACTCATGTTAAATAGAGCTGCTTATTTTTTCGGATTTTGATGAATTTTAAAAATTAAACGACTTGTCGTAGAGCCGTAATGTTGTAGCGAGAGGCGCTACAACCAATATAGTAAATAAGCATAAATAATATTAATTTAAATGTGTATTTGCTTAATTAAATAGTTATGAAAATTTGAGGTGTGAATTCTTCATAATATAGTTTTGAAAGAATTTAAATTTTCAGATCGCAGAGTTATAACATATGATACTTTCACCACACCTCAGCGTCCAGGTACGCCACCAGTTGTGCCCGGAAGATTGGGAAATATTACGGCAGCACGGAACGCAAGTACTAGTCCTGGTCCTGGTAGTAAGCTAAATAATACATCCACTAATATTGGATTCAAGAGTAGGTATAATAAATATTCTCAAATTTCTTAACGTCCGATCGAAATGTACCGTACTAATCTCCCAACATTAATGTTGGCCTGTTTGATGCACTTTATGATGTTAATATCTTTGAAATTATGTTATTTGCGAGGCAATGGATTATCAGAGTAATTGTGAGATCGAATTATTAGTTATTTAGTAAATATTTTTTTGCAAATTTGGCAGAATATTTCGGCAATATAATTTGAATGTATCAAAAGAAAATAAATTTGGTAATGATCTATTCTGCGAATTAAAGGTACTTCAAAATTCATTAATTATTGTTTTTTTTTGTAGAAAATTTTCAATTTGAAACGATTATTTGTATGCGTGGCGACCAAAAACTTACGTACTTATGTACTTCTGATTTTATGTACTTTTTCAAAAATATGTTTTTTTTTATTTTCAAAAAAATCACATTAATTTACTAGAGTTATTTGTAAAAATTTAAGTATTCATTTCATTCAAAAAATATAATAAAACAAATACTAGATAATATATGAGTTAGCCGATGAGAAACATACTTTGAAAAATAAATCGGTCCAAAAATTATAACAAATTTATTGTAAAAGCAATTACATGTAGTAATCTTAAAATATGTAAATGTAATGTTATCTGGTTTAATCTTCCAGAGAAGCATCACCCAAAATTTTGGGAAAACAATCGCACGCTACTTCGCCAGCTCCTTTGAGTCTGCAGATTCGTGGCGGTCCTCCGGCACCTCAAGGACCATGTCCTTGTGGAAGTGAGTGCTTTGTTTCAAAAAAATGTTTGTTTCTAAAATTGATAAGTAATTTATATTGTTCTAAGAAAAAAGTTTTTATATAAAATAGTATAGAAAAATTCTTTTACTTAATATATAACTCTGAAATAGCAAGATGAAAAATACTTCAACAATATCGAAGTTCAAATATTTTCATAATTCAATAAAAATATCATTTTGTTCAAAAACAGCTGTGAGTAAGGACAACGACTGCAGTCCTTTGACATATGAAGCGAGTCCATTTACAGCAACTCTTGCAACCACTATATGCTGTTGTAATCCGGAGAAACAAGTAAGCATATCAAATCAATAGTTTTACTAGGTACAATACCTTGTACAAATATTACCCAGTAAATTTAAAAAATATCAAAATCTAAAGATATAACAGTTTTTGAAAAGTGGGCACAATAAATAACTATGGCAAACATTATTACGCAGAATTTTTAACTTCCCGTAGGGTAAGTTATAGTAATCGCAAAAAAATCGAAAATGAAAATTTTTATATATCTTTACGTTTCAGAGGTTTCTGAACATTTTGGCATACCTTAGAAAAAATGGATGTATGTGTGTGTGTGTGTGTGTGTGTGTGTGTATGTATGTATGTATGTATGTATGTATGTATGTATGTATGTATGTATGTGTGTGTATGTATGTGCGGATACAAATTTTCGTCGACGATTTCGGGAACACGGATCAACCGATTTGAATAATTCAAAAAACATTCGATTCGTATTGATAAGGAGACGTGCTGATTAGTTTTTGGCGAAGGCAGGTCTAGCCGTTCCGAAGATACGGGGCAAAAAGTGCCGAAAACGGTAACTTAGTTTTTAAGAGAACGGAGCGTCCGATTTGAATAATTCAAAAAACATTTTACTTGTATTGACAAGATGAAGAATCGATAAAATTTTCATAAAGGTAGGTCTGGCGGTTTCGGAGATATGGAGAAAAAAGTAAAAAAATGAGCCATTTGGCGGTCAAAAATGATCATTAGACATATGCACATCAAATTATCAGATATTTTATAGAGATTTTAACAATAAGTATACATTTTGTTAACATTCCTATGGGTTCCGTACCAATGCTTATGCGTTAAACAGCAACGCGGGACTTACGCGCTTTATATTTTGTCCCTATGCAGTTAAAGCAGTACGATTGCTTTGAAAAGAAAGTTCAGATCTTCCACAATATGTCAAAATAAAGAAAAAAAAAATTTTTCAAAAAAAAAAAATTTAAGAAAAAAATATTTAAAAAAAAAAAATTTTTTTTTTCAAAAAAAGTAATTTTTTGTCCAATTTATAGTTTCTCAAAAATCTTATTTTTTCAAAGTAATTTTTTTTCAAAAATGTTGATCGTTTTTAAAAAAATAATAATTTTGGTACGGGAAGTTCCAGCAATTTGCCTTAAGGCACGATGCCCTAATTGCCTTAAGACAGAATTCCACTTACAGCTAGTTGAAACCTCACTTGATTCGCTAGACATGCCACAACATAATGGTAATATAAATGTTCGAATTTAGCCTCGTAATTAAAAAATTATTGAATTAATGAAAAGTACGGTAATAATATATCAAAATCTTGACATTCTTAACGTACCAATTCAATTTCAATGAAGTTAGTTTCAGATTAGGTTGGCACTTGCAATTACTATTAATGTCCCAGGAATATTTTTATGGGGCAAACCAACCATTTCACTTGTGTTAGCTGCCCCTGTAACTTACACATTACATAATTCCACTTTTACATTCTGTTCAGTTTTATTATACTAAATTTGCTAAACATTTTTTTTGTCTCAAGAACGTTTGTCGGCTAGCTAGTATATATATATATATATATATATATATATATATATATATGCATATATACATATATATGTATATATGTATGTATATATATATATATATATATATATTATATATATATATATATATTTCTATAAAAGAACAAATAAATACAAGTATTTATTTATAATATACATTTCGACACGGATTGTGTGATATCATTCAGCAATTCTTTGTTAACAATATCTAAAAAATATTTACAAAGTTTTTAAAGAATAAACTTAGTAATTTCATATTTAAAATAATTAAAAAATATACATACGACATCAGGAATTTTTTTTTTTAAATAATACGTATAGAAAAACCAATCATACATTACATATAAAATAAATACATAAAATAAACAATATTAACTGAACATGTTTTGTTTTTAATGTCTCAATGTCGAACAAAAATATCTAATTACATATATATATATATATATATATATATATATATATATATATATATATATATATATGATTCTTGTTGTTTGAATTATGTAAATTTTAAATATAAATAAAGGTATATTATTAATTATGTTAATTGATAGTATTTTTGCAGACTGTAGGGTGCTGCTGTTACCCTGTTAGAAAACAAGCCGGTGGCATTGCAAACCCTGATAGTATTCTGCATTTAAATACGGGTAATCCTTCAAAATTACCGAAAGGTGAAAAAAACGCCAGTAATCCATCTCCAAATTTAAAACCAAATTCTGCAATTACTAATAAGGGTAATTCTAAATGTAGAAATTTTAATACAAATTTGAAAAATATATTAAAACTATATATCTCATATTAAAATTATAAATGTTGAAATTTAGTGTGTTTCTAAATGCAGATGCGCTAATATTTCAGCAGCTGATAATCCGAGTGCACCAGGATCGGCATCGATTAAGCGCAGATCTCTTTCACAAACGGTTAGCAGTCCTACGTGCGTCGATTTGGTCGATCAAATCGTTCAACTCCAACGAGTATAACATTTTCATTGATTAACAATCGCAGTTCAATACTCATGCTCTTGATTAATGTTTTTAAAAATTCAAATATATTTCTATTTAAATTAATAAATTTATATCAAATTGTCATTGAAACGTCTATAGTAAAATCTTTATTCTCTAAGGTTGTATTTAAAAGGAAATAATTCTAGGAACTCCAATTAGAGCGTAACCGTTTGTCGCAATGCAGTTGCAATTGTCCAGCTCCTTTGGACGCCTGTTGCAGTTCGCGTCTCGAAGAGAATCTGCAAGCGATTGCTGTACAACGTGCTTTGAGGGACCAAGAGACGGCTTTGGCGGCACTAAGAAATGAAGCAGACGTTATGAAGCGGAGAACTTGTGAGTTAGATTTTCAACTATATTTTTCACATTCACACTCACTATCACTCTCTCTCTCTCTCTCTTCTCTCTCACACACACACACACACACACACACACATATATATATATATATATATATATATATATATATATATATATATATATATATATATATATATTGTCCGATTTAGGTCAAATATGCACCATTTTGTTCTATAATTTGTTGCAATTTTAATGGTAGCTTCATTATGCCTCTCTCATAAAAGTCTTGGTCCTTATTAGCGAAAAACTCCAGCAATTGATTTTCACCCTCTTCCCTTGATGCCAATTTCTTATCACTAAAAAAGTTTTGCAATGCAAGAAAAAGATGGTAATCGCTTGGTGCGACTGTATGGTGGATGCATCAAAACCTAACATATATATATATATATATTAAGTGAAACTTGTTTTTGTGCATTCCATTTTATGTGATTCAATGTTTAAATTGAAACCATTTACCCTTGTATATAAAATTATCATAGCTGTTCGTTGTAATACTTCTCCGAAACGGTTCGACCGATTTTTATCAAATTTGTTGTTCTCTTATAACTTTTATGATCAGTTTTATCCCTAAAAATAATATCATTTATTGAAAATATTATAATATTAAATAAATATATTATATACAATATAGTTTTAATTAATGTAATTTTAGGTGATTTGAATGATGAATTAGATCGTGCAAAAAGTGAAGTTCTTACGTTACGTCAAACTATTGAAAAATATCAACAACAAGAAGCAAAAGTACAAAAACTTGAAAAAGAACTGGAAATGGTCAACGTAATTAAATATTTATAAACATATTAATTTTGATGCGATGAATTATTATTTTTTAAGTAAAGTAATGATAAATATTGCCGAATATTATTTAATACAATTAGATTAAATCAATTTACTTATATTATAACATATTTGTTTATATATTATAATTATTTATAAATGTTAACGAGCACTGTCATATTCGTTATTATAGCAATTGATTTTGAAGATTATGCATAACATTGAGTAATCAACCAATATATTTTTTTTGTAATATTAGTAAAAATGTATTTTCTTACTTTTCAATATATTATAATTTTTTTTTATATAATTTTAGCGGGAAAAAGCAATATTGAAAGCACAAAATGAAGCTTTGTGCACTTGCAGCGTGGACGAAGATAGCATTTCCGCAGAAAACAAAGCGGCCATAGAACGATTACAAGCCGAGAACGATTCTTTACGATCTAAATTGGAGCAGGAAACAGCTGCATTACACAGGTTTGTATTATGCTGACAAACTTCAAACAAGTAATAATCTTCCGCATACAAAATATACATTTAGTTGCGAATGTGAATTAGCACAACTGCGTGCCCAAGAACAAGCCTGCAGAAAATCAAATGAAGAACTCTTATGTAGACTTCTAGAATTAGAAAATCGTCATGAGGTATGTAAATGACATCGTTCAATTAACATTCCGTTAGATATTAATAAAAACTGTTTGTGTAGGAATGTAGATCTTGCAGTGAAGACGCTAACGAAATATCACTATTTCCTTATTATCAGCAAACATCGAATGCACCACAGCCTCAACCTGTCGTTGGTCCGATCGGCCGAAGAAGATCAAATCCGGCTCACTCACATCCGAACGTTCATGTTCAACAATCAGTATCATCTCCTTTGTGTGCTCCGCCTTCAACAGATTCATCAAAGCAGTCGTATACGCCCGGTTCTAATTATAGCAAAACTTATTATAATACACGCTATAACACTTGCAACTTAAATCATAATTTATCTAATAACACTCAATCAGATCAGTCTTATGGCACATATGGTTCATCGTTATCAGGACGATTGAATGAGTCACATAACGAATCAGGGTCATCCAGACATATTATTAGTCCACCAAGCGATAGTTTTCAAAAACCTCAATACTCATGTGGCGGTAAAAATCTAATTAATAAAACAGGATGTGAATGTTCGCAGAAGCAATGTGATTGTTCGACAAGACGGAATTGTGAATGTGCTCCAAAACCTCTTTGTGATTGTAGACAGCATTGTGAATGTTCACCGAGAGCAACGTGCGATTGCACTTCTAAACCTTCACCTTGTGAGTGCAGTTGTAAACCTACATGCGAGTGTAATAACAAGCCGATTTCTGAGTGTAAATCCAAGCCTGCAGCATGTGAGTGTAATTCTAAGCCCCACAGTGATTGTTCAAAACCACCTTGTGATTGCTGTGATAGACCACTTTGCGACAAACAACGAGAACAGGTCTGCGAGCCCGCGAGTATGCCTTGTGAATCCGCTTCTCAAGTGGAACCTGAATGTTTTCCTGAAACACCATGTCAATCTGATTCTGCTCCATCTAGTCTTTGTCGATCTTCTCAAGTAACTCCATGTGGAGCCCCTAAAAAAATATTGTGCGAATCTGCTTCAGGACCGCCTTTTGACGCTCCTCCAAATGAACCATGTAGTCTATCGCCTTGTGAAATAAAAAAGACATGCAAGTCTCTGCCTGTAAAATATGAAGCACAATGCTCATCTAATATACTTTGCGAATCTATTCAACTACCATGCAACGTGGAAATGACGCATGCTGCGTTGCCTGCTATTACTATGAGTACGACACTGTCATCTGCGACTAGCCCTTTAATAAGCTTCAAGCCCTTCAGGGATACTGCTAGCGATGCTATTTCAATATTTGCATCACCTTTAGCGGCCGGTGAATGTTCAGATTCTTTAGATACGGAAGAAGCAACACAAAAAGAGGCGTCGCTACCATCAGAGCCAACCTCAAATAAAAATCAGGATATAATACGCTGTCCGCCTTGTCCACCAGATACTGTACTCCAAAAGCCAGCAACTCAACCCCATTTAAACGGTAATGAACATCAGAACAAATCTGAAGATCAAAATAACACAAATCAGCAGACTCAACAATTAAAAATGAACCAAGAAGATACTGAAAAACCAATAAACGAGTCATGTAATCATAGCCAAGAAAACCAAAATTTATTGCAAACACGGACGCCACCATGTGCGTATTCTAAAAAAACAGCTTCTTCAGAGAATATGTGCGTCTCGACAAAGTCATGTACTCCAGAAAAATTATACAGTCCTGAAAAATGTAGTACACCTGAAGAAAATGTTACTCCCGAAAAAATATGTTCACCCAAAAATATGTTTACACCTGAAAAAATATGCACTCCTCAGAAATTAAGTACTCCGCAGAAACTAAGCACTCCGCAAAAACCAAGTACGCCTCCGAACCTAAGTCCTACTCAGGACCTATGTTCTCCCGAAAAGCTCAGTACTCCACAAAAACCAAGCACTCCGCAAAATCAAGGTAGTCCACAGAAACAATATACACCACAAAATACAAGCTCTCCAGAAAAAAATTGCACACCTGAAAAAGGTAGCACACCTGAAAAGGGTAGCACACCTGTAAATGGTAGCACGCCTGAAAAAGAAAGTACACCTAAAAACGAACGTATTTCTGGTAAAATTCCAGAAGTTGCCGTAGAAAAGCAAAGTACTCCAGAAAAGCCATGTACCCCGCAAAAAAACTGTAATCCGGTGAAATTACGTACAACTGCTACGGTTTGTACACCCGAAAGTTCTTCTACTTCTGAATCAATGTATTCTCCAGAACAAGAGTGCACTCCTGAAATTATTTGCACACCTGAGAAGGCGCGCTCAACAGAAAGAGTACGTCAGTACCACGGTTTGCGAATTCCTGCACCTCCGCCGTTACCAGCATCAAATCACATACCTTTACCCCGCGGGAATGCTGCAGATTGCCACCCTGGTCACATTCCCAATTATCCTTGCAATGAATATAGTGATTCGCCTTGCTCAGATTCGTACAGTAGTTCTTGTCCGACCATAGGCTCTTCTTTCAGGTTAGAAAATTGACTAAGCTGAATTATTATAATAAGTAGAAGTCATTTTTTCAAAATATCAATAGCTAATTAAATTTGGCTGAAATTTAAATTCAGGTCAGATTAAATATATATTAAGTTCTTGTGTTTAATTAAGGTCTCATCGAACATATTCATAACTACGTACAAATAAATCTGCAAAACAAATTTCTTTATTTTTAGTTACATTATTGGCCGATTTGAGAAATAGAAAATAGAGAAAAAAATAGTTTTTATTTGTATTTTTTTGATTTTTAGATCTTATGGTTCATCATTAGTATCAACAAATTACAGTTCGCGCGAAGGTCCTCAGTCATATTGCCCTCGTGTACCAGAACATTCTTTTCAACCTACTGCCCAGGTGCATAGACCCCAAGCTAAGGTATGAGTGAAGCAGAGAATTTATAGCTCATTTTTTTGGAAATATCTAATACTTTTTAGCATTTTTTAAAATACTTATTTATTAAACAAATAAAATGCAATTATATCAATTATTTCATTAAATATCTAATTGTATAACAGTTGACGTTGGCACAGCAGATGGATCAGCAGTTGGGAGAACCACCGACGATTTTGGCAATTACAACACGCCGCCCTGCATCAACATTTGCCACTGAATTGATAGCACAAGTCAGGTCAGATTTATAATTAATTTGTGTACTAACAAATTCTTATATATATATATATATATATATACATATATATATATATTATATATATATATGTATGTATATATGTATACTTCAAACAAACAAAATAAAAATGTAAAAAAACCTCCAAAAATCAAAAAATATTATTTATGGCGACCTTTTGGAACTATGTACTTACACGAACATGATCTTATATAGAAGAGTAGTGGGGCGCATGGCATCGTGCCTTAAGGCAAATTGCTGGAACTTCCCGTACCAAAAATTAAATTTGATTTTTGAGAAATTATAAATTTGTCAAAAAATTACTTTTTTTTTGAAAAAAAATGTTTCTTTTTTTGACATATTTTGGAAATTCTGAACTTTTTTTCAAAGCAATCGTACTGCTTTAACTGCATAGAGACGAAATATCGAAGTGCGTAAGCACCGCGCCGCCGTCTAACGGATAAGCATTGGTACGGAACCCATAGGAATGTAAACAAAATTTATACTTATTGTTAAAATCTATATAAAATATCTGATAATTTGATGTGCATATGTCTAATGATCATTTTTGATCGCCAAATGGCATTTTTTTACTTATTTTATCAGATCTCCGAAACCGCTAGACCTGCCTTCATAAAATTTGATCAATTCTTTATCTTGTCAATATAAGTAAAATATTTTTTGAATTATTAAAATTGGACGTTCCGTTCTCTTAAAAATTGAATTACCATTTTTGGCACTTTTGCCCCGTATTTTCGGAACGGCTAGACCTGCCTTCGCCAAAAACTAATCAGCACGTCTCCTTATCAATACCAATCGAGTGTTTTTTAAATTATTCAAATCGGTTGATCGGTGTTCCCGAAATCGTCGACTAAAATTTGTATCCGCACGCACATACACACACACACATACATCAATTTTTCCTAAGGTATGCCAAAATATTAAGAAACCTTTAAAGCGTAAAGATATATAAAAATTTTCATTTTTGATTTTTTTGCGATTACTATAACTTGCTCTACGAGAAGTTAATAAGCAAAAACAAGCTAGCACTAGCTGTAAGTGGCATTTTGCATGAACTTTTCGATATGTGTAAATCATCGTTTTAAACAATATTTTTTTAATTCATCCATGATCTACCTGTCTACTGGTCCACCTCTACATGTATTACCTAATATCTATATACCTCTCTACCTGTCTGCCTGTCAACCTATCTTCCTGTCTACCTTGTTAATCTGTTCACCTGTTTACAAGTGTCTATCAATTCATAAGTTTTCCAGTTTGCCTACTATTACTATTACCTGTCCACCTGTCTAGTTACCTACCTGTCAACCTGTCTGACAGGTAGAACTGCCAACTTCTTCATTCCGTCAACACCAAAGTAAAATATGTTTTAAATCATTTAAAACAGATGCACCGTTTTCTCAACATTTTTAGCACTTTTTCGCTGTACCTCAGAAACGGCGGAACACGTACACATATACATATAATACAATCATTTTTAATATACCCTAGAAAAATTGGTTTTATGCATGGCTGTGTATATCAGGGGCGTAGCGTGCCTTGACGAGACCCCGTATCAAAATTTGTTTGGGGCCTCCCTCAAGAAAATTTTTTTTTTTTCCAAAATATAAAAATACATAAAATTATAAGAATATTTATTTATCAATCTAATTACTGTCTATCTATCTGATTTTCTCTAATTTTCTGAATTTTTCACAAATGATTCCAGATATATATTCACTCTCCTTGCCTTTTTTTTGAAAAACTGAATTATTTAGTGATCTTTAAATTTTATAAAGTTTCTGTCTCTTGGAACATACAGGTCTGGTAGACATTTTTGTCCTGAAGTTTTTACGTAATTTTTAATTAGTTTTCATTTTTAAAATTTCTTTTAGCAGTTGCGATTGTAATTGGAAGAGCCAAGAATAAAATGCATACTGTTATTTCGTTGGGAAAACTGGATACAAGCCTATTGCATTCCATCATTATTGTACCTTAATGAAATAAATTTCTTAGATTTCTGTATTCAAACTATTTCTAAAACCATCAATTAGTCATGATCATATGAGATATTTTTATAGTATTTCTTTATAGTAATTCAGTCGGCAGTTTTTTTGGAAAATTTATGAATAATCGATTTCAAAAAGACAAATGTTACTACTTACGTCGCAAAAGTTTTGAAATCTTTGTATGGTTTGTGAAACTAATATATCCAAACAGCAATAGCATACATTAAAATAAGATTTCGGGTCTAAAATTCTCTTATCTTGTGATAACTCATCATAATAACGCTTCATCATCTGTTGTCTATTTTTCTTTAAAATAGTTATTGCAATCTATCTTTTTAACTTCGAAAAAACATCGAAAATGAAAATTTTTATAAATCTTTAGGTTTCAGAGGTTCTGAACATTTTGGCATACCTCAGAAAAAACGGATGTATGGATACAAATTTTCGTCCACGTTTTCAGGAGCACGGATCAACCGATTTGAATATTTCAAAAATATTCGATTCCTATTAATAGGGAGATGTGGTAATTAGTTTTTAACAAAGACAGGTTCAGCCATTTCGGAGATTTGGTGCAAAGTGTGCCGAGAACGGAGCATCCGATTTGAATGATCTAAAAAACATTAAGTTCGTAATGATAGGGAGAAGTGATGATTAGTCTTTGGCAAAGACATGTCCAACCTTTTTTTGCTATTACTGTAACTTACTCTACAAAAAGTTAATAATAATCTAAATGAATTATAAAACTACACAATCGGGAAAATAGATATAGATAACACATAGATAAATTGACGTTTGGGTGAAAATCATTTTTGCAGTAACCTAGGATTCAATTAAAAGCGCAGAGTGCTGAAAATGACCGACTTTTTATTCTTTACACTTTGACTTGCATTACGAGGAGCTCTGCCACGAGAAATGAGAATATCAACCGAGTCTTGTCTGCTTTCAGGCGACAAAGCCTATTACTGTTACAAAATTATACATTCAAATTAGTTTATATACTTAAGGTATTACTGAAAGTAATAATTCTAATATTACTTTTAGTTATTTAGTTTATATATTTTTAGCTTATTGACTTCCCGAAGGAGTTTATTTTTTCATCAAAAAATCCGATTTGCTAATTTTATGTTTTCTCGACGTTTCAAGCCATTCTGAATCGAATGAGACCAAATTTGGAAAAAGTATATGTGTGTGCGTGTGCATCAACAGATTTTTTGCCGTAAATCGCCGTTTTAAATTTAAAAGCCATTTGATGTATTTCGATGAGGACTATCGCTTGTCAGTTTTGTGCGACGATCGGCCGAGACGTTTCTTTATAAATAGCAGAAAAGTAAAAAATTTTTCGTCCACGTTTTAGCCTGCAATTCTAAATCGATTATGAAAATTCAAAAACCGTTCGAAAGATATTGGTTGGGAATCGTGCTGATCAGTTTTTGGTAAAGATCGGCCGGGCCGTTTTCTTGTAATAAAGTGTTGAAATTTTTTTTTTCGAAGATTTTGATTATTATTTTTTTGACGGTATATACCATACTCTTCTAGATCATACTAAAATATCACGGCCCTACGACAATTTGTCAAAATAAGACGTTTTCTCAAAAACGCCTAAACCGATTTTAGAAATTCAAAAGCCATTTGATGTTTCTCGATTAGGACTATCGTTTGTCAGTTTTGTGCGACGATCTGCCAAGCCGTTTCTTTGTAATTTGGAAAAAAGTGTTAAACTATTCGTCCACATCTAAACTCATACTACCGGATCGATTTTAAAAAATCGAAAACTGTTCGAAAGATATTAGTTGGAAATGGTACTGATTAGTTTTAGGTGAAAATCTACCGAGCCGTTTTCTTGTAATTAACTGTTGAAAAAAAAATTCAAGCCGATTTTCATGGAACTTTTTTTGGCGATATATACTATGGTCTTATAGAACTTACTGAATTATTACGGCCTTACGACAAGTAGTTTAATTTTAAAAATTCATCTAAGTTTGAGAAAAAAAGTAGTTTTTTTTTATGTTTGTTAAAATTAAAATTAGACGATTTACTTGGTATAATGATAAAGTACCTGGTCTTATTAAACATACTAAACCATTAAAGTTCTACGGATACTGCTATAATTATAAAAATTGTTGATTTTTGAAAATTTGCTTTAAGAAAATACTCCGAGTTAACGTGTTCGTTCGTTTTCAATTATGTCTAATAAATCCACTCGGAATACTTTTAATGACTCCCAAATTAATTTATTTTTTATTGATTAAGTCGATTATTTAAACATATCGGGAAGTTCATGTAACTTGCCTCAAGGCAAAATACCAATACCAACTAATTTAATTTTGCAAACAAATATATACAAAATGCATATTGATTTTGTAGATATTCAATTATATCTAGTGCGAGTATTATAAATTAGTTTTATATTTGCAGACCTCCTTCAGGAAGAACAATTATTCCAACTCCTAGAATTTGTAGGTAAATATAAAAACATATAATGTTATGCATCTTGTTAAAAATAAAACCAATAATTGAACATTAATAACTCGTACATAATACACACACAGATATATATATATATATATATATATATATATATTTTTTTTTTTGAATAGTCTTGAATTTGATGTTGATATATATGTTTAATTTGAGTTTAATATTCGGGCGTAACGCCAATAAAAATAGTATGAGTTTTTTTTAAAAATTTATTTATTTAAAATCCATACGTTTCGGCTAGCATCTTAGCCATCATTCAGTGGTAATCAAGTTAACTATAAAAATTGGAACTAAATAAATTATATGAAAGGAAATTTCATGGTAAAACAATAATAATAATAATAGTAATAAAACACTTACAATTTTGTATCCTAATATAGCATATGAAACCATTATTAATCCATGGTATGAGTATGTGCACATTGATAGGATATATATTTTTTAACACAAACATCACAAATGGTAAAACACACTAATAATCATGATAACTTAACAAGTTGTCGAAACTATGTATTTACTCTTCGGAGTTTAGGATAGAAATGTCACATTTTTCTCAAAGCAGTTTTTAACATGTGTTGATATTTTTTGGAAAATTTAAAAGGCCATGGGATTTTGTTATTTTTTAAGGAATTTTGACACGCTATTAAGAAACCACGTGTTCGTTTCGTTCAGGGCCGTATTGTCAAAGCGTTTATTTATGACTCTGTCGTTATGTAATTGTAAAAACAACCCCTCAGCGAATCTTCTTTTAATTGTATTCTCTTCAAAATGTAAAATTTTAGGGTTAAAAAAATCGATATTATGATTTAAATTTTTAATATGCTCAGTTAACATTGTTTTAAATTGCTTGGGATTTTTTGAATTATTTTTGTGTTGATTAAGGCGTTTACTCAGGTTTTGGCTAGTTTCTCCAATATAAAAGAGTTCGCAATTAGAGCAATTAATTTGATATACCAAATTCAATTTTGATTCAATTTTGACCGCCTCAGGAATTTGGTATATCAAATTAATTGCTCTAATTGCGAACTCTTTTATATTGGAGAAACTAGCCAAAACCTGAGTAAACGCCTTAATCAACACAAAAATAATTCAAAAAATCCCAAGCAATTTAAAACAATGTTAACTGAGCATATTAAAAATTTAAATCATAATATCGATTTTTTTAACCCTAAAATTTTACATTTTGAAGAAAATACAATTAAAAGAAGATTCGCTGAGGGGTTGTTTTTACAATTACATAACGACAGAGTCATAAATAAACGCTTTGACAATACGGCCCTGAACGAAACGAACACGTGGTTTCTTAATAGCGTGTCAAAATTCCTTAAAAAATAACAAAATCCCATCGCCTTTTAAATTTTCCAAAAAATATCAACACATGTTAAAAACTGCTTTGAGAAAAATGTGACATTTCTATCCTAAACTCCGAAGAGTAAATACATAGTTTCGACAACTTGTTAAGTTATCATGATTATTAGTGTGTTTTACCATTTGTGATGTTTGTGTTAAAAAATATATATCCTATCAATGTGCACATACTCATACCATGGATTAATAATGGTTTCATATGCTATATTAGGATACAAAATTGTAAGTGTTTTATTACTATTATTATTATTATTGTTTTACCATGAAATTTCCTTTCATATAATTCATTTAGTTCCAATTTTTATAGTTGACTTGATTACCACTGAATGATGGCTAAGATGCTAGCCGAAACGTATGGATTTTAAATAAATAAATTTAAAAAAAAAAACTCATACTATTTTTATTGATGTTACGCCCGAATATTAAACTCAAATTAAACATATATATATATATATATATATATATATATATATATATATATATATATCTTGAGGATTTTTTGTTCGACTTTGGAACATTCAATTCATATATATATATATATATATATATATATATATATATATATATATATATATTACAAACGTGCCAGACACATCTTTCAAGATTTTTCAATCATTGCAAAAATGCATAAAATGCAAAACTTCACTTACTCAATGAAGTCGAAATAATACAAATCTTCAATTATTATTGCAATAAACATATGTTTCATAAGTATCGCTGCTTGAATTAGAATATTTATAAGAAATTAAAAATTGTGACAATTTATAAAACCTAACAATTTGCATCTTTAAAAGTTTGGGTAGAAAATTAATTGATTTTATTTAGACTTTATGCATTTAATGCTAATGACCGCAATTTTGGAAAGCTACATAATTACAATAACTTATTTATTGTATTGTTTACGCGATGGTTAGACATATGCCCAATTATATCAGATATACGCGTACTTTACAGACATATGCTGGATTCGTCTTACCGTCCTTCTGATCTTAACTCTGGGCCTGATTTGGGAGATCTGTCACATAGCATTACCCGAGTATGTGGTGGCTGGAGTCCTAACGATTCCGATGCAAGAAATGTTAAAGAAGGTTAGTGATACCAACAATTTCATTAGTGTTTCATTACTTCTCTTTCCGAGGAAAGCATAAAATAAATTATTTAATATCTAAAAAAATGTTTATATAATTTGTTATTTTTAAAATTGAATTTCATAATATAATTGCAATTTTAACAACAATATAAGAAGCAGTTTCTTACAAGCCGTACTGATCTCTATACTGATATATATATATATATATATATATATATATATATATATATATATATACAGGGCCGGTCGTGCCTTGCATGCGATACATGCAAAAAATGCGGGCGCACGCCTTAGGGGGCGCCAAATCGAGTTTGGAAATTAAATTTATAATATATTAGTTACATTTTTTATTATTTATATAAAATTTAGAATACTTAATAAATTATAATAAACAATTTAACTTATTTAGACATAAAAAGCATATTTATTTTGCAATGTGATATCAGTAGAAACAATTAACCGTATAAAAACTGTACAAATTTGTAAATAACAGCTCTGTTTATTGCTTAACCTACTTATTCATTTTTTTCTTTGTTTGAAGTTACCGTGGAATCGAAAAAGAAATTATCTAGTGTTCAATTCCATGCGCAAAACTGCGAAAGATTAAATTAATTATTGGGCATTATTGAGAAAAATTGCGAGCTGATTTAGTTGAAACAGAACTTGTTAAAAATATAAATTAATAATCGGGAAAATGAACAATGGGGAGTTAGTGGTTAAAAAATGGCATGTTTATTCCGAGAAATTGAATAGTAGCTTTTGTTTTTGTTGCAAATGTTTCGCATCTGATGAACTTTGAATGATGAAGACATGCGCGATTAAGGTTATGGAAATGGAACAAAGATGAAAAATGAAAGCAAAATTTCTTTTGGAACGAAAATCTTAAGTTTCCTTTTATACCTAGTGGTGTTCGTACTCTAAATTTTCTTAATTATTAACTATGCAGAAATAATACATATCAAACATTATTAGTTTTTTTTTCAATATAGTTCAAGAAATGTGTAATTTCTTTACATTTTTTACTGATTTTTGGACAATACTTCTAAAATACGTTAAAAATTAAACTTTAAAACAACAAACTGATTTTCTGAATATGACGGGAATGCAAGGATGCCGAACTGTATTCATATGAATATGTTCTTACTATATCAATAAGGAGAAGTTTACGACGCAATTTTGGATATTGTAAATAATGAAAAATTAAATTAAATTAAATTAAAATTTAAAAAAGCTAGAAAAAATGTTGCATGAGGGCGCTAAGGACCCCAGGACCGGCCCTGTATATATATATATATATATATATATATATATATATACCTATATATTTATGTTTATGTTTATGTTTGCCAAACTCCGTTTATTTACATATGTGAAACAATTTAGATGTACCTTTTCGTTCTATAATAGGAGATCAAGTTCGTTTGTCAGGAGGACGTAGTACACCTACTTGTTACACTCCAACTACTGAAGAGTTGCAGAATCGCACGAATACAAGTAGCAATGATGATACGCCTATCATTAATAGTACAGACGATAATTTAAGTTTAACTACTAATGATGAACGAGCAATAATTTATCAAGTGGGCTGTAATTCTGGTGGTCAGTCCGAAAATGGCGGTAAATATTTTAATTTGTTGCATTTTGGTTTTGAACAGCAATATTTTTAATATTAAGTGGTTTATTCGACGAGGTATATTACATGCTGATACTTCATTAGTCAAAAATAACCATCGTAAAAAACAATATTCAGTACAACAGAATAGAGTATCAATTTTTGATTACTGTCTAAAGATCTGAACTTTATCCTTATTTTAAGAATTGTAATTTTTTATTTAATGTACGCGTAACAATCATTAACAGCATCATCAGTTTTGCAGTCTCAAAGTTTGGATTCCGAAAATAGTGTATCAAAGAAATGGTCTTCGAGCGATATATCTAGAGAATTAGGTATTTAAAAAATAAAATAATATACAATAAAATTGAATTTACGACTTGAAAGATTAGCTTTTGCGTGCAATTTTATTCATTTTTAACTAGATCGTTGTAAAGAGATGTTAAGAGTTCAGCACAATTTGAATGCCTTATATAAAAAAGAAGTCGCCAGTTTATCACAGGTTAGTAATCATAAAACATTATTACTTTAAGAATATTAAATATTTAATTAACATCTACCATTTTTACTATGAAATTATATAAAAATGACTATTGTCGCAATACTAAAATTGTGGAATTAAATTGTTTACTAAATTGCTCTCTGGATTAAAAATAAACTTTTATATAAAAATGTATCAATAGAAATAATGTTTTATTAATTTCTTTCTGAGAGTGATTTTCAAGGCTGTGAAGCATTATTAATTATATAAGAATATTTAATGATAATACTCCAAGTGTCATAGCGTTATTATACTGCATATATAATATAAAAATTATTATGCTGCAATTGAGATAAATATATAATATGCAAGTCTTAAGAAATATATATGATGCAAAATATAAAAATTTTTATATGAAAAAGTTGATAAACACCCTAATGATTTTTGACTAGGAAGTTGGACGTACGCGCGCCGATTCATCAAGACGCGAAAGTGAATTATTGGCACGCAGGCAGGATTTGCATACGGAACCAAATCGTTTTAGAATTTTGCAACCACCGACTAAACAACATTCTTTGATATCACCTGATATCGCGTTTGGAAACTTAGATCAAATTGGAGCAGGATTAATAAACAAGTTTTCAGTTGATGATAATATTGAGGAAGAACAAATTATCGGTAATGGTATGATACGTCAGTATAAACATATGCATACTTGATCACAACCACACAAAATATACCAGCATCATAATTAAGAAATCTAGTTTGTTATTGTGGTTGTTAGTTATTTATTTTTTATTTCAATTTTTAAATGCATATGTATTTATAATGGTTAAAAAACCTCGAAATATTTAACTAAACGAACTAATACCAAGCCGGCTTGGTGGCTCGTGCAGCAGTCTCATTCGTAAATTGTTAGTTCTTGATGAAAAATAAAATATTGATAAAACATTTTAAATAAAAGAAAATTAATACAAACATTTCAATTAACTATATTTAAGTTAATTTACAAGTACATCGTAATCTGACTTTTGTCTATAAAAATCGGTCAATAAACTAAAATAGTATAATTGAAACCACAAAAATCGAGTTTTTAACTTCCTGGAGTTGAAGTTATAGTAATCGTGCAAAAATCGAAAAAAAAATTTTTAGGTATCTTTAGATTTCAGAGGAGTTTCATTTGACATACTTTGGAAAAATGGATGTATGTATGTGTGTGTGTGCGTATGTATAGATACAATTTTTGTCCTCGTTGTCGTGAGCAAAGATCAACCGATTTGAAATATTCAAAAAGCATTCGATTCCTATTGATAAGGAGATGTTGTGATTAGTTTATTCATTAGGGTGTTTCGAAGATACGGTGCAAAGAGTACAGAAAATGGAAATAAAGTTTTTGAGAGAACGGAGCATTCGATTTGAATAATTCAAAAAATATTTCACTTGTATTGTCAGGGCTCGCTCGTAGGTAAGTGGTTAGAACTACTGGACCTGAATCAGGGGTCCTGGGTTCGATACCCACTTCGAGCAGCCTGTTGTCAGGCAGCAGTGACAACGATTTTCACTTGGAAATATAGATAGCAATATGTTTCCAAGTGAAAACAGCCCTAATACGGCATTGCTGCATCAATTAAAAGCATCACTATTACAATAATTGTAATAATAAAAATTCAGCACATAGAGATGCGACAACTATTTGGGTTGCCATCTATAATAAAATAAACGTAGTTTGTAAGATATCATAACAACAGCTCAAAGAACCCATAAGTTCTGATCGCTGTTCAAATATCATATATATTAAAAAAAACTTGTATTATCGTAATGTGGAATAATTGAATTTCTGCAAAGGCAGGTTTAGCGATTTCGTAGATCCAGAAAAAAAGTCAAAAAACTGCAATTTGGCGGTCGAAAATTACATATTTTTGACATAATAGATCAACCGAATGAGTATCACAAACTTTCAAGAAATTTCAAATATGTCAAAATTTTCAGAAAAAGATTTAATAAATTTCCGTTCTCACAAAATTTCAAAATTTTCATAAATTTTCTAAATTAAAAAAAATATTATTTTTGTAAATATCAAAATATTTACAAAAAAAATTTCAAATTTTGAAGAATGAATCATAATTTTCAAAACCGCATTTTTTTCATTTTTTTTAATATCCAATTTTTTTTTTAGTTAGACTTTATTCTAGAGTTTTTTTTATTCAACAATATACAATTGAAAAGAACAATTTTTCAAAACGCAAAATTATCGACATCATTATCATTCGTTACACATGCACACACACCTAAGACAAGAGCAGTTTGCACTAACAATATATTTTATACATTCACAATATAATAATTGTAGAATAATTCCTTTTAGTAACCGATTATAGCGGACGAAACTCGGGCGCGGTGAGCAAAAGCGGAACCCCGTCCACACCCGTGCAGCAGGTTGGTGGCACGGTACCCTTATACAAAACTCAGTGTTGTGATACCTTGAATATACAAGGAGCGCGAGGTCAAGGAATATTCGAAATGCATATGCTAAGAGTACGATTGGCGCCTGAAGTAAGTATTACATTATATACTATACCTACCGTATATTGAAACTACTACAAGCATTTTCTAAAATACATACGTGTAAGCAGGATACATTTGCACATGGCTTATTACAAAGGTGATGCACGATTGATGAGCCCGTTAGGGATTTGTTTGATTCCTTAGTTGTTATTTACTTGTTTTTTTTTCTTTTTTGTCCTGATGTATACAGAAATATTTTATTTTATATAATTCAGATACATGATTAGATTAATGACAGTAAACAAATTAAATCAATTACAGTAAAATACAAAGATAAAACGATACATATATTTTTTTTATTGAAATATAAATTTTATACATCTTCGTACAAAATATCTACACAATAGTATTATTTTATACATGTCATTGTTATATGTGTATATATGTATATAAAATGGTCATTACAATATTTTATATCATATTCTATAATTCAATCATACGTATATTCATTTTTACATTCATACTTTGGTGTAATTTAATCATCTATCTTTATAATATTGTTTTAATTTAATTTTAAATCTATTTTCTTCTTATCTCGTAAGTCCATTTAATAGCAAATAAATAAATATATAATATATATGAATAATTTCATAGCACTCCAAATAGTGTTCCGCCTCGTTTTATTGGTTCTTTTTTGTTTTAGATGAAAAGGGTATGGGCGCATTGCCATACAGAATCGGCCCCACCCTGGTATTTAAATAATTTATACGTCATTTTATAGGTCTGAATGATAAAAACAGATATACCAATTTTCAACTTTGTACCTCTTCTTATGGCCGAGATATCATTGAAAATATGCCAAAGTGGCCCCTTCTTTCAAACTCTCTTTTTGGCGTAACCATAAAAGATATCGGAAAAATTTTTACGTGATTCTACTCACATTGACTCAGACCACATTATGTAGAACAATCGATTCCAAAAAATCGTTTACTATTAGGTGAAAAAGACACAATAATTTTTCAATTGATTATTTCTGGTAGTGCATTTATTTGGACCACTTTCTAATTAGCGTTATTCGAAAGCCCATTGTTTTTGCTTTGAGTACTGCAAATATTGTTCAAATCAATTTAGTGGAACACATTGGGAATTGAAAAAAAACGGCGCCAGTACACCCAGTAAATAATACCCTGCAATTGCATAGAGTTCGTTTGGACGCAAAGCAGTGCGCGATGCGCCGAAACGATTCATAAGAAATTCTGAATGCGAAAATATTTATTTTATAGTTATATGATATGTATACATATAAATTAATGATATAATGAAACATTGTAGTTTCAACAAACCCAAAAAACTTTTTTTTTTGAATGATAGTTGTAACATTGTGACAATAAAGCCCTTATTGCGACCATTCTTTATCAGTACTACAATTTCACAGTCATTATTAGTTTTACTATATTAATTAAATCACTAAAACTAGTGGTGTATCGTGCCTTAAGGCAAATTACTGGAACTTCTGGATGCCTTAGAAACGGAAAAAAATTCAAATAAGATGTTACATAGGGATTGATCACATTATTTTTTTTTATTCATTTTTGTAAATGACATAATTCAACTTAATACCAACAAGACAAATTTGATTTTAGTTTTATTTTAAATAAAATTACAAATTATTTGTATGTGCAAAGTTGCGTTCCAAAAAGAACAAAAAAAAAAGATATTTCTATTTATTTTTTGATTTGCCAAAAGCATGTATTACTCTACAAGGAAATCAATGTTTTTGTGGATATTAAATATTGTAAATGTATACAAATCAATTTGAAAACTGCAACATAAGTTGAACAAAAGTAAAATTAAATGACTTGTTGAATGCTTATCTACATATTTTTTAATCGTTTGTTAAACATATAAAAAAGTTTTTCCAGGTATATTTTGTCGATTTGGATTTTTAACAAGGTGCAATATATGATTTTTTTACAGGGAATGCGAATTTTGTGTAATCGTTGTGAAGACAGGAATACCGGTGATTTGAACCTCTTTCTGTCCTGGCGCTTTTACGATCAGGATTTGGCATGCACGTTACCCAAACCGGCGCCTGATGCTGTATTTAATACTGCCACCGTTTATAAAGTTAACGTGACAGAAGATTTTCTCAACTATTTAAATAACGTAGGTTGTTCAAATTTATTTAAGTAACTTTACTAGCACATAATAATTAAATTATATATTACTGATAAATATTACAAATATGAAAGAAGAATTACATAATCTAATACAAAAACTAGTTTCTTTATAATATAGCCTATATTTTCGTAATACCGTTGATCGGCTTTAAAATTAGAAATCTTATTGAAAATTTTTTGTAATAATATCTTGAGAAAAAATAAATGACCTCGTGGAGAGTTCAAATGATATTTTTATATTTACATTTTGCTAAAAGAGTTTTATGATGTTGAATTAGGAATCGATATCAAATAAAATTATGTTCAATTGAAAGAGCTCACGATACATTAAATACTTAAAATTGTACTTTTTTGTCTGATATGGTGTTAATTTTAGTAAAACATTCGACTAATTTAAAAAAGGTACTTTGAGAATAGCAACCTTGATGTTTTCTAATGAATCATAATTTTCGAAATTTAAATATTTCTAGGACACGGTTCACGTAGAACTGTACGTCGTTCCTGATTCGCTTTCTTCAGATGAAGCAGAGTCGATTCTGCAAAGTAAAGCATTAACGATCGGGAAGAAACCAGTGCCAGGTAACAAGATACCTGAGCTCGCTGCCCGCGGTCAGTTGAGGCTGGATGAATTGATACAATATCCGCAAAATAAAATTCACGCTAGTGTTCGTTTGGTAGTAGAAGATAATGAAAATGCTTCAGGTATTGATTCATATTGTTTTCATTTTTATATCGATTAAACAAATTTTAGTAACTAGTGGTGTATGGCATCCTGCCTTAAGGCAAGTTGCTGGAATTTCCTGTACCGTAATTTAAACTAGTCGTGCATGGTGCATGACATCATGCCATACACAAGACAAGTAATGTTTTTAAAATAAGCTTTACATTTTTTTAAATCTTTGAAGAAATGAAATTTTTGAGAATTTTGAAATTTTTATAAAAAAAAATTGACTTTTTAGAAAAATTACATTTTTAACTTTCCGTAGGGCAAGTTAAAGTAATCGCAAAAAAATTGAAAATGAAAATTTTTATATATCTTTACGTTTCAAAGGTTTTTGAACATTTTGGCATACCTTAGAAAAAATGGATGTGTGTGTGTGTGTGCGGATACAAATTTTCGTCGACGATTTCGGGAGCACCGATCAACCGATTTGAATAATTAAAAAAACATTCGATTTATATTGATAAGAAGACGTGCTGATTAGTTTTTGGCAAAGGCAGGTCTAGCCGTTCTAAAGATACGGGGCAAAAAGTGCCAAAAACGGTAACTTAGTTGTTAAGAGAACGGAGCGTTTGATTTTAATAATTCAAAAATCATTTTACTTGTATTGACAAGATTAAGAACTGATCAAATTTTCATAAAGGCAGGTTTAGCGGTTCGGAGATCTAATGAAAAAAGTAAAAAAAATACCATTTGGCGGTCAAAAATGATTATTAGATATATGCACATCAAATTATCAGATATTTTATAGAGATTTTAACAATAAGCATAATTTTTGTTTACATTCCTATAAGTTCCGTACCAATGTTTATCCGTTAGACGGCGACACGGCGCTTATGCGCTTCGATATTTCGCCTCTATGCAGTTAAAGCAGTACGATTGCATTGAAAAAATGTTCTGAATTTCCAAGATATTTCAAAATAAATTTTTCTTCAAAAATTCTTTTTTTTTTTCAAAAAAAAAGTAAATTTTCGTCGAAAATTTATAGTTTCTCAAAAATCCAATTTTGTCACAGTAAATTTTTTTCAAAAATGTTAATGTTTAAAAAAAATAATAATTATTGGTACGGAAAGTTCCAGCAATTTGCCTTAAGGCACGATGCCATGCGCCCCACTAGTTTAAATATGTAGTTGAATGAACGCTATGAATATTTGATAATGAAGTTTCCATGCTTGCATAAAATTTTAAGATATTTGAGACAGTCTTTTATTTTGTATGAAGTAAAAGGTATTAAACAAATTTTCAATCAAATGTACACTTATCAAGGATATTAATTGTTGTGGTTAAATTCAATGTATCTGAATTATTGTAATCTTATTTATTATTCGTCTATAATTTATTGTTCTTTACACATAAGTTTTCGATAAAAACGTTTATCGTTTTTCAGCCATTTCAGTGTGAAGTAATTTCGGGCATATATAGTTTGAAATATTGATTGACTGTGATATTGATTATGATATAAATTCATTTTGTTTATTAATTTATTTGAATTTCATTTAAGATTCGTGTATATCTGTCAATGGCTGTGCTTTGGATCGGCATTTTGGAATGTTACAATGTTGGTATCGTTTGACTTGCGACGTTAACTTAATAAATCGTTATCGTGACCGCGTCTATAGAACTAGAGAAGTGAGTATTAATATTAAATAAATATTGAATATTAATATATAATCGTTAGTATTGTAATAATAAAAACAATCACTTCAACTATTAATAATTTTACTTCTACCATTGAATTCAATTTATCTATTCGATCAGTAGTATTATGCTTTTGTTTTAATTTAGAACTATGCTAAACTATATAATATATACTTAGTTATTATTATTATTTATATTGGGGTGGTTCTGAATATGGATATTTTAGCATTTTTTGCACTCAGGGGCTATAATGCTACCAAAATGTTAAAAAGGTTCTCTGAAAGTTTTAGCTCTTTATATTTACTTTAAGATAGTCCGCTCCCCAACCAAAGTTTCTTATGGAAATATGCATAAAATTCCATTTGTTTTTTAGAATTTTATAACTTAGCGATAAGTGAATCGAAATTTTGAGAATGACATTATATTTTCGTATTTTATAAAAATAAATATTTACTTAGGAAGAAGAACCAAGAAACTTTGGTTGGAGTGCGCGGACAATTTTAAAGTTAATATTAGCTCTTAATAGAGCTAAAACTTTCAGAGATTTTTTTTATCAATTTGGACCCATTTGAACCCCTGGGAGCAAGAAAAATCGAAATATCCATATTAAGGACTGACGGTTATGCATTATATATGTAAGCCTGATGAAATTTATTTTTGTTTAACAACATTCAATTTATTACATTAATGAAATCAAATACTTTATGATTTTACAGATATACAAAACCAAATACATAATTATGATCTATGTTTAAATTACGTTAATTATTTAAAAAGGTTTTGTATCATAAGGTCTATGTTTGAATTACGTTAATTCTTTAAATATATCACAACAAAAACAAATTTATATTATGGAAATATGAGATTTAATGTTATGCTACCTACATCTTGAACTTTTAAACTTCCCGTAGGGCAAGTTATAGTAACCGCAAAAAAATCGAAAATGAAAATTTTTATATATCTTTACGTTTCAAACCTTCTGAACATTTTGGCATACCTTAGAAAAAATGGATGTATATGTGTGTGTGTATATGTGTGTGTGTGTGTTTTCCAAAGAATGAGGCAGTATCAAAGACGCAGTAAGATTGCGTAATGAAATTAATCCACTAATAAAATAAAATCCTGGAGTACGGAAGAAATGTTAACAAAATAGTTATCTATATAAAAAATTACGTATTCAGGGATATCATAAAATCTACTGAATTTTAGCAATCATATATAAAAATGAATCGCAAAATATGTTGCTAAGCGAATAACTCAACAACGCCTGGACCAATTTGGCCAATTATTTTCTTTAAATGTTTGTTGAAGTCCAAGGATGGTTCTTACGGCGACAAAAAATCGAATAATTGCCGGAAAAACCCTAAAAACAGCCCTTTTTTTCACATACAAACGTTTTCTAACTAAAACGTAGAATCAATTTGAGCTTTATTGCTATTATATAAAGTTTATATTAAATTGAAGCACTGATCATAAATCCTGATTAAAATTACTTACTTTTAAATGCTTAAGTGTAAATATTTAATTATTTTTAATTTACACCAAATTATTACCAGGGTGACGGGTTCTATTCAGGATAATTTTTTGCAATGAATATAAAAAAGGTAGGAACAAAACACTGCCACATTACAAATTTTATTTGACAGATGTTATTATAAAAACTGTGAAATATATGATTACTTTCTTTTAATTCTTGTATCGCGGAGTGAATTAAACATAGAAGGTAAATGAAAGTACTGACAATGAGGGTATTTTTTTGTAAATGGAAGAGTAATAAGTCGGAATACATTTAGAAAAGTAAGAATGTTTAGTCGACACGAAATATTTCTACAAGTTATCAATGAGTTAACGGTGAATATTATTCTTAGGGCCCGATTCTGTCGTATAATAGACCAATGTTATGGTAAGGCTATGTTATGTAGCAGTTTTCATAGAAAATCGTGCTAAAATCTGTCAAAAGCCAGCCATGTGGTTGCAAATTAAACCATCTGAATTCTACGTTTTCCCATTCATTTCAGTCCCAAATTGTTAACATGTCAGTTATACGGAGTAAATGTAAAAATTGAGTATTAAATCATCAATTTAATTTTCAGCGTCCTCAGAAAACCCCCGAGCTGCGATTCGGTGCTTTAACAGCTGGTGGCTGCTGTGATTCTTCAGATTCGTGTTGCGACCGCGTGCATAGTTGCTGTTCAAACAACAATGGTACCAAAACCGAGAATACCAGAAGTTGCGGTCGAGCTGGACCTCGAACGTCTTCGGGAAGAGGAGGACGACCAACATTACGGGATGTTAATCCACACTCAACACGTGCGGGCTCGTGTCATTCGTCTACGCATAGCTCGCACGCCGCGCGTCCGCCTGCGGCTCGTACGGGTCCGTTGCGCGGTATCGGGGCGTATAAGAACCTTCATAACGCGGACTCGTCACGTGCGAACGCGGTTAATACGCATACGCACGCGCACCATCAGAAGCTTCATTCGCAGAACGGCCGTGTTTGTGCCAATAGTACAGATCTAAGTAGCAACAGGTGCGCAGCAAAATGTGGAGAAAATCATAGCAACGATGAACCGGATAGTACAAACGAAAACAGCGACAATAACAGCTTCATTATCGAAACGCCGAATGACAGCCTAAACACCAGCGAGGACAGCAGTTTTACTAATAACGAGAATTCTTGCACACATGACACTGGTTTGTTTGATGGATATAGTTAATGCATATACATGGTTAATTTTAATTTTTGATTTATTATAAACAATATCAACTAGTGGTGCATGGCATCGTGTCTTAAGGCAAATTGCAGGAACTTCCCGTACCAATTTACAAAAAAAAAAAAAATTGTTTTCAAACTTTGAAAGACAAAAACTTTGACTTTTTAGGAGAAAAACATTTTTAAAAAAATGTTTTTTTTTATTTTGAATTATTTTGGAAATTTTGAACTTTTTTTCAAAGGACTGCCTTAGCGGGCATAGAGACGAAAAATTTGTATCCGCACACATACATACTTACATCCATTTTTTCTAAGGTATGTCAGTTCAGAAACCTCTAAAACGTAAAAATATACAAACATTTTCATTTTCGATTTCTTGCGATTACTACGAGAAGTTGAAAATGAAACATTTGAAAATTTTAATTTTAATTTCAATACAGTTACCATGAATGATCAAAGTACGGCATTATTAACTTCCCGTAGGGTAAGTTATAGTAATCGCAAAAAAATCGAAAATGAAAATTTTTGCATTTCTCGACGTTTCAAAACCTTCTGAACATTTTGGCATACCTTAGAAAAAATGGATGTACGTGTGTGTGTGTGTGTGTGTGTATGTATGTATGTATGTATGTATGTATGTATGTGTGTGTATGTATGTGCGGATACAAATTTTCGTCGACGATTTCGGGAACACGGATCAACCGATTTGAATAATTCAAAAAACATTCGATTTGTATTGATAAGGAGACGTGCTGATTAGTTTTTGGCAAAGGCAGGTCTAGCCGTTCCGAAGATACGGGGCAAAAAGTGACAAGAACGGTACCTCCGTTTTTAAGAGAACGAAGCGTCCGATTTGAATAATTCAAAAAACATTTTACTTGTATTGACAAGATGTAGAATTGATCAAATTTTCATGGAGGTAGGTCTAGCGGTTTCGGAGATCTAATAAAAAAAGTAAAAAATAATGCCGTTCGGCGGTTAAAAATTATCATTAGACATATGCACATCAAATTATCAGATATTTTATAGAGATTTTAACAATAAGTATATTTTTTTTTACATTTTTATGGGTTCCGTACCAATGCTTATGCGTTAGACGGCGGCGCGGCACATGCGCGCTTTGACATTTCGTCTCTAAGCAGTTCAAGCAGTGCGATTGCTTTGAAAAAAAGTTCAGAATTTCCAAAATATGTCAAAATAAAGAAAACATTTTTTTCAAAAAAATTTTTTGTATCCAAAAAAAAAATTTTTTTTCAAAAAAAAATTTTTTTTTTCATATAAATTTTTTTTTTCAAAAAAAAGTAATTTTTTGTCAAATTTGTAGTTTCTCAAATCTATTTTTTTTAATTAAATTTTTTTTAAAAATGTTAATCGTTTTTAAAAAAATAATAATTTTTGGTACGGGAAGTTTCAGCAATTTGCCTTAAGGCACGATGCCCTAATTGCCTTAAGACAGAATTCCACTTACAGCTAGTTTTTTAACCCTTTCGCTACGGATGTCGTCCCTGCACGACATATTATTTATCTCTGCTTCAATACTTATCATAATGAATTAAAGTATTAAGAATTCTATATTTTTATTGTAATTTCTAGTTTATTACAATTGTAATTCTTAATTTTTATAGATAATCGTAGAAATATCTTAAAATATATCGTTTTGCCTGTTCGTTGAGTAATGTAACTGAGCTGCACGATGTTCCCGTATAGCAAAAGGGTTAAAGAATGTCAATTAATGTATTTATTTATAATATAAACGCCACAGCTGATTATTTTGAAAAGGATCATTTATATTTATAATCAAATTAGATAACACCATAAACTGAAAAAATCTAGTAACAATATGGTTATTTTTAATATACTTATTTACTGTATTTTGATAATTTATAAGCTTTTTTGACAATATTGAATAGTTTTTTTTGATTAGGGCTAAACTAATATCACTGCGGTAAGAAGACTAGTTTTTATAGCATTATTTCACAAATTAATTTGAAAATTTAGAAAAATTAGTATTTTTTAATATTTTTTATTGCTGAAAGTTTAGGAACATGCATAATGCATGCATAATAACATTGTTTTTTTGTACATGTACAGTCATTGAATATCGTGCGTAGACGTCTTAAAAAAAATCTAACATGTACATTTATCATACTGATAGCTAATTTAATAAAATTTCACAAGGTCATATTACATAAATGAGATAAACAATTTCTTTTTATTATTCAATGTGAAGGAAAACAGTCACAATGACTGTTACTCGAATCCGAATGCTAATTAAATGCGAATTCGTAATAATAAGTTTAAATGTAAAATTGATGTTAGATTTTAAATAAGTTAGTGATTTCTTTGTTTTAGCTCACCACGTACATAGTCATAGCAACAGTTTTTTGGATAAATCACATAGCCCACAGCCACCTTGCATTTCGGGTATTCATAGAAACGAAGTGTGTGACTGTGTTGACGAGAAGGACATGGTTAGTTCTAACTGCGTTGTTCGCAATGGTGTTGTCAGCTACCGAAGCCTTATCGATGGCAATAACAGTCCCATTGTGCGGGCAGATTATAAGCCTACGGCTTCCCTCGGAACCATGGTCAAACGGAATGGTATTGTTATTTGTAATAATAATAATAATAATAATAATAATATAGTATATATATATATATATATATATATATATATATATATATTCACATCCTGTTATTCTTCATATCGAAAAAATAGTGACTTTAGAAAATTTGCTGAATCCCTTTTTATTTCATTAAATTACTCTTGTGTTAATAAACGCAATTCATCCCACCTTTTACATGACAGTTACCAGCTAATTATTGATTTTATTAAAAAAACAAAAAATTAATTTGCTATCTCCTTATATTATTTTTTACATTTTTGTTTTTTCTTGTTCTAACTTTTACATGTTTTGCATTTTTCTTTTGATCAAATCCACTTCAACCACTCTTGTACGAGGCGTTTGTGCCACTTGCATTTGTCCTTCGAATATTCCCCTCCCATTCCTATCAATACGCCTAGTGAAATATTACAGTCTAGTATTTTGCTCGGTATGGGCATGTTTCTCGCTTCATAATGTTACATTTCAAAACTTTTAGTCAAATTAGTTTTCAAATCTTTTAATTATTCATAATTCTTTCCAAAAAAATGTTTCTTTCTAATATGTTATAAGTTTAATTTTTTTAAAATAAATTTTTTTGAGTGTTTTTGTCCTGTGGTGTGTATAATGTTTCTCTATGTTATAATTAATCTATTTGGTGTTTATATTAGTTAATAAAATTTTCAAATTGTTGTAGTTGCTGAATGATGACACGAATTTTGTGTCGAAACGTATAAATAAAAGTTTTTAATACTTTTTACCTTTTTTATTTCGACGAATGGGCTGCTAGTTACTTTGAAATATGTTTCAATGTCGAAAAAACCATCAAGATATATATATAAATATATATATATATATATATATATATATATATATATATATTTCAAAGTAAATTGCAGCCCATTCGTCGAAATAAAAAAGTAATAAAGTATTTAAAAACTTTTATTTATACGTTTCGACACCAGATGCGTGTCATCATTCAGCAACTACAATAAATTTGAATTTTTTTTTTACCAATAATAAAAAACAATTATAAAATAATTATAAAAATAGAGAAACATTATACATACCACGAGGACAAAGACAAAGTGTTTTCTTTGTATTACAATTGTACTTTTCAGTGACTCATAACGAAGAAACGTCAACAGATGACAAATTATTTGGTGCTCTACTTGCAAAGAAATCTTCTATAGCCGCCGATATTATTCCTGACAGAAATGCTGGAGGAGTCCTTGCTGACCTGATTGATGGCGGTAACATAATCTTGTTATTCTTTCCAACAGTGTAGTATATTACTAATATTTAGCGAATTATTAATCGTAAAGCTAATTAGAACGCGTTTTATACAGTGGCGGATTAAGGTCTCTGGCACCCTAGGCCCTATCCGTCCAGGCGCCCTTTTTAATAAACAAAATTTTACTTTTTTAATTAAACATTTTTTTAAATTATTTAGATATAATTTTTAACTTTGCATAGGGCAAGTTATGTAAATTGCAAATGTATCGACAATGATATCTTTTTTCTTATCTTCACATTTCAAGGCCTTCTGAACATTTTGGTATACGTCAAAATGTGTATGTGTGTATATATGTATGTATGTTCAATTCCTTTTGATTAGTTTTAACCCTGAATCTTTTCCTTTTGTCATATTTTTGTAGATGGTAACCCGACTGTTGATCCTTTTATATTTGATTACTTCATTATTAGAAATTATTTACTAGGACTGACTTATTATTAACTTCCCGAAGGAGCACTTTGTTTGAAAATTTAGTTTTTTTGCAAAGCAATGTTAACAAAATTTGCACTTATTATTAATATTCTTATAAAGTATCTGGTAATTTGATGTGCGTATGTCCAATGATCATTTTTCACACCACCAAATGTTGTTTTTATAACTTTTTTCTGGATCTTCATAATCGCTAAACCTGTCTTCCCAAAAATTGGTTAATTCTTCATTTCGTCAATGTGAGTAAAACGTTTTTTGAATCATTCAAATCGGTCGCTCCGTTCCCTCAAAAACCGAATATTCAGAAGGTTTTGAAACAAAAATATTTGTGAACAATTGATTTACGTTTCGTTTTTCGAATTACTATAACTTACCCGTGGAGGAACTGCCAATTGGTGGTCTAAAATGATCAATGAACCTAAGCACACCAAAATGTCAGATATTTTAGTTTAGGTTCAGTTTTACCTTATAGAATTCATTTTAGAGAAAAACAAAATTATATACGAGCCAAGAAATAATTAAATTATCACATAATAACAAATAATATATTATGTTAATTCCCGAAAAAATAAGAAACTATTTAAAACTATTTTAAAGCGTTTTGTTTGTAAGATTCACCTTAACAAAGTTACAAAAAATGAACAGAGCTTCAATATTTCTCCAAAAAAGCTTACCAATTTGATAATTTTTATTTCAAACATGATACGTCAATAAAAATATTAATGAGGCGTCCTCGAATAAATTTGATATAGAAAACGAATAACATTATATTTCATAGGAAATTATCTAGATCCGGATCAATCCTTAAAATAAATCACCGTGACAATTTTTCGGATTTAAAATTTTGACATTCTGAAAAATTTGCCGCCCCCCAAATTGTGACGCCCTAGGCCCGGGCCTCACGGGCCTATGGGGTAATCCAGCACTGGCTTTGTATGAAAGCAAAAATTTGTCTGTTTGTTTAGGGAGAGCTGTTGTTAGAGGACTTTTACGACAAAGTTCAAATTGTGTGGGTGGTTTCTCTGACGTATGCCATCGTTCTGTGACTGCATTGCCTGATACAGAACAAACAGGAACGGAAGCCAGGTATGTTTATATTTATATGTTTATGCTTAATATTACATACAAAATCAAATGATTGAAAACATTTTATTGTTGGAAAACATGCAGTAAGAAGAAGTCTTTGCACAATAGTTTTAGTATCTTCTATTTCTATATTTTTATTTAAATTTAAATGATAATTTATCAACCAGCTAATTATTTATATTTTTCTCCGTAAAAATGAATGTTGAATGTTTCGTCTTTTGGCTCATATAAGGTAAGGTTGTCAAATATCTCCCTGCCGCCTTTTTGTATTATAAACCAAGAGCAAAAAAGCGGAAGGGAGATATTTGACTACCTAATATTTAGATTTCTGTTAAAATATAGAAATAGTTTCTATTAAAATACGTAAATTTATTACCAATATATATATATATATATATATATATATATATATATATATATTTATTATTTATTATATATTTATAACTATCAATAATTATATGTTAGGTACGAGGGCACGGTAACTGCAGCACAGGTTAACGCGCAATTTCGTTACAATGATCATAAACGATCTCGCTCTAATTCCGCATCCAAAGAATGCTATCAGGTTTGTAATGTATTTAAGAATTTAAAAAATTTTATATTCTTGAGCAATCAGAAATTTAAAAACAAAATCCATAGATATCAAGCACATAATGAATTTATCGTCACAAAATATTGTGTCTCAATGCTAGTCAAACATTTATTCTGTAGCGTTTTTTGACAAAATTTTATCATATAATATATCTTCTTGCATGAGCTGACTCATCTCATTCTGTGCGTAAGCATTTAACAATATAAAACATCTATAAACATTTCTGTAAACAGAGTCACATTCCTGTATCTGATGGCTCATCAAGTTCGAGCTCAAGTTCCGAAACCGATTCCGGTGATTCTGGTGGCTCCGATAATGTGCCAGTTTTTTTTCCGGGAGGGTCACGATCGGGCAGAACTTGTGGAGGCTCCAGTATGCAAGAACGTTCTCGTACTATAAAATTCGCTACCGAAGCTGCTATGGCTGCGGGTTTTTGTAGTCCTTCTGATCTACGCAGCGATGATATTATGTTCGATGATATATCATTGTCAAAATTGCCAGCTTGCCAACAGGTTACAGTTCTTCGTCCACCAGTACAACATCAACCCCGGTGAGAATATTAAATATGTTTAAGTGAATTATTTAAAAATGCTTATATTTCTCCTTTATAACTTATAAAAATTCTTATTTTTTATCTTCAAAATTTTTCAATTTTATGACCTTGAATATGTTGCTCGTATATTATATATTTAAAATTTAATTTCATTATTTTATAACGATTAGTTAATGATTCGTAGTACTTGCATTTTGTCAGTTAATTGATTAATGGAAATGTTATCGTTTCAGAAGCGTTGAATGTGATTCGGACTCAATACGTAAAGAAACACGCTTCGGTACTCAAAGCGTAGGTTTTGTCTGATTATATTTGCCAGATATTTTTTATAATTGATTATATTAACATTTATTTAGAAATCAGATTCTGAGGATCCCCCTATTTCAATGGGTACGAGATTAGCCAATAGCCTTCAGGAGACGTTAACGCAGCATATTCTTGATTTTGCGAACAAAATGAGTGCATTACGCAGAAGCCCGCGGTATGCAAGTTGTTTATATTAGTTAGATATGATATCACACACATACCCACACACAAATATATATTTATATATATCAAGTGTCTCAGAACTTATCGTCAAGCCGAAACAGGGTTATAGTATTGTTTGGTAATTATGAGCTTATAAGTGCAACTTAGAGCTTTGGTGAGATTATGACCATTTTTGGTTATTATGGTTAATTTTTATTAACTACGAACTAGCACTTTGTTTCGGCTTGACTTCGAGTTCTACGACACCCTGTATATATATATATATATATATATATATATATATAAATATATAAATATATATATATATATATATATATATATATATTTATATTTATGGCAAAATCTTTAGCTCAAGTTCTGCTAAACGCAAGTCTGAAGAGGACGAAAAAATGCATAAACCTGTTCAAGGTGCGAGAAGATCTACAGATGAAAAAGTTCAAAGATTTGCGGATGAAAAAGGTGGCAGAAAATCTGCAGATGATGGAGGCAGAAGGAGTGCAGATGAAGGTGGTAGAACACATGTAGATGAACAAGATATAAAACCAACTCGAGCATCTGTAGATGAAAGTGCTCGTATTGCAACAGAGGCTTCGAAACAACCCGCAGGTAAATCAATTTATTCTGTATCATTTTTATCGACCTATTTGTCATGTAAATTTTTCAGCTGCTAAAAATCACAACAAATCAGAAATAATTGAATATTGAACAAACATTTTCAAATATATTTGCATTGGCTATATTTTTATACATTTTTTGTTACTAATAATGCTAATATTAAATTTTGTGTGCAATTCAATGCAGGCAGCAATTTTGTCCCCCTGACCATAATACAATGCCTTACAATTCAATGTTAAAATAATCTTTTCTTTTTTTTTCATTTTGATTATAAATCAACTTTTTTCAAAGTGTTTATAGATAATTTACTTCGTTTATATGTTTTTTGCAAAATTTAGAACCTCCACTCATAGATCTTGGTGTAACATCAATTTCACCATCTCTTTCCGAGGAGGATGATAATCTTGGGGAAATCATTTTGGCGCCTCCTCCAACATTGGGAGCAACTGCCAGCATTGTCAGGTTTTTAGTCTATTAATTTATGATTATTGTTGCAAAACATTTACGTTCCAAAAAACTATCGTGTTATGCGAATCCGTGCTATACGGCAAAGAACTAGTACAAAAAGAGGGGTTACGTTCCAAGAATAAAAAAAAACATGCTACATATCAAGATTTTATAATACATAATATGTTATATTTATTAACCTTCCGTTGGCGACTTCTTCGACTTCAATTAAAGAAAAAAAATACTTTGAAATTTCTTGACTTTGACCTAAAATTTCATTAGCTATCGATCAATGAAAAAATTAGGACGAAAAAATGTACAGAAGAATAATTACAAGGATATTAACTTTTTTATACTTCGAACGGACGGAGTGGTCTGTCTAGACAGACTACCCATACATTTTGTATGAAATATACGCTTTTTCATATATGTAAACCAGTATTTTGTCTTTTTTCTGGAATTTTCTATTCAAACTGCATTTTATATATTCTTTGCTATGTGCTGTAACATGAATGTTAGTATTTTCACGACGAGAGTTCCTTGAAAACTTACCGAACTTATTGGTTATCGCAAACATTGAAGATCGGATGAGTAATGCGCACATTATCTACCCATACTGCGTTCGAAATTTTTTTTGGCAAACCTGTAGTGAAATTATATTTTCAACTTGAATTTTACAGCTCATTTCAATTTCAAAGGCGACGCACCTCATTTCGTTTTCATTTGAATTTCACATTCATTTCGAAAGAGCCGACATATTCTTTGCTATGTGCTGTACCATGAATGTTAGTATTTTCACGACGAGAGTTCCTTGAAAACTTACCGAACTTATTGGTTATCGCAAACATTGAAGATCGGATGAGTAATGCGCACATTATCTACCCATACTGCGTTCGAAATTTTTTTTGGCAAACCTGTAGTGAAATTATATTTTCAACTTGAATTTTACAGCTCATTTCAATTTCAAAGGCGACGCACCTCATTTCGTTTTCATTTGAATTTCACATTCATTTCGAAAGAGCCGAAAAAGAATAAATATTGTTTTTCATTGATATAAAACAGGAAAATAAAAATAATAAAAAAAGCAACGATTTTTTTATATTCTTTGATTTTTTTTATATAATATATATAATATTATTATTATTATTATTATTTATTATTATTATTATTATTTTATTATAAGCAAGCTTAACACATGCAAAAGACGGTAAAAAAAGAAAAAATCTAAACTATAAATATTTACTACTAATAATCGTTAATATATAAGACACCAAAAACTCATTTATCCCATATAATAAATGCATGTAAAATGAATCGTGGTCCAGCCAGACCACTCCGACCGTTCGAAGATGAAAAAATATCCGACCGACGGAGGGTTAATTTTTTAAGAATTAATATAAATTATAATTTGTTTTTTGGTCATAACTAACAAATAAGTGCTATTCAACGCAATTCTTTTTTTGTGAAATATCCTCAACCTCTGAACAGTTTTCTATACTATCTTCAGATCCGTGTATTATTTTTTGCAGCAAAATTTATTTGCTTTTAGCCAAATTGCGATATGATATTTATATATTTAACACATGCAAAATAATCTTTATTGCACTTTTATGCTCATTTTATTTAAAAAATGTTTATTTAGGAAATATGAATTATATTGATCGGATAATCCTAGAATTTTTTTTCGATGGAACGTACGCGCTCGAGTAATAAATATCAAATTACTTATCTTTTGAACTAGAAATTATTGTGTAAAATATCTAGATATTTATTCAATTCATTTTTAAGATTGCTAAATTTAAAAATAAGAACACTATAATATTTTGTTAGATTCTCTCCATTCGATGAAACTAAAGATCCTGATGGAACATTGCGAAAGGAGGACAGAGCGCGACGCCGGTCAGAGGGTGTCCAATCTCGAGAAACTGTTGCTCTTTTTATCGATAGGTATTTCACTATAATTGTTGGTAACAATAGATATCTCATAGATCAAAAGTCTGAATTTATATAAACAAACAAAATTTTTTAGTTGTAAGATTTACCACCATTTCATGAAATTTCAAAGATTACTTGAGAAGATTTTTTATTATTATAATTCAATCACTACTATGTGTGAAAATACATTCACTGTGCCACAATTGATTTATTAATAAATATATAAAATTTTTAGAAACAAAAATGTAATATGTTCTAGAAATTATGTTGGGTTTTATAAAAAGGAATAACTCATAATATTCTATAATTCTATATATGTATATATATATATATATATATATATATATAATGTGTGTATGTGTGTGTGTAAATTTAATATATATTTTTAAGGATAAAAATATCTTTTTATATATTTAAGCATTTCCTCTAATATTATAGTATATTAGACTTGGCTTATCATATTCAAAGCCAGATCGGTTGGGTATAACTAAAACTCATCGCAAATGTGTTTTAGTGTGTCGTTCATATTCAGAGGATTTATCAAATCACATCGAGTATTTGAAATTTCTTACAAACAATCCGTACATATTTGTTCATATTTTTATAAAAAAATATATATTTTGTGTGTTTGGTTTGATTTTTGAATGACCAATTTGTTGTAAAACACTTTAATTGTAATATTATTGTATTGTATTTATTTTGAAATTAACTACAAATTGTATTTGTATTTACAATATTCTCAAAATTTAATGTATTATATTGATTGATTTTATGTTATGATGATTTTTTATTGATTTTTTTGTTTTTATATCATAATATCGGATGCTTTGATTTGGCGTGAATATATACTTTTTAAAATAAAGTTATTATCTATTCATTACTCAGGGCTGTTTTGGAATTACCAATTGATAAAAGCTTCTCAGCACGAATTTTCTAATACTGATAATCCGTGTTGTATTAATATAATGATTATTTAAATATATAAATAAACATGTTTCATAATTTGAAACGAATTTCACCAATTTATAGGAAAGAGGATACACGCGGATCAGCTGATTCTCTAAAAGCCAGATTTGATTTGCGAGAGGATGAGAATTCTTATTCATCTTACCAACAAGATCTGTCGCACGATCCTCAAAGTGTAAGTAAATAAACTCATAAATCGATTTTTTTATATTTATAATTATATCATAATATATATTTTTCTATATTGCATGATTTTTAGTATGCCGTTAAATTGAAATTTAATATTTTTATTTCTTCATAGTAGCTTCATTTTTCATTGAAGTTAGTTACAATTATAAGAATTTGAAGATTAAATTTATCATTTTGAAATTTATGAATGAATAAAAAAGTTTTAAATTTAAGGGTTGTTTATTTTTGTGATATTAGCGCTTTATATTTACAGATTATTCAGAAGTTTGTAAATTTTTGTCAATTGTAAACAATTTTTTCTTCATATTACGTTTCTCTCAATTGAATCCATAGAAATCACTGAGAGTATTTATTTGCTAACAAAAACTGTATTGAAATTCAATTTATTTATCATAATAGGCTGAATCATTAGAAAATGCTTTATTGGGAACTAGTTTTAAATCTGGTCAACTACCTACTTTGAGAAGTATGAGCAAATACGCAAATGCTATGGATGAACCGTCGGTTGAATTCTCAGACATGTCGGCCAGTAGTATCGCGTAAGTTTCTAGCTGAAATATTAATATTATATTTACAAATTTGCTGCTATTTATTTGTTATATAATTATTAAAGCAATTATTGCATATGAGAATATAATTTAACAAGTTAACTGTGATTGACGAGCATAGTCTTCATGAAGAAGCGGCAGAATTTTTTGTATTGACGAGTATATTTGTTACGCGTATAAATTAGTGACCATTGGCTATTTAAAATGGGATTTTTAAGAGAAACAAAACATATTCTAAAATTCCAAGATGTTTGAAATGTTGAGGTTTTGTACCTTAACTGTGATCTCCTCATTTCACTCCCTTTACAATTACTACACTTAAAAAAAAACTGATGCTATCTGTATATGATTTAATTATAGGTTAAATGATGAACGACGATTGACATAAAAATTATATTTATTTAGTAACATTATTTGAGTAACTGTGCGCTAGGTTATAATATGTTCCTAGTATCGTGACTGAAATGAAATGTTTGATAGTGTAATTTTTAATGTTTTTAATGTCTAAGCTAACAGTAGGTATTTCATATGAAAGTCCTTTTAAAACCAGTAAAATGATAATTTAATTTTAGCAAAGGCTTATTAATTAATGCTGTCATTTTTAATAACAGACGCTACGACGTTCCAGAAGAGGGAGATATGTCTATGAAAATGTCACATTCCAGAAGTTCTAGAACTGAATACGCTGAAGCTATCGATACAATGAAAAATGTCCAGCAGTCAAATGAGGACGTGGCGACTGTTGGAAATTTCACTGATGATAATGTAGGACAATCTAAACATTATGTAAATAAATTATAACAAACTAATTTTAAAATTTTGCAGCAAACGAGACAAGAACGCTACAGAGAGCAAGGCGGCGGGGCAAGCGCTACTGCTATGAGAGCTAACAGCCTGTCAAGATCTGGTAAATTATCAGGTAATAAAACCTAATTCAATTTAAAATAAAATGTTTAAAATTTTAACTTTCCGAAGAAGTTTGTTTTTGCCAGAGTCATATTGAATCGTTTGAGACTAAAATTGAAAAATGTACGTATTTGTGTTTCTATGTGCGTATATATACAAAAACTTGAAACTTTGTAGACTTTTTTTAAAAACGGCTGAACCGATTTCAAAAGTTTAAAAGCCTTCAAAATGCGCTCGAAATATTTATATAGAGGTCGTGTTGATCAGTAGGCAGAGATCGGCCGGGAAGTTTCTTCGTAATTACATGTTAATTTTTTGCGTTTATAATGAAACTTCATATGGCGATAGAGTTTGTGGTGTTAACGAATATCATGAAAGATTATAGTTTTGAAAAAAATCATTTAAGTTTGGAATAATGAGCCGCGATTTTGATTATAATTACAGATAATATAAAATTGTTTGAAACATATCAATTGATTTGTATTTGTATTTAGTAAAAGTGAACATTTTATTTTCGAAATAAACGGTTGAAATTTTTATCTAAATAGATAAATCCTAATTGATTAAATCATTTATTTACACTTATCAGTAAGTTCATGTAACTCGCATTAAGCAAAATTCTACTTAAATAAACCTAGTTATTTTAGAATTGAAAATTAATCGTTTTAATTTACTTACTTACTTATAATTACATTATTTATTATTTTGAAGGAAAATTTTTTGATCTCTGCTTTTGAACTGTTATATATTATTAAAATCATATGATTTTTGTGTATTACTGTAACGACTGTAAATTTAAAACTTAACTATGTAAAGCCTTAGATGCTACAGATAATAGTTTTATTTATTTGTTATACTGCTAATTTAATCTTACATTTCTTTGTTTGTGTTTCTAGAAAATAAATATTTTAACTACATTGAACTATTTATTTGTAGATTCGGATACCAGTCAGGATTTGCCTTTTGTAAATTTGTCAGACCCAAATGATCCGAGAGGCTTATCGGCTCGTGTCCGAGCTTTGCATAATAAGCACGCTTATCTTTTTGTCGAAGACGAAAGCTCCGACAAGCTATTATCGTGTATACAATTCAACACTGATGAGGTATATATTCAACTTTGTATTCAGTACAAACACATCTTTATTTTTTGAGTAAATTTCAAATTAGTAGGGTGCGGTGAACATAAGTGGGCCACGTTTTTATTTATCGTTGTAAAATAGTTAAAAATAAATATATTTTCTTATTTTTTTCTTTATTTGCAAGTGTATTCCAAATTGCAACTTTTTATCATAGCAGATACTTGCAATTATGTTTGGAATGTTTTGAATGGCAAAAAAGTGCATTTTCCGAAAATGTAGGAAGAAGTGTGGTCCACCCAAATTTTTATCTGAAAAAAATGCTGCTATACGCTACAAATTTTTTCTTTGGTGGTTGTTGATAGATATAATGAATAGTTGACATGAAGATTAGTAACCGAAAAAACAGTGACTTCAGTAATACTGTTTACTTAATGTCCGATATAAGAGGTAAAAAAGTTGAAATGATAAAATTGTTAAAAAAAACATTTTGCAACATACAACCACCGATTCTAGAAAAGGAAAAGCTGAGAAGGAAAAACACCACACTTGAAGTGCGTCGATATTACCAACTGCACCGACTTGACGTACACCAATTGCGCATTGGTGTACGTCAAGTCGGTGCAGTTGGTAATATCGACGCACTTCAAGTGTGGTGTTTTTCCTTCTCAGCTTTTCCGGGATCAATTTATTGTAAATCATGCAAAAATGGATATTTTTATTTGAAGAAACCAAAAACTTTTTTTGCCTTTTTTTACAGCTGTTTATGAAACTTTCGCTGGTACTTGATATTTTTGACACTTTTGACGCGACCTTTCTGTTTCCAGGGGATGTAATGATTAAAACGACAATATATTAACATTGTTAGCATCAGAAGCAACATGCTCTGATATTCAATCAATTTTCCATAAATCACCATTTTTTTTGGGAGTTCCCTGTTTTTGTAGGAGGCACGATAACAGAAGTGATGAAAATAAGTAAATAAGACGTTTGAATAATTGATAAAAACATTTCACTGTGCAAAGAACGGCATTACTCAAGTGTCCCATGTATATCCACAAATAGTGGCCCACTTCTATCCACAAACGCCTTTTTTCGCATATGCATCCCACAAAAACACAATGTAAACAATCGGCAAAAATCACTTTGCATTATAAAGATTATATGTGTATATAATATATAGCATATTTACTTGAATTTTTCTCGAGAAAATTCGATGACAAATCGCGTAGGAGCGTACGAGGGCAAAAACTTTCTTGGCGAAATTCTTAGCGCGTTTATCTAGTGTGAGAGTAGGTTATGTTTATGTAGGTTATTAGGTAGCCCTAAATGCTTTCTAAAATTGAGCGAGTATTAAAATATAATAAATTCGTGCGCGGTTCGACATACATATCACAAGTCCTATAGTTATTTGGGTGGCCCACGTTTGTTCACCGCGCCCTACATAAATAAAAATAAATTTCTGTATTTAAATTTAAATTTGGCAGAGGTAATAGAACAATTAGAGTAATGTAATGAATAAATCAAAAAAGTGTTTGTAGAGTTACATTGTGACACTTACATTAATAGTAATACAGATCACATAGCAATAACACTATTAATAAAAAAAAATATTTTGAATATATTAGTATGAGGTTTCTAAATAAAATAATTACATTTTATCTAGTAAAAAAAAGTATTTGTGGTGAAAGAAAGTTTTGAATTTTCAGTGTTTATAATTTTTGTTATATAATATTTGTATTTGTAGGTATTTTATTTGTTGGAAATGCAGCATAAAAATATTAAAATTAGTTATGAATTTTACTGTGTATTAAATAATTAAAGTAAAACTGCATACAATCGTACATATATGTACGATTGTATAGCAAATCCACAATAATTTAAAAAATCTATAGAATAATTATTTTGAAATTTTAAGTAACCATTAAATAAATATGCTATTGAGTTAATCATTTAATAATTATGCTGGCAAAATATTTTTTTAATCCATAGGCTGAAAGTTCAAATGAGCAAATCCAAGCTACTATCACGATGACTATTGACAAGGATGGAATTGCTCGCACATCTTCCCGTTCTTCTGGGCATAGTTGTAGGTCTAATAAAAGTAACAGGTACTGAAGAATTCAATAATATCAAAATTACAATGTAAAGTTTTTAATATAATGTAGAGTATACGGTTTGCTTTTTCCAAATTTTTCTAGTTACAACATTGCTCTCGATTTTGACCAATAAACTTAAATAACCATAACTATTTTTACACTTTCAGAAGATAAGTTGATTGACAATATATTCTATACAAATAAATATCAAATTTCTGCACTATTTTTTAATATTATGATATTGTTAATAATTATTTTTATTACTCTATTATATCGTGACAATAATTTATATTTGTCATATTAAATATTTAAATTTGCTGGATAGTTTTAAGAGCTATTAAAGCAATATAATTACTAGTTTATATAAGAAGTAAAAAAATAAACGGGCTTTTTACAGGAGTGAGCCAAATCGATCAAAGTCGTCTCGACAACCATCATTTTCAATTTTAGAAAATAATCAGTTTGGCCATTCAAACCGTACAGGTATGATTATATAGATTTTCTTTAATCTAATAAATATGTTTCATTTTTTAGATTTTTTACATTTTCTATTTAATCGTTAACTATTTGAAAAAAATTCACTTGGTACCAATTAATTTGGATGGCATCGAATTGTAGATACGTAGATTGGTGTTGTAAAATGGTATTTTTATAGAAAATTAGAAAAAAATATTATTTTATATATGGTTGATGTGATTATTTTATTTATTAAAAACTCTAATCTTATACCATTATATATTGCGTGTGTGCTTTTCAATTTCGAACTCGTGGTGAAAACAAAAATATGGCGTAATTTGATATTAGTTTATATAACGAAATTTTTATGCCAATATCATTTGTTTTAAAGTTACACAGATTCGTCAAAATTAATTATGGCTACACAAAGTCTTAGCATAACAAATTTTCTAATGCAATGTCGTTTACTCTTTCGTTCATGCACTCACTTGAAAATCTTTAAAATAATATTAATTACAATAGAGAATTCTGACCAAAATTATAATTTATATATTTTATTTTAATAATTTGTAGATTTTCATCCACGTGAAAATTGTACTTCTCATAGTCCTGGTATACTTAACACTGGTCCTCAATCATTGGCATTACTTGAAGATAAATTTAAATCTCCTAAAAAATCAAGTAAGCATTCATTTTTAACGTTTTATTCCAAATGTATTATTATGTGAATATTGCATCAAATTATTGTTTACGGTATCATTATTTGAACAAAAATTAAGTAATTAAACATTGCAATTCTCTGATATATATATATATATATATATATATATATATATATATATTTTGTAGAGTTTCGAACAAGAATCCAAAAATAATACAAAATAAAAAACAAGAAAAGTTTTTAAAAAAAACAATTTCTTTATTTAATTATTTGTTTATTGTCGACGTTTCGGAACTAGGTACGTTCCATCTTCAGGACATCTGTCAAGAAACATGATCTTGATGAGATTTTAGCAAACAATATGTTTAGGAAAAGAAAATAGATTTTTCTTAAATAATGAATTAAATTGTAAAAAATATAATAATGTACAGAAATATGATAATATGTTCAAAATAAAAATGATAAAAATAAATGAGTGGATTATCAGAACAGGATATTAAACATAATAGAAAATTTTTTTTTGAAAGTTATGGAAATTTTTTAAGAAAAGGTTAATGACAAAGTTGAATTAATTACCTGTATGTTTGAATATTTGTTAGCACTTTTTCACTAAACAAGCTTTTTTAACAAAAATGATTTTGTGAGTTAATTTTCCGCCGAATAATTAGATTTTGTAAATCAAAATTACTAAAAAATTTGTCTTTTTTAAAATTATTATTTGAAAACACAAATAATATTGTTCTCTAGGATGTTGTTCGATTGGCTTTCGAAAATTAACTAATTGAAACTTGTGTGTCCTTTGTAACACGTGTAAACACTTGAACGAGAGATGTGAGATTGTATGTGTGTGTTTTTATATGTCAGGGTGTGAATACTTAAATTGTTGATCTTAAAAGGAAGTCGATATTAATTGTTTGTCAAAAAGTGTAAAAAATTTAAATATGAATCATGTAATAGGTTGTGATCTGATCTAATGTTGACACTGTTAGAAACATTTATGAGGATGAGACAACTCTCCGCGAATAACCTTCTAAAGATGCAACTTTCGTGATATAAAATCTTTGGAGTGAAATTAAATGAATGGGCGTTTTCTATAGAGTGTTGTACTAGGGTACTTTTGAAATTTTTTTGTTTATGGTGGACCACACTTAGTTCATGTTGTCTCATTCTCTTGTGTACATATTGGGAGGTTTGTCCAATATATTGAAAAGCACAGTCATTACAAGAAACAGAATATACTACATTAGTATTGAGATTGGATGGGGTGGGGGATTTAATGTTCGTAAAGAATTGGTTGAAGGAGTGTAAGTTAAGTTATTCGGCGGAAAATTAACTCACAAAATCATTTTTGTTAAAAAAGCTTGTTTAGTGAAAAAGTGCTAACAAATATTCAAACATACAGGTAATTAATTCAACTTTGTCATTAACCTTTTCTTAAAAAATTTCCATAACTTTCAAAAAAAAATTTTCTATTATGTTTAATATCCTGTTCTGATAATCCACTCATTTATTTTTATCATTTTTATTTTGAACATATTATCATATTTCTGTACATTATTATATTTTTTACAATTTAATTCATTATTTAAGAAAAATCTATTTTCTTTTCCTAAACATATTGTTTGCTAAAATCTCATCAAGATCATGTTTCTTGACAGATGTCCTGAAGATGGAACGTACCTAGTTCCGAAACGTCGACAATAAACAAATAATTAAATAAAGAAATTGTTTTTTTAAAAACTTTTCTTGTTTTTTATTTTGTATTATTTTTGGATTCTTGTTCGAAACTCTACAAAATATACACAAATCCAAGACTCTACCATTCAATATATATATATATATAATTATTTTTTTATAACGAAATCGTGTCGATAATATTAATGTCAGTCAGCTCTTGCGAATTTAATAATAAACCACCATGATATTACAGAATATCGTTCAGGTTTATATTAATAAAATATAAATACTTTAATTTTATTTTGATTTTCGAATTCATGATATAGTTACAGCTGCTATTTGAGAAAGCATTACCAATTGAACAAAAAAATATTTTGAAACGAATATTTAATTCTATAAATAATTATTTAATACTTTTTTTAAATTAATGATGGTATTTAAAAATTTATATTAATAATGAAATAATAGTATATTAAATTTGATTAAATATTATTTCATTATGTTCTTATTTAGATAATCAGAGCAGATCCAATACTCCTTCTAAAACTACTTTGCTCTATAGAGTTGAAATACCACAAATTGATCGAAGTAAGGTTTTAGAAAAGAAACAGAAAGGTTAGTAAATAATATTTTAATACATTTTAAGATTGCGTAAAACATATTACCAATATAATAATATTTTGTAATGAATAACATATCATGTATGACAGATAAGTTGGTTATATATTTCAGACACAAGAGTTTTATAAGAAGCACGACTATCCGCTAAATTTGATTTATAATCATTAATCACATTTAATTTTTATTTCAGCGCACAGAAGACATGATATAATATCCATATTTCCACCAAGAATTCCACCTTCAGCGATTACCATGGTAAATACGAGTAATAATATTTTATATACGCATGATAAAAATCAGATATAATAATATAATGTTTAATCGTATAATGTTTTTATACACATGATAGAGATTGAATTTATATTATTTATTTGAAGAATATATATATATATATATATATATATATATATATATATATATATATATATATTAGGGTGGTCCTTAATATGGACATTTTCGAATTTCCTTGCTCCCAAGGGCTCAAATGGTTCCAAATTAATAAAAAACAATTCTCTGAAAGTTTTAGCCCTTAATATTGTCTTTTAGATAGAGCGCAATTCAATCAAAGATTTGTATGGAAATAGCATAAAAATATTTCAAAAATTTTCGCAGAGCGTCAAATTTTCAATAAAAGATGACACGAATTTTCACTTTTAATTCGTTTGTCGCTAAGTTATACCTAAACATTTTTTTTTAATTTTCCAAATTTTTTCTATGCTATTTCCATACGAAGTTTCATTGAATGGAAACGGAAATACGCTCTATCTAAAAGTTAATATTAAGAGCTAAAACTTTCAGAGAATTGTTTTTTATCAATTTGGAACCATTTGAGCCCTTGGGAACAAGGCAATTTGAAAATGTCCATATTTAGGACTACCCTAATATATATATATCTGTGTGTGCTCTTTGGAAAATTATTGAAAAAAATTCTACGTTTGTATTTAATTTCTATAATATTGGCTATTTTCAGTCATTTGTCATTCAGTTAATTTTTTAATGTAACATGGTATGTAGCATTACTCTACATTTTCCTCAAATGAGATTGATTAAGTTGGAAAAGTGTAAGTCAGTGATATATAAAAGCCTATTAGTTCCGAATTTTATATCTCTAGTATTGACAATTTTGTGACCTTAATCAACACATCAGACATCGCCCATTATAATATTATAGTACTATCTAACTAAAATGATTTTTTTAACAGAATAATTACGTTTCTGTGGAAATCCAATACTTGGCATTACGAGCTAGTTGTCCTGCTCTAAGGGATCCTTCGATCACTAGATTGTATGTAGAGTATAATTTCATGGGATATCGTGGACAAGAATTAGAAACGCCCATCTCTTTACCGAAGCCCAAAGCTCCTGGCCAAAAAGTGATATTCAACTTCAAAAAAGGTGATATTTTTAATATATAAAGTAGAACGCAGCTTAAAGGTTAGGGGTTCAATGGCAATATTTGAAAGTAGAGGGAAAAATATGTATAACCAGCCATCACCTTGATTCCTACGACGTCGCCACCGGAAGATAAACAGCAATGTTTGAAAATCCGTGGATAAATTTATAGGGGTTATATAAAAAACTGTTAAATCTAACTTAAAAGTAACAATGCAATGCATGAAACAAATAAATAACGTATACTTAAATATTACAGTCTCGTAAGCTAAACAACAGTGCTTACCATCAAAACTAACAGTGAAAAAAAAATTCATTTGTTATGGATGTTGATGTTCAAACATTACCTTTTATCTCCTGATGCGACGTCGTAAAAGTCTAGGTGATAACTGGTTAGTGGTTATACATCTTTTTCCCTCTTCTTTCAAATACTATTATTAAAAAAAATCTCAACTTTACTTGTGTTTGAGATATCGGTGGTGGACCTTTTCACCCGCGGATCATATATACTAATATATATATATATATATATATATATATATAGTAGAACGGGGCTTAAAGTTCCGCGAGTGAAAAGGTGTGTTTGTATAAGAGAATATTTGTTTTTGGCGTAATTTAAATTTTTGTAATTTTTGAAATTTTGAAACTAAGGTATAACAGAGCTTTATCTCGATTTCAGGTTTATTTATTAGCATATGTTTCTTCCCAAAATTCCGATTTTTTAATTTTGTTTTCTCGACGTTTCAAGTTATTCTAAATCGATACCAGTTTTGGAAAAATCGTGTGTGTATGTATGCGTGTGTATTTATATGCGATTAATTGATCATCTATGTCTCTGCAAAACACTGGACAGATTTCAAAAATTTAAAAGCGATTCGATAAAACTCGATAAGGAGTAAAACTTTTTTTTCCAGATTTCAAAAAACTCTTGACAAACATTCTAAAATAATATGGGATTACGAAAAGTGGTTTAATTATATATAACTTACATAATTTGGAATAATAGGTCATGTCAACCAATTTAAAAACTGTTAATTGCCAATTCGCATTGATTTCATTATACATACGCATCGGTTTGTCTTAAGGCAAAATACCACTTAAGCCAAGTTATGTTCACGCCTTACTAAATAACTCAATTAGTATTTCCAATGGACGTTGGAGCACATCGTGTTCAGCGAAGACGTCTTTCAGAAATGTTGGATGGATCTGATGACCATATGATACGTTTTACTGTCGTTAACGAACCAGACAGGCATGACGCAAACTGCACAGAAGTCGGGTAAACTAATTTTAATTCGTCCTAGTAATGTATTTTAGTGAATTATTATGGAACATTGCGTTTTATAGTGAAGTATTAGAAAATATTCTGAACACTATTCTAATGAATTCTGATCTGTATTGATTAGGGTTTATACAAAAACCGACATTTCAGAAAACCGGTTTTTGAATTTTATATAGAAAATAAATTTTTCCCCGTATATTCTGTAATTTATCCGCAAATTTAGTATAATTTAGAGTAGTATTTGTCAGAATTTTTTTATTGTTCAATTTTATATATAGTTAACAAAATTATTTTAATTTTAATTAGTAGAATTAAAAAATAATAGTTTATCTTGATTGAATAACTTTGAAAATAATTATTCGTTATTCATGCATCATTTTCACATATAAGAATGAAAATATTTTTATGATAGTGAAAGGAATGTTTTCGAATAAATAAAAATAATACATTTTTAAATAAAACAAATTCATTAAATAAAAAAAATAAAAAAATATTAGATACATGTTGATACATACTTGTTAATATCAATTTTAAATTTAAAAACAATTAAGCTAACCTTTTATTTCTGTTCCGAGCAATTTTAATTAATTAATTTTAAACATTCTAATTATTATTTGTTTAATAAAATATGATTAAAAAAACTGAGAACGTATATTGAATTGCTACTTAGATGTGTCCTTTGTTTACTCACAAAATTCCCTGAAATAGAAAATACTCTCATACTTGCGACCAAATTATGCTTAATTGTTTTTAAAGCCTGATATGATAATTCTAAGTTTTTTGTTCTTTAATTTGTGGCTTCTAGGGTTTAAATTTTTTTTTTTAAGTTTGAGTAGACGAAGTTACTTCTTCAAGAAGAAGTCACACTGATTTAAATTAATATATATACACTGGTATAATAATCTAAATTAATATACACAAAATCTTTCTGGAAACCATTGCAGACTGATAAGATATCAAATGCTATTGAACCGATATGATTTCAAGAATCAAAACGCTTTCATCTATCTTTTATATTTGGCTATATTTGTCATTTTTTATTTATACAGTGAAAACCGACTTTTTTTCACTAAAAAAACGGTTTTAGAATTCCATAATTGCGCCAAAAAACCGGTTTTTGAAAACCGACAAACCCTAGTATTGATGTCTCGTCGCTTTTATTTTAATGAAAAAGAAATTGATAAAAACGCATATGTTTTAATTATCTTCATTATTAATAACAAAAAAAATATGTACAAAATTTACGGTAATATATCACATATGTCGATAAAAACGGTTTCATATTTAAGAATACAGAAAATCACAATTTGATTTTCATTCAACTTTTGATTGTCTTAGATTCGCATTGTTCGACCTAAAAGGCCATGTTATAACTGCGAAAGAAGATTTTGGTCGTCACCATCTGCGCTTGTTTTCTTCGCAACATACAAAACGAAAAATTGGGATCTTAGCTATAGCTATCGGTGGAGTTAATCTTATGAAAATGATTATGCATCAAGGCCCTTAAATAAATATCATTTAAAAATAATAAAACAGTGATATTATAAAAATATAATTGTATTTTGTGTACACGTGTGCATTCATTGATTTGTCCAGGAAGAACTCAATGTTATAATGTTACGTTTGTAGTGTGAAACAAATAACTTCGTTTACAAAATCTTCTTTTTATTCTTGCGACACCATATATTCTTATAACTTGATAATTTATATTAGATTTATGTATGAAATATTATGAATCCGATTTCGAATAATTCACTTTGTTTTTATTCTAAATTTAAAATATGTCAATTTAATTATGCTCATGAGCATTAGTGCAATTAATCCCCGATTTACACGGTACTCGTTTGACACGTTTTCGATTTTACACGTTTTTTAAAACTACAACTTAAGTTAAACAATTGTTATAACGAAATTTACTAATTTTGCATTTACACGAAATTATAAACACTGAATTATAATTTGCTTATATCTACAAAAACGTATGCATTGTTTTACTGTCAACATAAATATTATAAAATGTATGTTACAGTTACAAATTCTTAGTAGTGTATAGTTGATTAAAATCTATAGATTAAGATGGAAACTTCTCGTTTTATGATCAAAACTAAATTATGTGTGTTTTTTTGAAATATCAAAACAAAGAGCGTCAATGTTTTTAAACTTTGTTCTTAATTAGTGTTTATATGTGAACAAATAACAGAATAATTTTTCACAGAAAATTTTAATTTATAACAAATTTATAGTTCGACAGTGGCAGAAAGTAGGAGTAAGAAAAGGTTATAACAGTACAAACTAATTTTAATTTTTATCTATAAAGAAAATGCAATATTTAGTTTTTTTTGATATTTGTTTTATTATCGAAAAATTAATTTTCTTATAATTTATCAAATATATTTGATATTAAATATACTAATATTTATTTTTTGTCTCATGACAAAAATGGCTCTTTTATAGTTATTTTCGTTCAAAACAGTTTTTCCATATAAAAGTGAATTATTAGGGTTACACGTTTTTTTGAAACGTATCTTATATTCACAAAATATTCAGTAACTAAAATTATTTTTTAAATATCTAGTTAAATTAAAGTTTTTATTTTCTGGAAAATAGTCCACGGCAAACTAATGTAGAAAAACGCAAAAAAGTTTTTTTTTATGAAATGTGATATCTGAATACATTTAACTTGATTGATTTAGTAAATGAAATTAATACCAATAAAAACTGCATTTAATACCTTTTAAATGCATAAATGCGTTTTTTATTAAAAAAAAAAGTTGAATCTTTACTGATCTCGAAACTATTACATATTTATCGGCTGTAAAATTATCGACAATGTTTTATGCGTAATATAATTAATAAGGATTTAAATAAATTTTGCTTGTAACTAAAAATTTTGATGTTCTGATATGAGATTTCATTATATACAATTGAATGCATTTTACTCGGAAGAAACTATTTAAAAAAAATAAAAAATGATAAAAATATATAACTAAAATTAAAATTTATGGATCCATCCAGCCACTTTTAGAGGTACTTTCAGGATTACTGACTGTATAATTTTGAGAACGTTTATGCAACTGCTCTTCTTCATCTGCAGCAGCTGAATATAATTTATATGACTGAAAAAATACAAATATATCAGAATATAAAATATTATAGAAATAAAAATATATTAATTATTATATCATATTAATAAAATTTATTTATATTAATATAGTTAATATAATATGTTTAAATACGTTTCTAAAACCATCCGTTTATAGTAAAATTATATAATAAAAGAAGGTATATAAAAATATGTCCGTTCATTATTTTTCAAACGCAAAAATTTTTAAGGATATAGCAAAATTTTAAGTAGCAGCGCACTTCTTTGTTCACATTTTTAAACTAGTGGGGCGCATGGCATCGTGCTTTAAGGCAAATTGCTGTAAGTTTCCGTACTAAAATTTTTTTTTTTTTAAAAAGATTAACATTTTTGAAAAAAAAATTACTCTGAAAAAATTAGATTTTTGAGAAACTATAAATTTTTGACAAAAATTTACATTTTTTTTGAAAAAAAAAAGACTTTTTGAAGAAAAATTTATTTTGAAATATTTTGGAAATTCTGAACTATTTTTTAAAGCGATCGTACTGCTTTAAATGCATAGACAAAATATCGAAGGGTGTAAGCGCCGTGTCGCCGTCTAACGGATAAACATTGGTACGGAACCCATAGTAATGTAAACAAAATTTCATGTGCATATG